AAAAATGTGATTTTTCCATGCGCAAGCATTTTCCGTATTTACGCACACTCATACATTCATATATACACACACATGCACACATATATACGCGTGTGTACTTTTCCGATTGCGATATCTGATTGTCGTTTTTGCTGCAGGGCCGGAAAGAAATGCTGTTATCGGAACGTCGAAGACTAAATACTCTTGCAAACATTTACCAAATTATAAAAAATATAAGTCACATAAGAATTGAATTTCAACTAAGCTACTATTTTAGCAGAAATAGTCATATGGAAATGTATATATATATCGGTTTGAGACTTGAAACCAATAAAGAATATATATACTAAATTGCTGCGTGATTCCCAATAGTCTGTTGTCTATATAAATCTGCAAATTTATGCATAGGTGCTCAAACATTACACGCACAACCAATTTATTGCTTTTTGTAGTCACCTTCCATTACTCCACTATCGATATCCGATCCCTTTTTCAAGAGTTGATCTCGAGAAACAGTTAAAACTCTCTTCAATATATAGGTTGTCATATATGTGTATTACTTTTCGGATATGAGTCCGTAACTTTACCAATTGAAATGTAGAACACAGATCTATGTTAACAATTGGATTCTAATTGATTGGGTTGAAAAAAATTGCCTAGCCATTATTCTTTCCATGCCGTTATATATAGGCGGAAGCTTGAATGATTGTAACGGCATTGCCTAGCACTTCCGACTAGGGTAAGCACACGTTCAGAGATACTAATTAACATTCGCAAGAAATGTCTTTAGGAAAGTAAACAGAAATAACTCTCGAATTATCAAAAACTGCTTCGTCTATCTTCAATCGGCAAACATAAAAACATTTGCCCTTTTACCTTGTGATAAAAGATGCAGGACAAACGAAAATTAACAAGTAAGAGTACTCTAGTCACGAGTGACGAACTGGCAGATACCCAGCAATTCATGCACAACAAACAATGTTGTCTAGCTATTGTAGTTTCTGAGACCGCCAGGGTCAAAGGGGTTAGTCGACTGACATGGATAGTTCGAATCAGCTATTCGTCCAGGCCAAGGAGGTCAGAGATGCTTCCACCTGCCTGTCATATAGTTTGTGCCAAACCAAACCATTTTCACCTATTTCCAATGGATTCAGAGATTTCTGTTGATAGAAGAAGGTTCAGGTTCTAGTCTAGAGTGCCCCTACTGTAACATTAATTCGTTATATTTAAGGAATCAAAAAATGATGCTTCAGATACTTAATATGACAAAATCGACCGTTACGCAGAAATAGTTTCCACAACTTGATTTCATGTATTACAGGGTCGTGCAATGTATATTTACATACATATATACTTCTCTATGTACTTAAAGGGCCGACACTTTAATGAGGCGTACCCAATCGTACAGAGAAAGAGGCAACTGAAATAGTTGTCCGGCAAAAGTTGCCATGCAACACAAAGAACAATGAGATGGTACGCTAAATTATCACTGTACGGAGACCGTTCGATGCACTGTCTCAGGAGAGTCACTATGTTGTAGTAATAGTAATAGAAAATAAAACCAAGTGGGAGCGATGAGAGACGGGACTGCCCGCTTAGCAGATACCCTAAAGGTAGGAGATACATGCTATAAAATAACTCCATGTTGCTGTTAGTTATTTATTTGTATATTGATTAGACTTTGCAGCTTAAATTTTTCTATTCTTAAGTCAACCATTAATAAATTAATAAAATATACCCTAGGGCATAAATATAGGATCGAACTGTGTGTCAATACGATATCCTTAGAATAATGTAACTAAAATGTGAATTATTCAACATACTCTGGCATATATATCGATATCGATATCGATTTTTATCGATTCCGTAGCTAGTTATCTATGATTTTAAATAAATCTTGCTCTCATAGTGCCTAAGATCACACGCACATTTATACGTAAAGAGTGGTGGAAGGACCGACAGGCAGAGAGATATTGCTGTGTGGTTGGAGAATCCGCCTGCTGCCTTTTACATGTGTTTGTACGCAACCACTTCCCGAATGTGCTCTCGAAGAAGTGAGAAGAACGCACGACTAACATGAACATTTGCATACTCTGTATTCATATTGTAATGATACTGCTCGGTTTCGCTTAAGAACTTAATTGCCAATATACATGTTGTATGTGTGTTTGTAAAAGTCCATACTCCTTTCATAGGCAGTCCTTAAGCCGCTGCGCTTTTCATAAACTGGGCCCGCACCCCTTCCACTTGCCCTTACCCCTTCACCATCACCGTCACCGTTCATCCCGTGCCTATGCCTGTGCCCAATTGAGTTGTGGAGCGTACCGTGTCTGTTGACTTTGTTCCCTATCAACAAGTCGCCACTTAATTCAATTACATTAGATACGACGAGCAAGGAAAAGGATGAGACGGGACCTTATAGTATATCTGAGTGGAGCCATCCAAGCAGCTCTGTATTCATTGGAATGGGAACTGCGATAGGCCATGCATAGAATCTGCGGTTAAATGACAGCTGAGCACTACTGTGCTATTCATTCCGTGAATATAACGCACAAGGCACTTAATAGCCGCCGGCACTTTAATTTAGATTTTTCGCCTCAAATTGAATTTTTAATGTGGTCTTGTTCTGAGAAATTGTTTGATGAAACAAAGGTTTAATACTTTCAACAGAAGCAATAAGCACCCCAAACAAATTAAAAGCTTTGCTAAAGGTCAATCGTTAAATGAGTTTCCTAAATGTTGAGAAACGGCCAAAGGCAATCAATCCCATCAGCAGCAATTGCGATATTCATGAATTTGTTCAGCTGACCGATTCCATAGTTCGCAAATCAATACATTTCAAATATATATGTACATAGATAAGTAGGCATAAAACATGTATGCGATTTTATATATTTCTACTAGCGGGTATTCATTAAATTTTAGATTTAATTTTTCGCTCAGTTCACGAGTGGAAAACATAAATCTACCTATCCCGAAACTATAATCCATAGTTACATATCACATAGATATTTGAAAAAAAAAAAAAACTAAATATTCGTCGAATAAAGAACAAACAGTTGGCATCAACAACGATTTCCGTCCTTGTTAGTCTTGAGCTGAGAATCTTGAAACCGAAATATATGCTTCTTAAGTCGTTGATCCGCAACACAACAATTTGTACAATCCGAAATAATAAATAATATAGTTGCTAGATTTCCGGAAAATTTCCACATCTCGCTTAAGCTCGTATATATTTAGTTCTTATAAATGGTTTTGAAAATAAGTAAATATATTACGTACTTTTATAGGGTTTTGAAAATAAGTTTGAAGCCGATCGGAAAAAAATTCAAACTTCACCTCTAAACTCTCTTATCTCATTTTTTCACGGAAGAGGCTTGGATTCTCCGAAATGTGTAAAATATGTTTCAAATAATTTTGCATAAAAATTAATGAAAACGAATAAATTTCCGAAATCTTACGCTTCAAATCGTTCAGTCAGGCAGTCAGGAAAAACAGTTTTATATATAGAAATGCGGGCTACAATATCAGAGTTGATGGAATGATGGATGATATACATTTCTCTATATGACCAAATGACTGCTAAACAGAGAACAGCTAAGAACTGCAATTAGGAAGCTATAGGACTTTAGCTTGGGTATTTCAATTTGTATGCTTATGGGATTCGGATAGATTTCCAAAGGGAGTTTCCTTAGTTTGTATTACTATGAAGCGAATCATATATTTATATATATATTTTTCCAAAGAAGAAATGAAATTATCAGCTCAAATTGCTGCCTTTGAATGTATGTAAATAGATACAGCCTGTCAACTTGTGTCATGTTTCTCTCTTGCTTCCAATATTAAAACAAGTAATACTGCCCTAGGCGGGCGTGCCCGGCTAGAAGATACCCAGACCATTCTATCAACACAAAAAGCTCTAGCTTAGACAAATCCATTTTATGGGCTCGTCTCCGCCGCGGATCTGCTCAAGAATATATATACTTTATGGAGTCCGATGTGTCTCCTTTCACGACAAAATTATAATACCCTCTGCAAGGGGTATAGAAAGATCGCCGTCTAATATACATTATATGTGTGAATACATGCATGATTGGCATGAATTAAGCTGTTATTAGACTACAAACACAATTTTTGATCCCTTATTTATTAAACAATAGTTTCCGCTGAGCTCAGCTAGCAGCCTTAGTCTTCATATCCTATAAGACTATAGTACCAAGACTCGACTATCACTTTTAGCCCTTATGATTTACGACTTATGTTTACCATTTCCCTAAATCTATATTTACGAACGATACTATGAAAATTCTAAAAGATATCCAAAGGATTAAATCGCTCCGCTGTACCTGAAACCAAAACCGCATTCCTCGTGTTCAGTGTCCTACTTGATTTAGTCACTTAGACAACTCATTTGCCAAGGAATGTAAACTCATAATATAAAAGTCCGATATTTTTTATACCAAAGTTCTGCTTTGCACTGTATGATAAATAGGTTTAGCTTCGATCATATGTTGCATGAATAAAACTGAGAGTGTAAATTGCAGGGAAAGACAGACAGATGTTCAAATGCACCTTATAGAGTCGAGGATGAATTTCGAAAATATGTATTATTATTTTGTCATACGACAAAATTTGATCAATATCAGCAAATTAGACATAAAGGATCGTCCGAGGCTTTGCAAAAGTCAATTTTTATTCGCGATCGAATTTTTAAACTGTTTTTTAAACAACTTTTTTTTTGGGTCTTCAAGATACTCCTTGCCATTATATCAGGCAGCTTTATAGAAATAATTGGTTGCTTGGAAAACCTTTTAACTTCTCAAGATATTTTCACCGAACTCATGCAATCAATCCTGCTCGGAAATCTGGGAGGCCGTAAGACCATGTCTACAAGGATATTACATCTTTGGCACATCAGAGATGCTTTTTCACAGACTTGTTTTGATGTGCGTTCAGTGAATGCAGCGTTTGCCTTAACGGCAGAATAAAAGTGGAAAAACAATGTATAATTATATGCTTACAGTAATAGAAATGAAGAGAAATGCATTCAGTTTCATTCAGTATTTGCCGTTTCCTTTTTGTTTGTATTGCATTTCTGTCCATGGTGTGAAAAACAGCAGCGATTGCTCTTCAAGTCCTGCACTAGTTAAACTCTTAACAAAACGAATATTTTATGCACAAATGATCGGGCGATTTTCAAACATAAATACATTCATAATAATTACTAACGTACTAAGCTGTCGATAGATATATTAGTATTAGAAAAACGCATTGCTGCATCGACGACAACTATTCGGTTTGATTGAGAATTGGCCAGCTCGCTCACTTTTATGAAATGAAAAATACATAGTCTGGGTGTATGATATCTTAATTATCACCAGCCTGATTTCTACATATATATGCACTCGTATGTATGCACGCTTTTAAGCCAATTATAAACGCAACGACGGGAATGCACGTCTTGGCCACGCGCCTCGAATGCGTTGCCGCCGACTATTTGTATTTAATTCAACTTGAACTCGACCGACCCGCGACAAGCTCTGATTGAAACTGAGCAAAGTCGGCTAGTGATAAGCTCTGCGTACCGTGTGATGCCAAAATCTTGTACATCGGGCCAGCTCGGTTTTGGCCCGAAGCAGACGCTTGCCCCTTCAATGGGCGGGGAGTGTGTATGCTGCGCTCCCATTGGCGTCCACATGGCAGGGGTTGGAGAGACAATACCGTAAGCATTCCTATTTACTCAGAGCGAAGTTAAGAGAGAGGAGGACAGAGTCCACCACGTGTCGATGTGGACCCTAAATCCTTTTCAGCTGATATTTCCCGGCCTTGTCCAGCTCAAATTTGTTACTGCTAATGTTACACGTTCAATTTTAAATCTACGCGCACTATTTTAAAATCAAAGTTCAAATATAATTTGCATACATATTTTACAACGCTTTTCGAATGCAAGTTTGATGTCCTTTTGTAAGTAAGAACTTGTTGAGTCCATTTTAGTCTTGTTGCGTAGAATTTTCCACCCATTTCTTAGCCAGGGGTGGAATTTTCGCACGTCTCAAATGAGCAAAGATCTTAAACTAGGACAATAAAAAGAAAATAATCATCCTAGCTTGTGTCGTTTTATATGTAATAGATATATTGTCTACAATTTTATAAAACATGACCTGTTATTTGCAGTATTTGTCGAGAATATCGAAAATTAAAATTTGAAATTTGTATTCTCCTATAGATACTCCAATAATAAATACAAAGACTATGAATATTTCATCATTTCTAGAACCATCCCCTTTTTCTTTTGAATAACTCGCTTTTAAAGCTAGACTACTTGGGCCCAAAATATTTTTTAGAAAAATCAAACAAAAAAAAAGCTCGAACTATTTCATTTGATAAGTAAATTCAGATAATCCATTCCAAAACTGCATAGCTATATCTATCTATCAGCCCACCTCCCTTACTACAATTAAAGGAAACCATTTCAGATAACATCCGCATGTTGGATGCTTGGAATGGGGCCAGCATCTGAGCTTAAATCCATATAATGACTCAGATAAGGTAAAGCAGCTAGCGAGCAACCTAGTGCAAGTAGTAACATTGAAATTCCACGAAGCTGTGAAACAAGGTGATGCTCTCATCAAAGACACCACATCGCTAACAAGATCAAAATGGACTTCCAACCAGCAGCTTGGATAGGCAGCCATATCAGAAATCTTCCAATGATGCTCCATCTGAAAAGCGTGCAGCACTTTAGCAATAATTAAATTGATCAAAATGATCTGTAAATTGATCTGTATGTGGGATCGCTGGATAATGGTATTTCATCCGCTTGACTTCCCAGTAAGATGGAAGTTGCAACTTTTCAGCGTTGCCCTCTGTCAATTGATACTCCTTTATTTGAATAATGCAACGCGATTTGATCCAGCATCGAATATTTTTTGAGCAATCCAAAAACCCTGATAATCATGTAGAGATAACTGAAAGCCCTCATTGTCCTTAAGCACATATCTGTAATTTTTTAGCAACTTTTCAACTGAGTTCTTAAGCTCTCTGCTATTTTTTTGTGTTTGTTTTCTTTTTCTTCCCAAGGTAGACTGTGCTATATTCCATTTTCCTTTCCTATCTTAAGTAACTTTGACTTTCATGATGGAAAAACAGTATGATCTCCCGATGTGCTCTAACATTTTGTTCATCATGGTGTTTATACAAAACGTGGTCCTCCATTCTTTCAGGTAAATAAAATCAGCTTTCGTAAGTCTTTCGATCACTTTTCCATTTCCTACCCAAAGCAATTTAAGCTCTTCTTTCTCTAACAACTTTCTAACTTTCTGCTCCTTTACTTCTATATCTCTAGTCTGTTTAAATAAAGCTATTTTTCTTTAAATTTAAATATTCTATCTTCCCTTAGTAGATCAAACATTGGTTTCGTAATTATAGAATAATCTTTAATAATCATCTAAAAATATTTTAGAAATGGGACGAGATATCAAGAAAACAGTTCGTTTAACGTATGATAGAGGGAATTATGTATTTAGTGCAAATATCAAGGCTCGACATTTTCTGTTGGACATGTCTGAATTGACTCTTCTCGTCATCCTAATGTAGAATAAATACATTGTATGGTATCGGTCAGGTTTGCTTTCTGTTTGTTACACACATTTCACACAAGCCAATATGCTCCTCTTAACCCATTTTCTAGGGGAACATTGTATAAAAACATAATTCCTGCAAATAATACAAAAATAAAAACCCGAATTTAAATAATGCATAAGCTCAAACACGTGTTCTCAAATAAGTTCTGTAAATATTTTACATTTTTCAAATAGTTCTCTGAACAAAGTCGCTGAAATTATTTTATTTAACGTTTTCAAGGTCCCTTTGGCTTATTTATTTCAGCGGCTATGAATTTGCCACAGATTTAAATTCGTACATGTGTAAATATGTATATATGAGTAAGTTATAGACACACGAGTTTATGGGGGCTGTGTGGTCAGTCAGTACCCAAGAGACGGCATGGATATGGTGTTATGACCTTTTTCGAGGGTGAAATTTGTACGCAAATACAAAGCATTTAGAGGCCCTCGAATAGGAATACCTGTGACCCGGGCTCGTCACAGACATTTGACTTTTGCTATATGTGAAACAGTTTGTTTTGCCTGATTGAACCGTGAGAAACGTGAAGCGAAACCGTAAACTTTTGAGCCAGAGTTTCAAAAATATTTGAACAGCCAGTGTGAGAAGATGTCTGTCAAAGTTTGTGTGAAAAACATCAAAAATGAAAGCAGCCAAAAAATTGAGTTTTACAAATGTGATTTCATGTAGTATGGCCTGCAGTATGGCTTTGGTATCTCAACTTCGAACTTCTATATAAATATCTGCTAGTAGTAGTAATATACAGTGTCGATGCCCTAGTCGATATAACCATGCCCCTCTCAGTTTTAATCTATCCGGATGCAACTTTGCCGGATCGTACAGTTGCTATTGGAGTGATAGCTAAAGAATTAATTAAATAATTTCATATAAGTCATTATATATACGACAAATTATATCAGCATCGAAGTGCTTAATCACAATTCTTTCCGTATATCTGCAAAGCCGTAAGCCATACGTCAACAGGGGTCATAATCTTGAGCTAGTGGAGGAAAGCGAATATTTTTTAAAAATGCATACTCCTTTTTCATGTATGCACGAGTATATTTGAAGGATGCGTTTATCTCTACACTACAATTGATGGAAGAACAGCAAGGCAGGCATTGCAGAAAACCAATATACACTTTGCATGTTGTATGTGTAGAGGGTATTTAGTCAAAAAGGAAAATATGCATGCAAAGTATCAGGAGCATCAATTGACTTCTCTTCTGGCCACTTGCTCAGTTGTCGCTTCAAGGGTGGCCGTATCTGTTTTACGGAACGCAGACACGAACATTAGCGATGTACGAATACGTGTGAGTTATGTGAGCATAATTTCAGTACTTGGCGAAGAAGGTTGTGTGTAGTACTCAGTAGTCCCCACTTCAAATACAATCGAAAAGCCGATTTACTTTGTGCAAGTCGAGTGTCTCAGGAAAAAATGTTTGCTTTTTGGTTTTCGACGAAAAATGTAAGAAGAAGAGCACGGCTTACCAAGTCGCTCCCGGTGCCGAAAAACAAACGGAAACTGGTGCAGGCAAACAGGCAAACAGGCCCAGACAGCCAGCCAGGCATCCATGCATAAGGAACGACGACAACAGCCACCGCTTTGTTTGGCAAAAAGAGTGCCAGGCAACAGGAACCAGGAGCTAACCAAGACGGGCTGAGGATGTGAGTGCGCCCTTCGCGAATTGCAAGCGCCACATCACAATACCCCCTCACACACACACCCACCCACACACACACACACACACACACACACTGTGTTTCAGGAGATTTCACATCATTTATTGTTCAAAGCCTTTTTGAAAAGCATCAGCTTCCCACTTGACTGGCTGACAATAATCTCTGTTGTTTCGTCGACATCGGCATTGCGAATGTAATTATTGTTGTTGTAATTGTTACTGTTCGTTTCGTTTGGCTTGGCTTGATTCGGTTCGGTCTGGCAGTCTAAGTCCAACTGTTCGAGTACCACTGTACTTCCCAAGAGGGTTGCTTTCTTGGGCGATTGACAGTGTTTTAATGGTGGCGATTACAATGCTTCTTGCTCTTTACTTGGCTCGTATAGAAAACAATTAGCCTATCTGAATGACTCACAAGGTTGGGCGATATGAACGTGGGCTTAAGATGTCACTCGGCTTAATGTCGCTTCGTCTCGAAATCATTGAGTACCTCTTAGCAGTCCAATTAGAGTAGACAATTTTTCAATTTAACAGCAATAATCTATCAATTTTTCACACAAATAAACCATTAAATAAAATAAAAAACAAATACATTGGAACCTTTTTAACCCATTTGCAATGAGTTCAAGGTAATTGCTGTGCTTCATTAAATAACTTTCAAAATCAACAATTTGCCGCTCGCTAATTATCTCAAATAAACCTATGTGATATATTGGTCCGATCGAGTCGAAACATAAACGTGTGAATAGTTTCATGAACTGGCAAAGAGACAAATCTCTGTCTGATACTTTGAGAATAACATCTGCATGCATATACAAATATCAGCATACGTACTCTTTTTCTTTTCAAATCATTTAATAATATGACTGTTAAAAGAAACTTTGTAATCAGCTTTATACATATATATATATGTATGTATATATGTTGCTTACATACATTATCCCTTCTAATCCGAATGTTCAGAATTCATTGTTGCATTCGCATAAGCCTTTTAATTAGAGTATACTGTAATCCAATTTTAATTCCTCATTAGTTGAGATTATCATCAATGTGAAAGAAAGGCATTTATCAAAGCATCTCGCAATAACAGTTTGCTGTGTTCACATTCGCGTTCGGCGCCAAAGACAGCAAAGTCGCAGTCGCTATATCTACACATTCGCCGCCGCCAGCGTTCATCTAAGTTTCAGTTGGGCTACGCCCGTCCGCAGGACTCCTTGAAGCAGCCTGTTTTGGGTATGAGAAATGTTGCAAAAATCCGCATTTGCGAGTATATACATACGATTGAATGGCAAGCGGTCCTAAGACTTGCGGAGCCATGATGTTCTAGTGCTGAAGGCATTTTACTAAGCCGTCGAGATTCACTGAGGTAATCCCCAACAAGAAACTCAGTAAATCCGAAAGTGTTTCTTGGATTTTATTATTTAAAGTGATTAAAAGTTATTGTTGCCGGCTGCCATTGACGTTGCCTTTGCCTTTGCCTTGCCTTTGCCTTTGCTTTTGCCTTTCGACTTTTCATTCTATGAGCACAGTTTAGGGGCTTTGGTAAAAAGTGATTATGTGAGCACAATAAAATCTTAGTTGTTCAGTTGTAGACTCATGCTTGCATTTTTCTCACTGATTCATTTATTACTTGGTTTTCTTAAATGTTTCTTATGAATCTAGTCAAAAATAAACTTATTCAAAAACCTAAGTCCCAAGTCCACAAATCGGCGTGTAAACAAACAAGCAACGTTCCAACGTTACTTGAACCCACATCAGATACACTATATTTAATAAAATGAATTTCAACAAAGATTTTTGACATTGTGTTTAAGGCCAATCGGGTGATAAACAAATAAGTTGTTAGTTGATCGCCAATCAGACAGTCAGTCAGTCCGGACAAACAGTTTTGTGTATAGAGATTTTTTAACTCACATATCTTCCATTTCCTTGAATGCCAATTGATAGTAGGGATCCGTACAAATTCCAAAAAATAAATGATAACATTCCAAAATCAGACTAATTTACCCGAGATAAAACGTGATGTAACCCATTGCTTTGTGTCGATTTGGGTCAAAATGTAGAATTTCATTTTTTAATGTCAATGATAGTACGGATCCTTACGAGACCAAAAATGATATAATATTTCAGAATCGAAAAAACCTTAAACAAGGTAGACTTCACAAACGAATCGTTTTCTTGGCAACTTTTTTTAACCCAACGATATTTAATATTCTTAAATGCCAATTCATAGTAGGAATTATGCTTTTGATAATTATTCTTTCTTTAATCCAATCCTTAAGAAAGCAGCTATTAAATAAATTAGCAGCTCCTAACAAAACATGTTCATGTTGAATACTGCGGTCCAACTAACAGAGTGTTAAATTGTGAGTGAGTCGAGCGGACGAAAAAACCGGCGCCCAGAAAATAAGCAAGCGATCGAAAGACGAGTGAGAACGATGCGCCACATTACTTAGCATGCACACACCCACACAAACACGTGTATGCGCAGAGATGAGCCAAGGCCAGAGATAAGCAGCCACCTGTTCGTGTGTGTGTTCGCTGTCATTTTGCTCACGCGCTCACGTTTCATTTTGGTGCTGATCGCTGATTGGTCCACACAATAGCTGCTGGCAGTGATGTTCTCGCCTGGTCGATCGGGTGCTCTTCTTTCTGAGCGCCGTTTTTGTGGATCAGCTCAACTTTATTCTATGTTAGTGTGACTCTATTAGTCGATATGGCATGTTGTTCTGCTGCGGGCGAAGGTCTTTTAGGCCTGTTATCTTTTTGTTATACCTTTTTTTGGAAGGGATGCATAAGTAAAGGGCAAATTATAAGTGCAAATTCTCAAGTAAGTGCCATCCTTATCTCTAATGGTATAACTAATAAGCATTAATAGCCATAAAAGAAATCGTACAAAAGTTGAATCAAAATTTAAAGAAGTCCATCGATTCCAAGAATGTTAAAGTGTTTGTTTTATTGTTATATTCTCGACACTTTGCCAAATATTAGTGTCAGCGCGATAAATAAGAAGACAATGCACAAGCAATCATAGACACATACACGTGTATGTATGTACATATTCGACGATTCTCTCTGCATGCATACACATGTTTGGGTGTCTGTTTTCGCAATTCATATTTACTTATGCTTGCTTGTGCCTTATCTACCTTTTCAGTTTTCTGTTTTCTGTGCGCCGACTTATATCGTTCGTTTTGGGGATAATCAACTGATTTGTAAAAAAAATCGACTTCTGCAGATCGAGCAGATAGGGCAAATTGGTTGCTAAATTCATGTCGGTTCTCAAATCAAAATTTCTTAGTGCTCTGTCGATTTTGAAGTCTTTCACGAAGCCCAAAAGGTATATCCAACCTAAGTCGGACTTCATTAACCGATATTAACAAATTAAAAATTAATTTTTTCTTTTCAATTTTGCAGCTGAATTTGCCATGGACAAGGAGACGTTCAATAACATTGGTAGCTACCATGGATAAATGTACCTTAAAGAAAATAGAATTGTAATTTTGAACAAAATGGCAAAGGTTAGATGAACCTTGTTGCCAATCTGCGTCGATTCTCAACTCAACATTTTAAAGGTCTTACGAAACCTCAAAGGTATGTATTTCCATAGTCGAACGTACTATTCTATATTTTTTAGCCCAACCTGCCAACGTTCATGGACTACATTTAATCAACAAATAATTAGATCGACGGAAATATATCTCTTTAAAATAATAAATAGAATACTTCATATAAGTATATAATATCAGACGCTATTTACCCGAGAGAAAATGTGATGCAACCCCTTGCCTTGTGTCGATTTAGGTCAAAATTTAGATTTTCATTTTTTAATGCCAATTGATAGTACGGATCCTTACGAGTCCGAAAACCTTCAACAATTTAGACTTCACAAACGAATCGTTTTTTTTGCCAACTTTTTTAAACCCAACGATATTTAATTTCCTCGAATGCAAATTCATAGTAAGAATTATGTGTTTGATAATTCGGAGTAAAACTCTTGTTTCCAATTTTGTTCATTAAATTTTATTTTAAATAAGCTAAATATGCATAATATCATTTCAGACTCCCCTTGGTCAGCACCTCCTAATAAAACATGTTCATGTTGAATACTGCGGTCCAACTAACAGAGTGTTAAATTGTGAGTGAGTCGAGCGGACGAAAAAACCGGCGCCCAGAAAATAAGCAAGCGATCGAAAGACGAGTGAGAACGATGCGCCACATTACTTAGCATGCACACACCCACACAAACACGTGTATGCGCAGAGATGAGCCAAGGCCAGAGATAAGCAGTCACCTGTTCGTGTGTGTGTTCGCTGTCATTTTGCTCAAGCGCTCACGATTCAATTTGGTGCTGATCGCTGATTGGTCCACACATTAGCTGCCGGCAGTGATGTTCTCGCCTGGTCGATCGGGTGCTCTTCTTTCTGAGCGCCGTTTTTATGGATCAGCTCAACTTTATTCTATGTTAGTGTGACTCTATAAGTCGATATGGCATGTTGTTCTGCTGCGGGCGAAGGTCTTTTAAGCCTGTTATCTTTTTGTTATACCTTTTTTTGGATGTGATGCATAAGTAAAGGGCAAATTATAAGTGCAAATTCTCAAGTAAGTGCCATCCTTATCTCTAATGGTATAACTTATAAGCATTAATAGCCATAAAAGAAATCGTACAAAAGCTTAATCAAAATTTGAAGAAGTCAATCGATTCCAAGAATGTTAAAGTGTTTATTTTAATGCTATTTTCTCTTCACTTCGCAAAAAAATTACTGAAAGCGCGATAAATAAGAAGATAATGCACAAGCAATCATAGACACATACATGTGTATGTATGTACATATTCGACGATTCTCTCTGCATGCATACACATGTTTGGGTGTGTGTTTTCGCAATTCATATCTACTTATGCTTGCTTGTGCGTTATCTGTTTTCTGTTTTCTGTGCGCCGACTAATATCATCCGTTATGGGGATAATCAACTGATATGTAAAAAAATCGCCCTCTGCAGATCGAGCAGATAGGGCAAATTGGTTGCTAAATTCATGTCGGTTCTGAAATCAAAATTTGTTAGTGCTCCGTTTATTTTAAAGTCTCTTACGAACCCCAAAAGGTATATCCAACCTAAGTCGGACTTCATTAACCGATATTAACAAATTAAAAATTAATTTTTTCTTTTTAATTTTGCAACTGAATTTGCCATGGACAAGAAGACGTTCAATAACATTGGTAGCTACCATGGATAAATGTACCTTAAATAAAATCGAATTTAAATTTTGACCAAAATGGCTAAGGTTCATGAACCTTGTTGCCAATCTACGTCGTTTTTCACCTGAACATTTTAAAGGACTTACGAATCCTTTAAGGTAAGTATTTTCATTATCGGACGTAACTAAACCGATGCATTTTTGTTACAAAAACGAATATATTTTATATTTTTCAGCTTAACCTGTCAACGTTTATGGACAACATATAATCAACAAATAAGATCGGCGGAAATATGTCTCTTTGGCATAATAAATATAGTATTTCATATAAATATATAATATCAGACGACATTTACCAGAGAAAAAACGTGCTTTGTGTCGATTTGGGTCAAAATGCCAATTGATAGTACGGATCCAAAAATGGTAAATTTATACAGATATTCTAAAAAAAATCTTAAACGCGGTAGACTTTCCAAACGAATCGATTTTTGGCCAACTTGAATGCCAATTCATAATAGGAATTATGCGTTTAATAATTCGGAGTAAAACTCTACTTTTTTGTTTAATTCCATTCTTTTAATATTTTATTTTAAATATGCTAAATAAAATATACGTAATATCCTTTCAGATTCCCCCGGGTCAGCAGCTCCTAATAAAATATATTCATATTGAATAATGCAGTCCAACTAACAGAGTGTTAAATTGCGAGTGAGTCAAGCGGACGAAAAAACCGGCGCCCAGAAAATAAGCAAGCGATCGAAAGACGAGTGAGAACGATGCGCCACATTACTTAGCATGCACACACCCACACAAACACGTGTATGCGCAGAGATGAGCCAAGGCCAGAGATAAGCAGCCACCTGTTCGTGTGTGTGTTCGCTGTCATTTTGCTCACGCGCTCACGATTCAATTTGGTGCTGATCGCTGATTGGTCCACACAATAGCTGCCGGCAGCGATGTTCTCGCCGAGTCGATTGAGTGCTCTTTTTTCTGAGCGCCGTTTTTATGGATCAGCTCAACTTAACATATGTTTGGGTGTGTGTTTTCGCAATTCATATCAATGCTTGCTTGTGCGTTATCTACCTTTGAACGGCGATTACTCCAGTTTGTGGATTACTTGCTCAGTTTTCTGTTCTCCGACTTACGAATCTTTAATGGTATGTACTGATGTATTTTCGTTTACAAAAACTGATATATTTTATATATTTCAGCCTAACCGGCCAACGTTCATGGACAACGTATAATCAACAAATAATAAGATCGGTGGAAATATATCTCTTTAAAATAATAAACGTAATATTTCCGCGCGGAAATATGTCGGATTTGGAACGTCGGAGCTGCGCGAGATATGAAATAATTAATTTTATATGCTATAGCCAACTTTGCCACGCTCATGGACAACATTTCATCAGAAAATGATCGCTTTTCATGGTACCTAGTTGACCTGTATATCCTTTTTAATTTCATATCATGGATATAGTCCTAGCGAACCTAAAGGACAACGTTCTTGCAAAATGCGTAGGAACTAGGTCCAAAATATGTATGCTTTTCTTTAACAGCCGTCCCCAGCAACAGTACCGCCCCCTTGATGGTTTCTAGTTGACTAGCATATCCTTGGTAATACCATACCATGGATATAGTCCTAGCGAACCTAAAGGATCAGATCCCTGCAAAATGTGCATTGAAATGGTCCAAAAACATGTATGCTTTTTCTTTCAGGAGCCCTTTTACATTAGCTGCAGCTGCAGCTGTTGCTTAACAGCCGGCTTACAGCACTCTCGCAGCTTAACAGAGCTCATTTAAATTGAGTTACATTTTTGCCCCTTAATGCTATGCAATGAAAATTTTTATTCAAAGAACTCGTCGACCTTCTGGGCATTTCTGTTCGCCTGGTATTTTGGCAGATTTTAAGAAAAGCGGTTGCCAACCAACGCCTCTTTCTCACGGGTGTGCAAGACCGTTAATTTTTGAATTTGTAAATAAAAAAACAGGAATTTCTCTCTGTATTTGAAGCAATCGATTTATTTACGCTTAAATTTACAAAATTGTTTATTTTATATGCTAATTTTCTTAATTATTTCACTTAAAATTATGTAAAACGAGTATAAATTAAATTTGATGCTTATATGAGCTAAAAATATCTATATTTGGCTTAATTAAAGTCCGATCCTGGAAATATTTGCTTTGTCAGTCGTGAAGGTCCTTAGAGCTCCGTGTAGTCCTTGATTTGGCAGTCTGAAATGAAAAAAACACATTTAAATTAAACATATACATAATTTAATATATGCGGAAAATAGGCCATAACTCGGGCATGTCCTTGCAGATTCTCAAAGGACATGGTGCGTTAGGATCGTATAGACCCCCTGCATCGATCTGCATCATAAAAATATGGGGTCATCTAAGAATCATATGACTCGAAATTGGACTTGTAAAATTTCCGTCCCGGAGCGCACGAAAATGGCCCGAAAACACAAAAACTTTAATATCTTCAAAAGTACAAGGACGATCTTAATGAAATTTGGCCAGGTGGTAGTCCTGGTCAATACAATTATTTTGACATATGACTCACCAGGATACGCAAGGATATGCTTGAGTTATGGCTTATTTACTTCAAACAAAATCGTCCTTAAAACTTTTTTGTCTGAAGGATTTTCGTCCTTTGGGCTGTAAATTCTTCAATGGGAAGGTGGGGGCTATCTACTGGCCAAAGGACATCCCGTTCGTCCTTCAAATGGCAAAGTTGGCCTGAAAATTTTCGATTTTGCGACTAACCCCCTAGGATAAATTTCGATAAATTTTTTTGTTGAATTCTGGAAATCCTTGAATGCCAATCGATAGTCCTGATCGCCACGATCTCAAAAAGGTATATCCTTCCGATATCCTTAAGGATTTGGCTGAGTTATGGCTAATTAAAAAATGTCCTTTTTAGAAAATAAGCCATATTTCGGAAACGACAAGGACGATTTTGTTGTCCTTTGGACAGTTTAAGATCCCTGATCATACGATTTGTTTGACACAGGACTTTTCAGGATCCGCAAGGATACGGCCGAGTTATGGCTTTGTTAAGTTTCGAACGAATTGTTATCATATCTTGGCCATTTAAAGGACTTTCGTCCTTTTCATTATATATACTGAATTGGGAGGATTAGGACTTACGTTTGGCAAATAGACATCATGACTGGCAAGGAAACGGCCGATCTACAGCATTTTATCTCTATAGACAAAAATCTATTTTCCTCAGCTCCTTCAAGGATTATCGTCCTTTTTGCCACGCATTCTAACGGCCAATGACAGGATAACGACTTCTGTGTTGCTTGTTCGATTTGTTATCCTAGGGAATATTTAAAAGAACGAAATATGTGTTAGTACCATGGCGCAACAAGTAAAATATCTAATTGAAATCAAATTTAGTGTCTCAGAAATTAACCTCATACAGCTACGTTCAAAAAGTTGAAGCTTCCAGCTATTAAAGTCTCTGCGAGTGGACAGAAGAGCAGACGGACGGACATCGCGAAATCTACTCGCTTGTTAATGCTGTGTAATAACATATAGATGGAAAGGGCCGGAGATTTCTGCCTCTGCCAGTTGCGTATATGCATATAAATTTGCCACAATACCATTTTCAATGGGTTCTGGGTATACAAATAATTAATAAGAATGTGAAAGCAGTGCAACCAAATATAAATGCCTGTGCGCAATACGCAATACTCTGTGCACAACGTAATTAAGGATTTATTCAGCCGTCTTGATTATTGGGTTGGGCACTCGACGACTGTAACCGGAATGCAGTGACCTCCTGGCTATATTATATAATAATTTTTTGGTTAAACTTTATGTTGTGAGTAGACTTACCAAAATTGAGGGGTCTGGCTCCTACCTGTTTGGCGTGACCGCAAAAGTTTTTGGCTTATCTCTTGAGGATGTCAAAGGTGTTCTCTTTGCAAAAATGATGATTTTCGTGTTTTGTGACGCAGACGTGCAGTATAGAATACTCTCCAAGATTCAAGTCTCTGTAAATGTAGAAACAGTAAAATTAACAAAATGTACAGTAAAAGAAACATATATATATCGAAAATAATTTGAATATTTGCCCAGGAGAGTAGTCCACCCGTTAAACTTGATTTTATACTACTTGCATCACCTTTCAGGACAAGGGTCACCACTGTAAGCTTATTGACAAAGTATGAATTCGCTTTGAAGGGCGAAATACAACAGTAAAATACACACATCCACGTTCAGTAACAATAGTGTCCATTAACACGCTGCCGGCCAAACAACTTCGCTATTGATGTCATAAATTAAAATTGCAATCGCAGACCATTGATGATAAATCATACGCTCGGATGAGTTTTCATCTCGCACATGAATTGTAGCTGCCGGCGACTCTGCACCCCGCCCGCAATCCCCTCATCGCCTTACACACCCACCCACCATATGGTGGCACGGTGGCACGGTGGCACGGTGGCCCGGCGATGATGTGACTGCTGCACGAGGAGCCACACAGAGCAGAGTCATCAGGAGCTGTGGGTGCTATATTGCGACGTGATGGGATTTTCAAAAATCCGAGCTAAATCGTTTTTGTTTGCAGCAAAGCTAACTTTGACTGCTAACTTTGTTAGAAGAGAAATTTATGTTTTATTTGGTGTCAATTTGTGGTAGAAATCATTCTCTTTATTCATAAATCGCACACAATTCGATTATATTCGATGATTTGATTGCTTTAAATTGAATTTGCAAGATACTGAAGATATTTCAATACACGCCTAGCACGTGCTGATCAAACACTGGATATGAATACACTTATGTAGTTTCCCAATACACTCCCCCATACACGCACACACACATATGCACACATGTACATAGCATATATGTATGTGTATGCTAAGCATGAAGTGGAGATATATTCTTGAAACATGTCGAATACGCGACTAACTCGCATTGTGAATAAAGGCAAGGTGCACATACTTTGAGTACTTTTGAAATAATCTTTGAGTATACATAAGGAATAAGTACGAAATATGAAATAAGAGCGCCTGACTAGCAGATAACCCGAACTTTCCCTAGAAATGATCTTTATGAAATTTTCACATATTAAATGTGGCGCTGTGGCATTGACAAATGTGCACGATGCGAGAGGCCATACCAACTATTTGTTTTTACCTATTCAATGCGTAAGAATATGCTAAAATTACTAGAAATAAATATAAAAACAATTACCTTTGCCGTCGTCAAACCTCCAGGCACAGCCAATCGCGCGAACTATTTGCCTTCGCGTCATACCTATGGAAATAATTGTAATTGTAATTCCATTTATATAATTGCAAAATTGATATTGAAATCCTATATTTTGGGCACGTCTCAACTTTTATAAAAGCTAGAAAAAACAAAACTTCGTACGTAGACTCGCTTTTTGTACAAATCCTTCCATTCCTTCCTGCTTATCCGTCGCATATGAGTACTTGATTAAGCCCGGTGCGTATGACCAATCCTTAAACATATTTTCAGAGTGGGAATGTAGAAGCTGACCAAAAAGTGAAACATCTTAAATTTTTGTATGACGTTTACGAGAATCTGCTTACCAAGTTTAGCGTTTCCAGCCTCTATGCTTTTCAAGTTAGGCCTGACTTTATTATAAAATCTTTTGCGAAAATGTAGAAAGTTAATAGATAGTTATTATAGGGGCTTATTTAATGTGAGAGAAAAATAAACTTTCCTTTATATGCTTACATCGTGCTGCTAAGCAAATCTTATCGAGAAGTAGAAATAATACATATACTTTTACACAAAAGAAGAAACTTTTGTTTTAAGCTAACGCAGTTCTTAAGGAAAACAAGTGAGAGACTCTAGTCGGGAGTTTCCGACTAGGGTATACGCTGAACTATCTTTTAAGTTTTATTAGTTTTACCTAAAATTACAAAATTTCCAGCTGCTTTTCTAACTACATATTTTTTCTCTCTCTCTCTCTCTCTAGCTCCTTTTTTAACTCTTTTACAAAACAGTCTAAAAACTCGAGCATTCTTAAATGAGGATACAGGAAACTGGAAAAGTGTTCGATATGGAAGTCTCAACACGGTTTCTACGAGATAGAAAAAGACTGGATTAGGCTCAAAACGGAATCCATCAAATCTTTAAGTATGGCCGAAGTTTGTATACTTTTTCTGGGCACGCTGGACATTTCTTCTATCTAAACCAGTTTATCTGACAAAATTATAATAAGCTCTGCCTGCTTACATCGTCATTCGCATGGGTCGCATATCATGTGTGACTGTCTGTATAAGTATGTATAAAAATATTATGGCGAGCTGCCATAGTGCAGTGTATGCGGGCGGGTGCGCTTGTTTGTATTTAATAATGTAGACACTTCCGACATTTGGCACTTAATAATTTAGCGCTAAAATGTTTGCAGAAAAATTGACAGCATTTTGACAGCAAAAAAAAAGGAAGATGTGCGTATTTTGCCATTTGCTTTGTCCCTGCATGCGCCAAACCCACATGCGAGTTTTCGACCGCCAGCTTCATTGTGGGCCCTATGTGTCAGATCCAGCGAATTTTTGTATGTCATTCCGGGTTAGCATGCTTCACGGTCTAACTTAATACAGGCTTGGCAGTCTCCGCCTGCCTGTGCTGGATATACTTATGTGTTATTCCATACACACATACATGTGTTGCTGTCTACATACATTTGTGGATATACAGCTTACCTCGCTCGCCTGTCAACATGAAATCATAAGGCGGTTGTCAGCATGTGCGAAAAAATGTTGAACTGTGGAAAACATCCTTCAACTCGATTCTAATGCATTTGTAGTGTTCGTGTTTCAGCGTTTGCCATTTTGTTGTAATTTTTTAATACCCCGCTTCTTTGGCTCACTAAAAGAATATTATACGCCTTTTACTAATACTTAAACTACATTTTTTTCATTCATTTCTTAACTTAACTCAATGTGGAAACAATATAACCAAGAAAAATATACATGTTTCAGAAACTGATTTAGAATCGAAGTAGATTTCGAGCAGCAAATCTAAATGACTTAGATTTCCCGAATCAGAATATGAGAAAACGGGTGAATAATTAAATTCAAAATTTTCAGCTTCTTGTATTTAATAGAAAATATTCGCGGCTGATATTGGAAATTGTGTTATTTCTTATGAGCCTGTACGAAATTATATTTCAGCATGAGTTAGGCAGTACATTCTGTAGAATTTCTATTCAAAGTTTCTATGCAAATTCTTCAATGAATATTGAAAATGAATAATAAAATGTATAATATGTTAATTTTCCTGCACTTTACTACCTGTACAAGATTACAGGGTATTATTCGAGTCGTGCACAAGGTATTTACATTATTTTTTTCCAATTTTAACCCTGGATTAAGGGGTTTGCTGTCAGTGTCAAACTCTAATGCTATGAAACAAATATAGCCGAAATACTTTTCGATTACATTTATAAATATGAACGAAATATTGTTTTATGGGATGCACTGTATGGTGCTTTAAAATGTTGTCTCTTAAAGGAACTAAAGCTTTCAATTAAAATAAACATAATGAATCACAGTACAAAGCACGAGAAGGCATTTGCTCACGAGGAGATGAAGTTCGACGCTTGAGCTAATAATAATCCTTTTCAGTTGTTAATTAAGCAATATATTACCAAGATATTAATTCTCATCAGTCAGTAGTTAATGCTTATTTTTATGCCTATTTTGCGGAAGGCTTGAGACAAGATATAAAAATGTTTTGGATTTCTGGATCACCAGCTTTACTGGAAAAACAATTTTCCCTTTACTAAATCCAAAATGTAACTAAATCATTTATGTATGTTATCTGTTTTTTTTTTTAAATAAAACTATATAGAAAATAAATCGGAATCTTCTCATGAAGCCGGACTAGACCAAGAGATATATGATAGAGCATTTGAATAAAGGCGTTCGGCTGACAGTCTCAGTCTCAGCAAAGTATTTATAGGGTAAAAAACTGTTGTTTTTTTTTGAATTGACAAATCTATTTTTTAAATGCTTAAATATTATGAAAGTATTTATAGGTTTTCACAAAAAGAGCTACGATTTGTCAATTTGTTGTTATCTCCATAACTTCGTGTATATGAACTTGAACTTGAGACATCCATATTATATATGCACTATATGAACTCGAAGATGTTTCTTTTAATGTGTTAGCAGTTGATGAAAAATTTGAATACCCTCGGCCAGGGCCAAATAAATAAGTGGCAACACTTGCGCAACCACCGTCTGGCTTTTAACCCTTCGAATCGCTGCCCCGACCAATATGCATTTGGTGCTGCTCAGGGTTTCGTATTTAATTATCGTCGTTACTTAAATACTTTGTGAATTTACGACACTTTTCAACATTTTAAAAGTTCATTTACTGTTATGAATTCGCATTCCGGACTTTATTCAATAGTAGCCAATGAGTGAATCTGGTCCAGGAACTCAAACTTATTCAAAGTGGCATAAAAATTAATGACGTTTGAGCCCAAAAAGTTGTGCAACTTAAGCAAAACATATATACGTCGTCGAAATTAAGAATATTGGCACAAGTATGTATTTAATGTATTTAATTATTAGCGCCGAGCACTCAAGTGTGACTTCTTAAAGGCGTTTTCACAAACACAGTTCAAGCCGGGCAAATGCCAACGGGCAACAAAAGAACATGTCCTCTCCTATCTATAGAAAAGAAAACTGACCTCGAAATACTCACATTCAAATTTCTATGTATACGGGCATTGCCTGTGGCAAAAAGCTTTGAATACAATTTTGAATCTGATCGGACGGTACATAAACAACTTTCATACAAACATTTTCCGCCAATTTAGTTCATTTAGTTCTTATGTAGAGCTCTGACAATAAGTTTGAGGTAAATCGAACAAAACTAGAAAATCCATTTGCAGAATCCAAGTTTCTTCTGCTCAAAATGCGATCAAATGATTTTTTGAGATACAATTTATGATATGTGCGATTTGCTGCAAACTTATTCTCATAGACAAAAACGTTTTTCACCTATTTCGGAAATTCTAGCGCCACTTAGGTTAATTGTCGGAAATATAATATATTATACATATTGTAAGGGCAAATTACGAAATAGTTAATTTTTAACACACAACGTCCTTTTAAATAACTTTTGATATCATTAATGGTATTTATAAAATTGCTAGATGGTAGAAAAAACATCACTGAAAATAAATATGTATAAGTATCTAGCATATGCGTGCCCACTGCAAGTGTCCGCGCGTAAACCGCACGTAAACTTTGTCTAGTAAGTTTCAAAGTCACGTTTGGGGTATACTTAAAGTTACTTATTGCGACCAAACTAAAGCGTGTAGCTTAAAACTAAAAAAGTATCTATGAAAATAGACACTGCTTTAGCAAGTTATAATGCTACCTGCAGCTATGAGCGCCAGACAAAGGTCTTCGCTTTGCTCCCAGATAATTGTCCTCTAAGCATTTTATTTGGTCATTTGCCTTACGGCAGCCTTTTTGCACTTACAGATTAATGAGTTTTTATAATTTTGATTTCATATAAATCAAATCAAGCGTTTGTTTTTCTATGTAAGCTGTATGCTATAGTAGTCCGATGTAATACAATTTGTTCATCCGTGAGGAGCATAGTTTAACTGATTAACTTTAGTCAAGATGTCTAAATAAAGAAAACTGAAAACTGCTTATTTTGCCATATAAAATACGACTACCTATCCCACGGAAAGGAAACGAGTGTCAACCTTCTTTGGAACCTTTTTGAGGCTGGATACAACCGCATTCTTATCGGATCGGTAGCTTGTCTAATCCGGCGTGTTAATGCAACAAAATCAATAAATTAATGAATCGAATATAAATACACATATTAGTTAATGACTCAATACGAATCTGATATCCACACTACCAAAGAGAATTGTTTTTCTTTTAATAATATTTGAATTAGGATAGATTTCTCCTATAGATACTGTCGGTCGAAAGTGTCTATACCTATAGGCTGAGGTATTCTATACCACACAACTTGGCTTCCTTTGTAATGTGAAATATGCAAACATTTTAACATGTATTGCAACAATCGAACAGCAAATCAAGGATTGGGTACAATTGCTTCGGTTCCTTTACAGCTTGTGGAACTTTGACGTACACTCAGCCGGGACATGGGTAATAATTGTGGTTTCTGTAACAGAGTGCTTGGAACTTTGGTAATTTAATTTTTACACGGTCGATTTATTGCAGACACGGTAACCATAAAGTCGATAGCTTCTACCAGCTAATATGAGACCTGCATATGTATATGTGTGTGTGAGTGTATTTAAAGTCGACGCATGTAACTATTTACATGCACACACGAACGCACACATGCACGTTTCTATATATGTATATATAAGGCAGGCCTTGTTGAGAAAATAGTTCTTGCAAAATAATCGAAAATAATGAATTACATATGTAAGTAATTCATTATTTATCGTATATTTGGCAAGAGCTGCTTTCGACGTTAAATAAGAAAATGCTGCGAAATGATTAATAATCGAATTATGACTGTTGTACATGTATAAACAATATTTTTATATGCATATAAAGCTGTGTCCAGATGACTGAAGGAAGCATTTCCGTTCAATTATATTGAATGGCAAATACATTTTCTTTAGAATATTTGCCGGTTTAACCGATGAACTGATTTTTGGTTTAAGCATACCAATCAGAAAGGATGGCCAGACATGTTTGAAGTGTTTGCTTGAAGCGAATCAAAAAATATATATTTGTATGGCAGAAGTGGTTTTCAGATTTTATTTGCTTAAAGTTTGACAAAGTGGCGTTTGCTTTCTGAGTTACACAAGGCCTAAACTTCGACAAAACTTTTGCTCGAGCAAATATTTGTAAGATTGGAATATGTACAAACAACTAAGGATATGCAACTTTTGTCTCTTACAGCTGCAGGGTTCACTTTTTAATAAGTGCAATAAATCAATCTTCGAAAAAATGCGCTTAAGACACAAAACCTCAAGCAATTAAATAGCAATAGCAATATTAATATGTATATTAATATTAATATTTTCTTAATTTAAAGTCTTCAGTACTTAATCCAGGAATCGTGCCGCAGCTGAGACTCTTCCCTAGCCTCACTCTATGGGTAATGCCTCATTGCTAATAATAATAATAACTTATAGAATATAACTTATTGTCAGATTTTAATGAAATCCGTAGCACGTTAAATATGGCAAATACGAGAGTATGCACATGAACGGCAGAGCAGGCAGGTATTTCACTACATCCTGATATCTTAAAATTATCCGCCTGGAATCAATTGCTTAACTCATACAGTTAAAAGAAAATCACAATATTCGAAATCGCACAAACATAGCTAAATATAGGCGAGAAAACAAAACATATTCAAATGATTTGAGTCCGTGTCCTTGTCAGTTCAGGTATGTTCGCGTTATCTATTATCAGTGCAATATTATTTTGAACTAACTTAAACAATTCGCAAGCAAAAAGGCATATGAATTATTTAAGGCTTCTTGTTGCTGAATTTCATATAAGTAAAGAATCGAACTTTTATATAAGTGCATGAACGTCTTAAAATAATGAGAAGGGTTAAAAACGGTGACGCTTATTTTCGTGTTGCATCTAAGTTATGTGTCCGCTGTTACGCAGCTTCAAGGAGCAAAATGCCGAGTAATGTAAAACAACAGTAATATAAAATATGTAGTCCCTTATACGAATTCCTTCGGTGGCATTTTCTGCTTCAAATATTTGTCGTGCACACATTGCAAAAGGCAGCCACACATTTACGGAGCTATGCTCCAGGTAAGGTAAGAATAACCGTGGGCACCTATGTTATGTATGTCATCATATTGAAAATATTCACAAAAAGCTTGTAAACTTTGTGTGCACCCTCATAGCATCAGAAGAGAGGGGTTTGAGTTTTCGCCGCTGGTCACGCTGACAGAGCTTATTATGGCTGGCCTGGCTGCTTTCGATGTTTTCAAAATTCACTTCACGCAAGAATTCCTTTTGTTCTTATAACATATTTTAAATTAGTTGCTAAAATATTATCTCTATATATGAGATTATATGCTATGCCATGCATATATTTCGTTGCCTGTTATGGATAAATAACGCAAATAAATTGTGTGACCTGCAAATAAAATCCGCTTAAAATCGTCACCGAAGGTCGCAAAATCTTAGAATACATTCTCCTTTTGCGGTTCACCCAACGCACATCGATGCTTAAATTTCCTCAATGACATCAGCGAGTGGTCCCATAAACATGATAAATGGTTTAGTTATATGTTATATGAACGTACTTAAGTCTTCGAGCATGTCAATCACAAGTGTTTGTCTACGTTCTGCTTTTCTCAGCAAACACATTAACTGGCAACTAAATATTCCGGAAGCTCTCTCATCTGCGACCATATACCCCATATAAATACACTTATAAGCAATAACAATCTTGTTGGCAAGGACATTTGCTGCTGCCTCCCCTCGGACTTAATTACGGACAATGGCAAGAATGCTCTAAGTGAGAAGTACAAAAAGTACTTTTTATATAGGTGACTAATATGACTTGTGGAGTAAGCAATATTTTTAATCATATTTTTTGAAAAGGTCAACGGTTATTTACTTGCCGAAATAAAACCTTGGTAGATCTATATATAGTATATGTTTTTGTGGCTTACCCACAGTTGGAGGTCGAGGTCAAGAATTGGTCTGTTTCATCCATGAAGGCACATATTAAAATGTTCCAACTGAAACGATAAGAATCGGCATTAAAATGACAATATCTCTGCATTTTTGAATTATATAAATTGAAATCGATAGATGTCGCATTTTTAAATTAACCAATGAATAAGTTAAGCAAGCCCTCCACATACGATCATGAGCTCGACGTTAGTGGAGATGTTCGCGAAAAGATATGTACTTTTATAGTTCTAACCTTTAGTTCATCCAGAATACGGAACATTAACAATGAACCTTAAGCATGCTTATCTCAGGTAAAGGTGACAACGAAACTCTATCACCTTCAGCCGGTAAATAACTAAATACCACAATTACTGCTGCATAATCTAGGTCTGCTCGCAATCGGAATATAGCGAAAGATATTTGCTTTCGATTCCTTATAGGTAAATTTGCAAGACCCGTGATATGAAAAAATACTCTTACGGACTAAAAAAGTGTTATATATACATATATGTTATAATCATAATTAAAAATGTATGAAAATACTTATCTAGAATTCGCAGCTACTCGCGGCTTTCCTAGGCAAGGTCCTAAAATTGTTTTATATATATTTTTGTGACGTGGCCAAACTAAACCGGGAAATAACTAATAATATTATATTATATATTTTTATACAACAATTTCGCTTTAATGGTCTATTTCAATTGACAATACAAATTGAGCTCGATTTCAAATATCGTTTTACGAATGACATTTTCCATATTAATGGATATGCGGTCTTGAGTTTAAGGCTTATAATATAAGTTTTCTAATTTACTCATTTCAATAGCTACAATATTTTAATAATTATTAGGATTATGATATAAGAATTTCTAAATTATTTATGTTCAATCGCCTACATTCAAAATTGAAGTATAAAACATTAGACATTCTGTTTACTTATGTGAGGATGACCTAGTTCATTAAAATTCGCGAATCGATTGCCATCTTAGTTTAAAAATACTTTTGATAGTGATCCACAGTAAATGTGGTTTTGCACCTATAACTTAATATTCAACTATTGATATTGTGTGGTTCTTATAACATATAAGACCTTAGATTAAAACGAAAAACGTTTTCAGTTGCCCTTTTACAATAATTGCTCCTAACAGGGATATTATAATTATAATAAAGTTCTCTTCCTGACCTTGGGTTCCATACGGTAATGAAGTCGACGTTTTTGGAATTGTCATTAGCAAGTGCCGAAAATTGCGTAGGTTGAAGCATTCATCATCATCATTTCATTTTGAAAACTCTTAATTGTTCAAGTATGAATGTGTTTCAACGATATGTTAAGTTTGCCGAAGGTTAAATTTAAAATGTTTTGGATTTTATTGGCGAAAATTCTCGAGTGTATTGATCATATCCCTTTTAGGAGTAACTTTGGTTTGCAGCGAAAAATCAGTGAAAACATTGTTTAATATGTACTCTTAATATTAAGTATGCAGAAATACCATGCTCGAGCGGGTATTATACGTTGTTTTTTCGCTTAGATTTTAACAAGTACACTCTTCGTTGTATCAAAAAAAAATGTGTGCATACTCAAAACTAATCACATCATAATACAATACAATACAGTACAAAAATGTATCCTACGATTATGGTTACAAATGTTTATAGCTTATTTCTAAGAAGTATTCATGGATTCAAAAATTATATGTTTATAGTACCTAATACCAACTAATTTTCTATTTTGTTATTGAAATATTTTCATTTTTATTTTATTTTCTTTTTAACTATTTAATTGCAATAATTGGAAGATTGTTTTTTTTTCATCCTAAATGTAGTACTTAGTACTAAATATCAGATATGGGCAAAATATACGCATATATAGATATGTATATATGTTTGCCAAATTGACTGGAATAATTTGACTGGCAGTGTATCAGAAACGATAGGTTTTTCTAAATAAGACATACATATTAATTTAAAACAACGAGTGGATGGGCTTTTGTTTTCAACAGTACGAAATACAATCAATGTTGCTTTGCTCTTCTTGCAAATTGGTTACAAAATGTTTACAGATAATATTTGAAGGGTGAGCTTTGAAACTCGAAGCTTCAAACAATATTTCAATTGCAAATATATTAAAATGCAACGCACGTTGCAAATTCGTATAGAAATTCTCTGATCGTACTTCATTACAAGATAAATACCTTACAACCGTATCCACTAAACTTATAATAGATTTACATTTGCAGAACAAAAAATTAGAAAATTATTTAAAAAAAGTCGCAAATAGTTATGTTACTGTGTCTGTCATCGTTTAACACTTAATATATGGTCAAAGAGAACAGCACAGTTCTTATAGCTCAAATATTCTGATGGTTATGTTTGGACTACACTATATGTACATATGCAATTGTTTTGTTATTCATTATTTACATTCATTAAATATAATTAGATTTGAGTAATAAATGCATGTTAAACCAATTTTGTGTCTAATAAAAGTGCATTTAAGATTAACCAACCCTGTCGACAAAGGCTGATGGAGGACTAACATGTTTCTCAGTTAAAATGTAATCGAATTGTTCGTTTTTCGAGTTCTTATTTATGTTGCTGCACTGCTTTTGAATATTTTCCGAGCTGCTTTCCGTTTGAAACTTGTGGTCACTCATGGTCGAGCCGATAGCTAACGTTTCAGTATTGCTTAGAGTGTCCATGCCCTGATATTCCAGAGACCTATTTGGTCCCTTTGATGCTCCCAATGAATCCAAAGGTTCAATATTGTAAATATTATGTTGATGACTTAAGAACTCCAGTTGATTGCCGTCAGTATTCTTGAATAGCTTTACACTCGCATCACCATAGTTTTTGTTATAGCATGTTATTGAGGGACAAGCGACTTGATCTGGCTCTTGTGTTTTTAATTTTTCAATATATGACCCCGATTGTGTGACTGGTCGGGAGATACTCTGGGCTTCCCCACAATCGCGATTAAGGGTGCCGTTGTTGGTATTACTATCGGCACCTTTGTATCGCTGACGACTGGGTATACTTCGGGACATATCTGCACATTGGATTGTAGCTTTGGCAGATTTAATTGTGAGAATTTTCCGCTGGGAATCACAAGAGTACGTTGATTTCCGCTGTTGCTTTGCTGACGGGTCAAAGAGCCTGCAGTCGATGGGTACGCTGTCCAGGATGCTGTAGAAGTAAATAAATCATTTTAAATGTAACTGTTTTTAAAATTTTTCTTATCAAATGGCATAATAAACTACCTCAATAACTGGGTATTTTTTGAATAACATAGTTTTCTCTACAACATTAAAACTCCAATACCTATGCATAAAAAAAAAGGACTGACAGCTAAGCTGTTGCAAGGGACTTCGGAGAAAAAATGCTGTAATGTGAAAAATGAGAACTATCGACTGGGATTGAGTCAAAAGCCTGACTTAAGAGTGCTTTAGGAACTCGTCTCAGATCAGAGACTCAAAGTAAGACAAGAAGGTAAGCAGGCTATCCCACAATGTGAAAACGGAATTTCCGAAGAATATTATATATATTACTATATAAGGAACCCTCGTTATAAGACAAAAGAAATATTGCCAAGACCCGGCCTACTTAATCTAAATTCAAAAAAGATTAGGTACTAACTTACTATGCAGTTGAGGTCTGCTAAATACAGAAGACCTATCTTTACCAATTCCTCCATTGTTTCTAGTTTTTCTTCCATGTGCTGAAAGAAAAATACGTTAATATTATGAAAATCAGTGAGTTTACATAAATACCTGTTAGTCCTTCCTCATCAATATAATTGGACGCTTCACGATTACTACGATTTTCTTCACGAATGCGCTCCCGCTCACTAAGCTCGCTATCACTATTTAAGCTATCGTACTCTTCTGATTCTGACTTTAAAATTTTCGAACGACGTTTCAGTCGCTTTTCAGTACTTATACTGTTGCTGTCATCAACTATCACATTGCTGGTCAGCTTAACATTTGGGTTAATTCCACCTATACTTGTTGAGACGGGACGTTTTCCTTTCGACCCAGAGCTACATAATGTATTATCATCTTCACAGCGAGAATCGTACTTTAATGAGCTTCCCGTGTAGCTTAAAGCAATATTTCCGGACTGGTTTTCATGTTCTGGTAAATGAAATGTAGCGTAAGGATATATGTCTTCTGAGTATTCAGGTATGCGCTCAAGTCCAGCAACCGCTTCAGGCGGGGTTTGCTGGCATGATTTGCGTACTGTACCATAAAAGTGTTCATGACTTTGAATATCCTTTCCATCTGCAGTACTACTTTGTGGCCTTAATGAGTCCACATTACGTGAAAACAAAGTTTGTGTATCTACAAATTTATAAAAGGGTTCAGTATTTGTAAGCATACATATATAAATATTTGATACAAACAGTTTTTGAAGCAGATAAAAGCGCCGATCAGAGCAAGAATTGTTCCAAATATTGAGGCTATAATAACAGCTATAAGGTGCGCATCGGTAAGTACAGTTTGCTCCTCGGGTAGCGCATCCGGATCCGAGCTGCCAGTTAACCCAATCAGATTCTGCGTTTTGAAATAAAATTCCTTTGCAGTTGAGCCAGCATTATTGTTTGCCGTGACACGCAATAGGTAGGCCGTTCCTGGCTCTAAATCACCAATACTAAAGCGGTTCTGTAAATAAATAGCGACAAATAAATATATATAAATAAATAATAAAAGAAAAGGTGCAACTTACATGGGTTTCAATTTTATTTGAAACTATGATCCATTCACCCGAAGATTGATAGTGCTTGAATTCAATACTAAAGTGAAGTATCGGGCATCCACCGTCCTGCCAAGAGGACAAGTCTAGGATAACTGATGTCGTATTCGAACGTATAAAGCTGTGCTTTTCCGGTGCCAGTGGTTTGTTTCCTATAAAATGCAGCTATATCAATTTGAAATCGTAACAATATTTTATTTCGTAAATACCTTTGGTCTGGGCTGATACAATTGCACTTGTGACACTGGTGCCAATTTTATTAAAAGTGCTCATCGTAAATTGATATTTGGTGCCACATTGCAGATTTTCAATCATGTATGAAGTAATGCGCCGATCAATTTGAAACTCGTTCCATTCGGCCGATTCCCGCCTGTAGGTTAAAGTAAACCCTCTAATCGGAGCACCGCCGATATCATCAACTCTCCATTGAATTGATACTGAATTTTTGTGAACCGAATTCACAGAAACAATAGGAGCAGAAGGTGGAACTAACAAAAAAAAAAGAGAATTGATTTTAATGTTAACGTTAAGAATAACTAGTTTGTCTTACCTTGAACGAACAGCTGATAAACAATATGATCCGAACCCACGGGATTTCGCACAATGCACGAATAATTGCCTTCATGCGAACGTTGAATATTGCGAAGACTTAATGTATTATCGTTGCTTACTTCCAGTTGGAACTGCTTTTTAGAGCGCGTATTAAGTATCTTCCACTCGGCGCTTGCTTTGGGATTTCCAACAAATATACAGGCTAGCTTAATATCTGATCTCCAAGTGACGGACAAAGTCTGGCTAAAAGATATGATAGCAGCTGGTATCGACGTGCTTGGCACCAGTTTGATGACTGGAGTACTTGGACCCTGTCCCACCCTTGTCGATGCTGTGACCCAAGCCTCATAGGTTTCTCGCAAATTGAGGTCTTTTGCTTCGAAGTGTCGATTATGTGCTGGCAAGACTTCCTTTAGTATTTTCAGCTCCTGACCCTTTTCGAGTACCCGTATATAAACATTGTACTTGGTAATCAATCCGTTTGGTCGTCGTGGTGGTAGCCAGCTAATAATCACTGAAGATTCGGTACTAACTGCAGATTTCACAAGCTCTGGTGCATCCGGTACCGCTTCTTCCGTAATACATGACACAGCCGGACTTAAGACGCCTTCACCAGCCCGGGTAAATGCCAACACCTGAACGCTATAATTTGTAAAAGGCTGCAATCCATGCAGAACTGTGCTAAGAGCCGAAGTAATTTTTGTTTCCCGCACGCTGTATTCACTTTCCAAAAATCCTGGTTCGTACAGTATCTTATAGCCTTGAATAATTCCGTGACATTGTTTCTTTGGTGGGGACTGCCAGGATATTTGAATATTTTGGGCAGTTAGCGCAACGCATGACACCGATCGAGGAGGTGCGGAAGGAACATCCTCCAAAGTGTGACCCAATGCTACATCACTCTGGGGTCCGTCGCCTTTTATATTAAATGCCGAGACTGTGATTCCATACTGAGTATACTTCTCCAATCCAGTTAAACGAAAGTCATTCAAACCTTCTGTTATCAGGCTACCAACCTTAGTCTGATTTTTACCATTATCTGGAGTACCTTGCTTTTGATACGAAATTGTATATCCCAATAGATCGCCATTCCAAGAATCACGTACGGGCGCTCGCCATGTTATCAGCAACTTTTTGATCAAATAATGGAACAGAATAAATATCAGCAAAAAGGTAAATATCATCAAAATAACAAAAAAAAAATGACAGTTTCTTTTTTGGTTTTCGGGCAAAGCGTGGAACGACTCAAGGCAGATGATATACTACGAATTGATGTCCCTAGGCACTTTAATCTCTGAAAAATGTCTTTACAAAATGAAAAGGATCAGAGCGTCAATAAGATCGCTACGCTCCGGCTGAGATGGTCAGAGATGCATTCATCTGCCTATTTTATTCATTATGAAGAAGGGTTGACAGCACTTGAAAGTTGCTTGCCCGTAACCCTTCGTCTGTCCAGAGGCTTATTTAATACTGCTATGGCACTTGGACTAATTAATGTAGGCTCCCTTTTTGAGACAATAGTGGGGGCTGTCTGACAAATATGCACTCAATTAGTACAGAAAGCTGTTCATGCAGTGCCTTTGTGGAGCTCCTATTGAACTTCTACTATATGACTACTATATGATAATACTACAAATTAGGAATGAAAGATGGAATGCTAGTATACACTTACCTGCTGTGGCCCAAGCGGCTCGACAGTAATGTCTTGTGGCGGCGCCGATGGTACTTCTGAATCTGTTTGCACAAATAAAATGTCGCTTGGGGCGCTGGTGCCTAGATGATTTTCGGCAAATAATCGTATATGGTAGACTTGTGCAGGACGAAGAGATCCTAGCTGTGCCGTAGTTCTGTCGCCAGGAAGTAGCTTCTGGTTGTTGTGTTCATGCCAGACATCTGCATTCAAAAAACAGTAAAAAGCTTACAATCAGAAGATCCCAACATAAAAATACTCTTTGTATATCAAGGCATTTTTACTGTAGTTGCCTTATGTGATGGGAGGTGTTTCACAATTTTCCGCGAAACCATATTCCTGTTTATTATCGATTCTTATCGATTGCTTGGCAACCGGAAAAGTTATCGATTATCGAAACCAAACTAGTGCTGCGCGGGCAAAATTTTCGTTAAAATTTTAAGACCTCCAGCACTTATAGTTGATTCTGAGATTTACGTACGCTCAGACGGACGGACGTACAGACATATGGCAAGATCGACTCGGATATGATTTAATTATAATTGCTTATATTTCTTGACTCTACATTTATTTGTATTAATTTGTTGTTTGTGAATATATAAAATATAAATATATATAATTCAATTAAGGATCAAATACTTTGACCCTGGATTGGTCAGGACAAACTTCTTTACACATAAAAATTCAATCATATTATGAATTGTACTTACCTCCAGCTTTTTTGTATTGCAATATATAATTTGATATCGGTTGAGCGTCCCGGTTATTGCTCCCACCTCCGCCCAATATTATTGAATCCTGATCGTTTGGAGACCAGGCCAATGTTACCGAGCGACTCCCAAGATCTCTGACATGCAAATTAACCGGAAAATTAGGAGGTTCTTGCACCTGTACATGTATAACACTTCGATCACGCCCATAGGCATTGCTGGCTATACAAGTATATTCGCCTCTATCTGTCAGAACCGTCTGCAAAATAGTTAGCTCCGATGATACTCCACGAGCTAGAGGCGAGTTTTTTATATGATAGCGTATATCGTAGGATGGGTCAATGCGACTTGCTTTCGACCGCCAAGATATTTCTAGAGGCTGATCCCCGTTCGCTTCGCAGTGCAAAGTAATACGTTCTCCACGCCGAATCGACAACTGTTTTTTGGCAACAGTGACCGAAGGCCCAACTGTTGAGAATATGCAATATCAAAACATTAATTAAGGATCATTAATCAAGAATTTTTGTTCTTACCATGAACTGTTAATTTAATTAGGGTGCTTAGGCCAGCTCCAATGCCATTGCTTGCCTGGCATAGGTAGCTGCCCTCGTGCTCTCGGGAGACCTTGGATATTATCAGGGAACCATTTGTATGGGCCACAATAGTGGACTGCGAGTTTCCATTGCTCATGGCATAACTAAGATCACGGTAATCGCCAGAGTCACCTTCACGCATACACATATAGTTGAAATTTAAACCTCACTACAATACTCTACTTCCATACCTATCGATTGCTTCCATTGAATAGTGGGTTGGGGAAATCCGTCAGCCTTGCACGATACCATTACTGAATTTCCTAGGATTGCGTCTTGGTCAGTGGGTTTTAAAATCCACCGGGGAGGTACTATTTTAAGATTTCAATAATTACTACGAATTCATTCAAAATATTGGACCATCATGCAATATATACAATTCTAATAAGAAATGCATGCAATTATCAGATTACATCAAGTCTACTGATAAACAATACGGCTGATATTTTTTTCATTAGGTGTAACATCTAGATGGAACTGAATAAATATAGTATATATTTGAATATGCATATTGAGTTTATTTATGTATAATAATGCTTTAGTTGTGAGTCTGAGTATTTAGGCCACGTTAGTGAACTGTGGTCCACACGCAATTGCCTTGTAAAAGAAGCATTATCGCATTGTCCTCTATCCAGACGATTTTACTTTAGTTTAATTGCCAAGACTGTAAAAGATTGTTAATATAACCCACTGAGTACCCGATATAATTTACTGCATCTGCAATTTAGGAATGTTCATCAAATTTCATATCGAAGTTGTCTACTTGACTTTGCAAAATAACCCAAGTAGTTGAGAACTAAGCCCGAGTCAGATATTTAAGCTGGAGCGATACCTTGCGACTTTCGCTCAGTGTACATGCACTAAATAAACGCTATTAATACATGCAACTTATATATGTATAATCTTGTGGAACACAAGTGAGTGCAAAAAAGCCGAGTGCATTGTGCTCAGTGCTCGATCTCCTACATTTTCTTTTAGTTTTGGTAATTTCGCCCACTATTATTTGAATACATATGTATGTATTAACTTTATGTCATTACTTTTCTCAATATTAATGAGAGAGACGGATATTGGATTAGCTAAAAAAGTTAACTTTGTGAACTGAGCAATAAATGCCAATTAATCTGGACATCGGTTTAGATTTGCCTTGATTTCTTGATTATATATTAAATAAAACATATCTGGGGGAAAACCATAAATAAGGCATTGAGAGCCACACGTAATTGTCTGATATCCTAGCGAAGCAAGGAGTGGCATCTTAAGAGGACATAGAATGGTGCAACTCTGGACATGGGCAAAGGAAGGAACTAAACAGATACCACACAGATAGGGAAAAGACAAACCAAAAGGTTCCTTATCTCTGGATAACTGACTTTCATAGATCCAAAATGACATACAATATCCGCATACAATATACTCTCATCATATTGAATAAATCCGTTAAGTGTGGTTTTTGAATCAACTATGCCTTACGATTTATACTCTTGTTTTATATTTTCGGCAGCCCGACAATAGTTATAATTTTTCTTACTCTCATATCTTTCCCATTAGAGTATAACTAATCTCTCAGTTTTAAGGCTGGCTTGTTTTGTCTAAAAAAATTGTATAACAAATATATAAGAATTTCAAACAGATATATAAATACATTGGTTATGATAAGTCAAAAAGTAGGGAAGTTTTTGACGGAAATGTCTTTTTATCAAAATAATTGTCAATAAAATTATAAATATTTCATTAATAATTATATTGGATAGTTACTGAAGTTTTTAATAATATGGCTTTTATTTATTTTACTGACGAATCTTTTTTGCAAGTATTGAACACTGACGCTGGCATTTAAAAAAAAAAATACTTTTATATCACCAAGCAAATTGATGAAAAACAGCTGTGATCGAGTAGGAATGAAAACAATTCCAAATAAGAATATAAAACGATCGTAGATTAACATTTAGGTTCAGTTTTTTTTGTTGTTCAAAAATTACAAATTGACGATGGTTTCAACATATTTCTGCTTGAAGATCAATTGAATACTACCCAAAATTCGAATTACCAGATCCTAGCCTTTATAGCTAGATAACTAAGCCTCCTGGTGCATTGTCTACAATATTTACTGTGAAAAGATCAATTTTTGCGTTGTTCAAAATTACAAATTGACGATTGTTTGAAGGGTCGTTAGAACATGATATAGATGACATATTTTAGTTTGAAGAGCTATTAAAAATTCGAATTACCAGATCCAAACCCTTATAGCTAGATAACTAATCCTCCTGGTGCATTGTCTACAATATTTACTGTGAAATTTGTTTTCTTGTGCAAAGTACATTTCAATATTATAGAATTGGTGGGTGTTGATTAATGCTTCTAGAAAACAATAGTTACACTTGATTTACCCGAAACCGAAAGAACAGCTGTGTACTCAACAGTGCCAGCGTGATTTGTCACACTACAAGTGTAGTTACCATTGTGCCATGAGGAGACGTTGTGTATGGACAATATGCTGGAAAATGGGGTATATTGATTGATTGTTAACGACGGATCCTGCGGTAAAAACTCATCGCCTTGTCTTGTCGTCATGGGCAATTGTTTGTTGACACTGGCACTGCTGCTCATTAGAATGTCTGAATTACTCTGAATTGGCACATTGTTTCTGTGCCACGTTATATTGAAAGGTTGATCTCCTTGGCTGCTGGAGCACATTATCTGTGTCCGCATGCCTTCGGTGATTTCGTCTTCAAACGCAAAAGGAGATATACGCGGTGGAACTAAACAAATATATATTACAAAAAAAAAAAATGTGGTTTAAAATTATTTGATCTTATTTGATTATTTTTATTAAAGTTGCTCGCATATCTTAAGGATACTTCTGTGTCTGTGTGTACCACATATACCTCCGATAGCGAAAGCTTTGCGTACAAATCGAATTACTCGACGTACATAGCTGAAAGCAGAGTATAATGGACTTGAATGCGATTTGATGTACATGCGTTTAAGTAAGCCTGAATAAAAATTCTTTTAATTGAAAATCAATTTAAGTGATCATGCAATCTAATAAAACATTAGGTTTCAAAAGCTCATATATGTTTGAATAATAAATTAATATATACAAAATAAAAAAAAAACGGGCTTAACAGACGGATCGTAATATCTGATCTTAGTATTATAATTAGCTAAAAAGAGGTTGACAGAGTCTTTTTGGCGTTAGAATGGCAAAAAGGCAAGGCCTTGCGTAGATATAGATTATATTCCAAATTTATTGTCTATAACTTTACTGCATGCGGACAGAACCAATCAGAGACAAATGTATTACTATATAAGACCTCCAAGCTCATAGCTAAAAGATCATGAGGAGATTGTACGGCTAAGAGAATTGTCATCCATATTTTGGATATCGGTACCCACACACGAAGCTGTTAAGATCGATTTGAGTAACATTTTTGGGGCTAATAAGCTACTCAGTTTAACTCTTGCTCCGTCCAAGTTTCTAACTTGCAGCAGATAATTCATTTTGGTCAAAAACAGGCAATAATCAATCATAAATGTATGGTTCTAATTATTAAAGAATTATTTCAAGAGCATAAATAACCATCAAAAGTGAAAAAGAATTAAACATATTTCGATAACTACTGACGAACTACTTCATGCATATATGTACATTATCTAAAAAACACACTTATCAATATGAGCTCAAACTAATGAACAATGCGCTTATTAGCGTAGAAAGTTATGTATTGTCTGTGTGCTTGAATAACTTAATTAGAAAATAGTTACAGCGCATTACGCTTGATGAATTTAAGAATTAACGTGCATATATGTATATAGACGGGCTATTTGTTGCGTATTTAATGAGCAACTCGTTTAACTACAGTGCAAAAAACAAAACAAAAAAAAAAAAACAAAAAAACGAAAAGAACAACAAGTACCATTAACTTTAAGCTGTGCAGAGTGCGTTACAGTAGCGGCATCATTTTGAACGCGACACGTGTACGTGCCGCTTTGGTCCCTCGTCACACTTGTGATGCTGAGGGCGCTGGTAAAATCATCATTTTGGCGAATTGTCACCTGGCCGCTACTTTCACCACTACTACGACCATTGTCATTCGGAGCAAGGTCGCTTGTGAAGGCAATCGCCGCCGATGCCGACGCCGAGGCCGAGGGTAAAATGGGAGATGAGGAGAACTGCGACAATGATCCGGAGCCGGTACCCAATACAGCAACGCCACCGGTACCCTTAAGCCCACCGCTGACACTATCGGCCGAGGCTGCCGATGGCAGAGCTTTTCCATCCTTTAGCCAGGTAAATGAAAGCGGCAGGTCCCCGGTGCCAATAACGCACTGAATGCTTGTGCGGTCACCGACGTTCAGATCGCGTGCGAATGAGAATGGCGTAATCTTGGGTGGAACTGGATGTTTAATTTCAGTAAAAATATTTTTAGTACAAAATTGAGCAAACGTTTCTTAAGAATTTAATTACGAAGAAAAAACACAAAAACAAAACAAACAACTTTTTTTTGTTGACACAATGAGCTGTATAAAAGCGAGTTTCCATTGTACTTGATAACTATCAAGTATTTGTTTTTTCAAATATTCACCAATGTTATTATTTTCTTTTTTTGTAAGTAATATTATATAGATCCTCCCAAAGAAACTATCGCCCTTTCGGTTCTTCTCTTTACTGCTACTGTCATTGCCGGGTTTCTTCGATCTGTACGCTTTTCCGGGCATTCGGTAAAAAACGTGGCTTCAGATTAAATATGTTTATATTATATATATCTCTAATGGTGTTCAAAGTATATTTTTGTGGCTATCATTTGATACTCAGTAATATCAAATCCATAAAGCCGAAAAATACTAGCGAAGCAAAGGCATATTTAATATTCGAAACATCGGCTGAACTGGGGCTGGACCTCATCCAAGAAGAGTGGACTATTTATATTAAGCTGAGTTTCTTGCAAGAAACGGTTTCGCTTAATTCAATACCGTTTTAGTTAAATATCAAGGTAAAAATATAAAACATGTATTTCGGTTAGGGAATTTAGTTTAAAGAGCATTAAAACTTAATTCAAAGCTTTTGCAATGGAAAGTAACGAAAAAAGAAATAGTTGAATTAAGTTTCTTCGTACTTCAATTAAGTAAGCCGGGACTTACTCTATTTTATAGAAATTAAAATGAATTCTATTAAAACTCAGACACAGGGATTAGAAGAAAGTATAAAAATAATAGTTTGTACACTTTCGACTGAAAGTAATGTTTTTTTTTCCCAAATTCGCACCAGCGGTAATGTAGACAGCGGTATATTTGTAAGAGAAAAGTTCAATAAGGTTTTTCATTTTTTGGTGTCTTTAAATAGTCTTTCTGAATATATATCATTTAAGTAAAACTTAAAGTGATTTTATATAATTATATTCTTTGAAATGCATTTTCGTCTCGATCATATTATTCAAAATGAATTTTTAGATTTTTTTCGATATGTTTCCAACTTCACCCGCAACTGTGGAAACTTTACGGAAAACTTGCAACTTAATGTTGTTAATAATTTTTTTTAATTTCTAACATACAGAAAGGCTATCAATTAAAACACCAGCAGAGAGTACTTAATCTCAGCTCAAAACACCAAATTGACGGTAAACCGCGGGAATAGCTCACTTCTTTTAAACTGGTCGTATCGAAATTGTAGACAGTAAAAGAGTGTATGAGCTCGAACAACACACAACTGTGGCGATATAAACCCTGAAAAAATACCGCGCATGCCAAAGCAAGTGCAAGTGCAAGTGTGGGGAATACCTTATGCGAATGCGAGTTTTATTAAAAGTGCAATGTAAAAGTTCGAGCGGTGCAGTTATTATGGAATATTAAAAATCGATATGGGTACAATACTATTTTCAGATATAAGTGCACTTGCGTCATACAATACGACAATTAAAATCCAGATCAATTATTATGTGCTTAAAATAATATCCTTATATCATTTATTCTATAATTATAATCTAAACGTTTCAATTATCAGAGACTGGCAATTTGCAGAGAATAATTAACATACCTATTTAAAAATATAATTACGTTGCTTATCGACTTAAACATATGTTTTTTCATTCATAAACAGTACACACAGCTCGGGAATCAAATATAGATAAGTGCGATTTGTTGCCTGCTTGTGCATACATGTATGCATGCTTATTTTACATAGATGCAAGCATGCGTACATGCGTACATGTATGAATACATGTCAGAATGCCTACATACACGCATATATACACATGTATGTATGTATTCATTTTTGCATATATAAATGTATGCATTAGAAAAAACATGCAGGCATACACATGTACATAAATGCATACATATGTACATGCATGCATGCACACACACATAAATCGGTCAAATCTCATCCGATTTTCTCGAGGTTTAGCCTTTGTTCATGGCCTCTTGATCTAAATCTGTCATCATTATATTTGTATCTATTTTAAATTAAATTTCCATGTAAATGTTTATTCTAAGCCTTACAATTGAACTTATACTGATTGCCAGCCGCTGATATGCATGTATTAGATATTTATTTGATAATCCTTATCTTAGCAGGTCATTTTCGACTATACAAAATAATATTTATGTTTTTTTGAAAACGCATTCGAAAAAATGTACAATTTTCAGCAAATGCCTTTACGATAGCATCCATATTAAAAAGAAAAAAGGACAAGAGAGAAACGTGCTGCGGACATTCAAATGCATAACTTATCTATGCACGTGCATATTCATGTTTTGTATTTTCCTGAAATAAATAAGCACATGTACATGCATCTGTAAGGAAATATGATTAAGAATAGTTCGCTCTTTTTCATATTTAAAAATAAAAGATATGAGAAAGAAAACGATTTGTAGCCAACCGACTTAATGTTGAAATACTTACATACTTAGATACATATTTTAAAATTATTGTTATTCTTAATATATTTTTACTTTTATTTTTAATTAATACCTTTTTAAAATAAATAGAAATTCATAGGAATAATTTGCATGTTTTTTCTGCCCTAAATTATGTCAATAGAGTGTGAATTATTGACGCGTCCAAAATAATAAAATAAACTCAAACAAATAAATGTAGTATATAAATACATACCCAGTACTTTGACTTCAACTGATCGCTGCGAAGTGTAGTTGTGTTTATTCCGTGCAATACAGGTATACGTGCCCTGATCGGCAGCTCGTTGCACGTTGTCGATCACAAGGGTTCCATTTTGGACCCGCTGTCACATGTTGATTGGCAATCGAATGCCGTCTAGATAAAACTAAAGCCATCTAAGGGATGCTAGGCTACAATTTTTTAAAAACGAATCATACCCTTTTCAATGAACACACTTTCAATAGGGTAACCAGCAATGGGGCACTTTAAAGCAAACATTTTTCCAGCGACAGCAGATATCTTTGGCATATGACGTATATAGGGCATGCCTAAAAAAGGATAAGCAATATTCTCAGATTAGTTAAAATTAACACATACAAAGATATAGATATATGTGCAGATATATATATATATATATTTTAGATATGGAATAAATATATATATATATATATATATATTAATATATTTTTAAATATACTTACCATATATATTAAGTCTTGCTGAGTGTGAGACCTCCCCAGCACGAGAAATAGCTTTACATTCGTAATCTCCTCCGTCCTCTGATTTGACAGCTGATATATTGACATGGCTTATAACATCACCAAATGTGGTCACGTATTGTCCAATCATAAGACGGTCATTCTGGGTGTGTAATTAATAATAATCACAATTATTTAGGGGTTAATCATAATTATTTAACTGTCCAGCATGTGTGTACATACATATATAATACATATATTTACGAGTACCAAAAAGTCTCACTTGCGTGAGTCAAACTGTCTGGATAGATATATGTTATATTTAGATGAGCTCTTTGTATTATCAAGCAATGTTGGTATCCACGATATCAATTTATTTTATCGACATATCGATGTTATAGATTCATTTCGATTGAGAGATAAAGCAATATGATATTAAACCACTTACATTGGGTAGGGCAAACCCATCCAGGTTCCACACAATTTTTGGTGTAGGGTTTCCACTTGCGCTGCATTTAAGTGAAACGGAAGGTCCAGGCTGCATAGTTTGCTCAATAAACTTGTAAAGCAATTGAGGTGCTACTTCTGCAAAAGACAAGAAAAAACAATTAGAATAGAAATCAACAACCTTTTCAGACATACAGATTATGTTTTCGCAAGTATATACATATATATATATAATCTAATATTATAAACAGGCCCTACTGCCGGACTTGAAGATATATATTTACGGGGTCGGACATTCTTCTTCTTCTTCTTCAATACATCCCCTTCCCAAACGGGACCTTACAGCTAAAAGAATAACTACGCAAAGATTGATATGTTTTGAATGCGTACCTCCCAATCTTAATTCGGCAGAACTTTGACTTGATTCCAAATCATTTTTTATCATACATTGATACATTCCCTTGTCTTCCTTAACGACGGACGTAATGCGTATGTGTTCCTTTGATAAAAGGCGTACACGAGCCCCGGACCGCAGAGGTTTTCCGTCCTTAAACCATAAGACTTGTTGTTTTGGAAATCCAGATGTGCTGCAAATCTATAAATTATTTTGTACAGGTTATTTATTTTGAACAAGGATATGGAAAGTAACTAGGTCACTTTACTCACTAAATCAGCAGTATGTCCAAGATTCACGGTCTGTATTCGGGGCTGTACACTTGCGCCCAAAGGCGACGAAACTGACAGCTTCACTTCCAAAGTCTCGCTACCCTCCGAGTTGGTAACGGTGCAATAGAATAACCCATCGTCAGTTTTTGTAACGGCGGATAAAATTAGTGTGCCATCTTTGATTTTTGCCCGTCCAGTTGCGAGCATATGTTGCATGGACTCCTCATTGCTGGAACGTGTTGTATGCCACCTATATGAAATAAGTACAAAATGTAGTTACTTTATGAATGAAAATGTATACTGAGACGGAGTGTTGCTAAATTCCAAGATGTGGTAAATAAAGTTTCATTAAAGCCGTGATTTACATTTTTCACAGAATCCAGGATTCCTCAGTGAAAAATGCGTTTAAATAATTTTTTAAACGAAGTTGTAAGTTTCTCCGATTTGCCTTAAACATATTTTCATTAATTGAAACGGAGAATCTCTAAAAAATGTGTTGTCTTACTTTAGGCATAACGGAAGCGTAAACCAAGCCAATGGTATTTCTTTTTTCTTGCAGAGATTACATAGAAGTATAGTACATACATGCAGATGTATGAATGAACAAATGTTAGATTATTCATTAATCATCCGCTCTAAGCTATTAGAGAAGAACCTAGCGAATGTTGCTTAAACTTTCTTTTTAATTTATGCTTCTTAAGGTAGTTAGCGATTAGATAACCAGCATATGCAGATACAAACATATATAAATACATATGTACATTGTAGATTCATGCATGCGAAGTGCATTTCTACATAAAAATATATGTATGTTTGACCGCTTGTCACTCTTATGCAACTGTATGTTGTACATACATACATATGTGTATGTAAAATAATAATTAAAGTACTATGTATGTATGTGTTCCATCAAATACATACGAACGGAAAATCTCACCACTCTGATGGGTGCGTATGCTTGTGTATGTGCACACGTATATACATAGATTTGGTCATGAACGCAAAGTATAGACTCGTTGTACACCAGTTTTTGGCATGTACATTCATACAAACATACACACACGATTTTTATGCTTGTCCCCTACATGGTTGCTACATATGTATACAGACATACATACGTGCAAACGTACTTTTACATGCATCTGAAAGTCTCTATGTTCTTGTATGTACATTCATATATATGTGTGTGTACATATATGCAAACTCAGTCACACACCACAAAGTCACAGGCCAAAGAAAAACATCATGCAGAAAAACTCAAGAGGAGAACATCGCAAATAAAACAAAGCAAACCCTTGCGTCGTTGACGACTCGTCGGCTAAACGCTTGGATTGTGTATGCATGCATGTATATGTACGTGCATGTGACCATACTAACGTATGTACAACATAACATGCATATGTGCATGCAGGCCCAAACAGACACATATACATGCATGCATGCAAATCCAGAGGCGAACTCCATCATTTAAGTGAAGTTGTCGGAACGGTAGACTCCCCCACCCCCTATCGGACTTTGAGAGGCTGCCTGAGCAACCCCTACCACAATAACTGTGGAAGGCAAGTATTGAAATAAATTTAGTTGATATTCTTAAGTGCATTGACATGAAGTATTTAATTGCAGGTCTAAGATAGGACATTAAAGCCGTGCAAAACACGTTTCATTAACTTATTTCCATTTTAAGGACTACCTCAGGACTACTACAATCAGGACAAGCTCGGTTTTTTCTATATAATATATATATTTTTGTCTTACCTGTAAGTTGGCTTTGGATTTGCATAAGCAACACATGCCAAAACTAATGGATCTCCAACTCTGGCCAATATCGACATAGTCTTATCATTCATTATTGGAGGCACAAGCTCACGCATTTCTAAAAAGTATGGAAACAAAAAATATTTCATGTTTTAATAAAGTCAAGTATGCGACATACTACATTATAAATTATATCAAAGGAGCAGAAGTTGGTTGTGCGATAAAAGCATTGATCGCATTTTATGAAATTTATAGGATATAAATAGAACAATATCTCTTCTGCCTGAAAATGTATTAAAAGGGTGTAACGGTTATGTGTAAATGCATGTAACAGGCAGAAATTCGCATCTCCGATCCCATTAAGTATATACATTCTTGATCAGCATCAATCGCCGAGTCGCTTTGGCCAGGTCCCTCTGCCTGTCCCTCCGGCATTTAAGCTAAATAAAAATTTATTATTATACCGTTTCAACTTATTTTCAGGGCTTTGAGTTAGTGATGCCATTATGCCATGAGATATTAACTTTTTATTTTCAGCAAGCTGATACTGAATTAAAAATGTTTCCCGCTTGCAAAAGGGCGATTGGTACTCATATTTTGACAGTCAGAAAATATGGAAAACAAAACTTATATCAGACACGAGTTTATTTTAGATGTGCCGGTGCTTACTTACCGGTCAATTGAATTTTGCCAGCATTACTACTGACTTTGGAGTCCTGTGTCAATTTGTGATGTGTTCGACAACGATAGATTTTTTGGGAATCATTTTTAGTGATGTTATATAACAAAAGTTCGCCTGTCGGTAACATATGATTTTTACCATCTGCGAATATTAAAATACGAATAATAAGATACAAATAAGATTTGCCGAAACAAGTATTCAATATGATCGTTTGTAAACTACTACACGTACCCCCTTCCAAAGATGGATATATATTAAAGTTTGGTTCCTGTAGCCAGGAGGTTACGGTTACATATTCCTTAACGAACGACGGAATGTTACACTTAATCAGAATGTTACTGCCAACAAATCCACCAGGATTTTGGACCTCCGGTTCGTAATGTTGATAGACCACTGAAAGTTAAGATTGGTAATTTAATTAAATGAGATCAAATTTAACATATATATGTTTTTTTTTTAATTTAAAATAAGTTTAACAAAAGAGAACATATAGAAATATTCGAAGATTAAATACACTTGTGGAATTGTGACTTTCGGTTCTTACAATGTGACAAAAATACAAAAAATTTAGAAAAAATTTTAACAACTTTACATAATCCATTAATTTTTCATGAAAGTCTGCATTGGTACCTCTTTCTGTTATACGACATACCACCTAACAAATAAAGTGAATTACACCTGTCCAATATTTATACCTAGAAAATGTACAGTGTATCCCCTAGTCGAGCACTCCATACTATAGCACCCTTTTCCTGAATATTTTTGCTCTTATCACCTACACTATAATTATTACTATGTATAATAATTATATATGTATAGGGTATGCGGAGATTATTGTCCTCAAACTTATTTAATGGGAAAAATTGCCTTTTAATGGCATCAAATATAATTGATATCACTTACCCGCTTTAACAATAACATCCCTAGATATAATAGTGCCCACGGTGTTAGATGCTGTACATCGATATATCGCCCAGTGCACGTCTTGTCGAAATTCTTCCGCGGCAAATGGCGGAAAGTGTAATGAACCATTTGTGAAAATATGTTGAACCTGCAATATTAAGATACAACTAAATAAATCAAGTACATAATTCAAATGATCACACTAAAGATGTCATAAAATAAAAAGAAAAATGACAATACCAATTTTAACTGATTCAGGGAATAAGAAAAAATGAGTATTTTAGTCGACTTTTGTGACTTAGAAGCAGTAGGTTGAACAATAAGCCAAATCTGATGGGATTTGACCGTGTTCCAACAATGGGAAATTTCGACCTATATCTATATAGGATATTGAGGGTACCATTTCGACATGAATTTTAACCAAAAATAATGTTGCCAGATTTGGATGCAGAATTGATAATGAGGCTAAATCATGATCAAAAAGCCTAACCTTATGAAAATCGGAGGATATTTGACCAAGTTATGGGTGTGGGAAGTTTTGACCCATGTCCATATAGGATATTGAGGGTACCATTTTGACATGAATTTTGACCAAAAATAATGTTGCCAGATTTGGATGCAGAATTGATAATGAGGTCAAATCATGATCAAAAAGCCTAACCTTATGGAAATCGGAGGATATTTGACCAAGTTATGGGTGTGGGAAGTTTTGACCTACGTCTATATAGGATATTTGAGGAACCATTTTGACATGAATTTTGACCAAAAATAATGTTGCCAGATTTGGATGCAGAATTGATAATGAGGTCAAATCATGATCAAAAAGCCTAACCTTATGAAAATCGGTGGATATTTGACCGAGTTATGGGTGTGGGAAGTTTTGACCCATGTCTATATAGGATATTTGAAGGTACCATTTTGACATGAATTTTGACCAAAAATAATGTTGCCAGATTTGGATGCAGAATTGATAATGAGGTCAAATCATGATCAAAAAGCCTAACCTTATGAAAATCGGAGGATATTTGACCAAGTTATGGGTGTGGGAAGTTTTGACCTATGTCTATATAGGATATTTGAGGAACCATTTTGACATGAATTTTGACCAAAAATAATGTTGCCAGATTTGGATGCAGAATTGATAATGAGGTCAAATCATGATCAAAAAGCCTAACCTTATGAAAATCGGAGGATATTTGACCGAGTTATGGGTGTGGGAAGTTTTGACCCATGTCTATATAGGATATTTGAAGGTACCATTTTGACATGAATTTTGACCAAAAATAATGTTGCCAGATTTGGATGCAGAATTGATAATGAGATCAAATCATGATCAAAAAGCCTAACCTTATGAAAATCGGAGGATATTTGACCGAGTTATGGGTGTGGGAAGTTTTGACCCATGTCCATATAGGATATTGAGGGTACCATTTTGACATGAATTTTGACCAAAAATAATGTTGCCAGATTTGGATGCAGAATTGATATTGAGGCCAAATCATGATCAAAAAGCCTAACCTTATGAAAATCGGAGGATATTTGACCAAGTTATGGGTGTGGGAAGTTTTGACCTATGTCTATATAGGATATTTGAGGGACCATTTTGACATGAATTTTGACCAAAAATAATGTTGCCAGATTTGGACGCAGAATTGATAATGAGGTCAAATCATGATCAAAAAGCCTAACCTTATGAAAATCGGAGGATATTTGACCGAGTTATGGGTGTGGGAAGTTTTGACCCATGTCTATATAGGATATTTGAAGGTACCATTTTGACATGAATTTTGACCAAAAATAATGTTGCCAGATTTGGATGCAGAATTGATAATGAGATCAAATCATGATCAAAAAGCCTAACCTTATGAAAATCGGAGGATATTTGACCGAGTTATGGGTGTGGGAAGTTTTGACCCATGTCCATATAGGATATTGAGGGTACCATTTTGACATGAATTTTGACCAAAAATAATGTTTCCAGATTTGGATGCAGAATAGATATTGAGGCCAAATCATGATCAAAAAGCCTAACCTTATGAAAATCGGAGGATATTTGACCAAGTTATGGGTGTGGGAAGTTTTGACCTATGTCTATATAGGATATTTGAAGGTACCATTTTGACATGAATTTTGACCAAAAATAATGTTGCCAGATTTGGATGCAGAATTGATAATGAGGTCAAATCATGATCAAAAAGCCTAACCTTATGAAAATCGGAGGATATTTGACCGAGTTATGGGTGTGGGAAGTTTTGACCCATGTCCATATAGGATATTGAGGGTACCATTTTGACATGAATTTTGACCAAAAATAATGTTGCCAGATTTGGATGCAGAATTGATAATGAGGTCAAATCATGATCAAAAAGCCTAACCTTATGAAAATCGGAGGATATTTGACCAAGCTATGGGTGCAGGAAGTTTTGACCTATGTCTATATAGGATATTTGAAGGTACCATTTTGACATAAATTTTGACCAAAAATAATGTTGCCAGATTTGGATGCAGAATTGATAATTAGGCTAAATCATGATCAAAAAGCCTAACCTTATGAAAATCGGAGGATATTTGACCAAGTTATGGGTGTGGGAAGTTTTGACCTATGTCTATATAGGATATTTGAAGGTACCATTTTGACATGAATTTTGACCAAAAATAATGTTGCCAGATTTGGATGCAGAATTGATATTGAGGTCAAATCATGATCAAAAAGCCTAACCTTATGAAAATCGGAGGATATTTGACCGAGTTATGGGTGTGGGAAGTTTTGACCCATGTCCATATAGGATATTGAGGGTACCATTATGACATGAATTTTGACCAAAAATAATGTTGCCAGATTTGGATGCAGAATTGATATTGAGGCCAAATCATGATCAAAAAGCCTAACCTTATGAAAATCGGAGGATATTTGACCGAGTTATGGGTGTGGGAAGTTTTGACCTATGTCTATATAGGATATTTGAAGGTACCATTTTGACATGAATTTTGACCAAAAATAATGTTGCCAAATTTGGATGCAGAATTGATATTGAGGCCAAATCATGATCAAAAAGCCTAACCTTATGAAAATCGGAGGATATTTGACCGAGTTATGGGTGTGGGAAGTTTTGACCCATGTCTATATAGGATATTTGAAGGTACCATTTTGACATGAATTTTGACCAAAAAAAATGTTGCCAGATTTGGATGCAGAATTGATAATGAGATCAAATCATGATCAAAAAGCCTAACCTTATGAAAATCGGAGGATATTTGACCGAGTTATGGGTGTGGGAAGTTTTGACCCATGTCCATATAGGATATTGAGGGTACCATTTTGACATGAATTTTGACCAAAAATAATGTTTCCAGATTTGGATGCAGAATAGATATTGAGGCCAAATCATGATCAAAAAGCCTAACCTTATGAAAATCGGAGGATATTTGACCAAGTTATGGGTGTGGGAAGTTTTGACCTATGTCTATATAGGATATTTGAAGGTACCATTTTGACATGAATTTTGACCAAAAATAATGTTGCCAGATTTGGATGCAGAATTGATAATGAGGTCAAATCATGATCAAAAAGCCTAACCTTATGAAAATCGGAGGATATTTGACCGAGTTATGGGTGTGGGAAGTTTTGACCCATGTCCATATAGGATATTGAGGGTACCATTTTGACATGAATTTTGACCAAAAATAATGTTGCCAGATTTGGATGCAGAATTGATAATGAGGTCAAATCATGATCAAAAAGCCTAACCTTATGAAAATCGGAGGATATTTGACCAAGCTATGGGTGCAGGAAGTTTTGACCTATGTCTATATAGGATATTTGAAGGTACCATTTTGACATAAATTTTGACCAAAAATAATGTTGCCAGATTTGGATGCAGAATTGATAATTAGGCTAAATCATGATCAAAAAGCCTAACCTTATGAAAATCGGAGGATATTTGACCAAGTTATGGGTGTGGGAAGTTTTGACCTATGTCTATATAGGATATTTGAAGGTACCATTTTGACATGAATTTTGACCAAAAATAATGTTGCCAGATTTGGATGCAGAATTGATATTGAGGTCAAATCATGATCAAAAAGCCTAACCTTATGAAAATCGGAGGATATTTGACCGAGTTATGGGTGTGGGAAGTTTTGACCCATGTCCATATAGGATATTGAGGGTACCATTATGACATGAATTTTGACCAAAAATAATGTTGCCAGATTTGGATGCAGAATTGATATTGAGGCTAAATCATGATCAAAAAGCCTAACCTTATGAAAATCGGAGGATATTTGACCGAGTTATGGGTGTGGGAAGTTTTGACCTATGTCTATATAGGATATTTGAAGGTACCATTTTGACATGAATTTTGACCAAAAATAATGTTGCCAAATTTGGATGCAGAATTGATATTGAGGCCAAATAATGATCAAAAAGCCTAACCTTATGAAAATCGGAAGATATTTGACCGAGTTATGGGTGTGGGAAGTTTTGACCCATGTCCATATAGGATATTGAGGGTACCATTTTGACATGAATTTTGACCAAAAATAATGTTTCCAGATTTGAATGCAGAATTGATAATTAGGCCAAATCATGATCAAAAAGCCTAACCTTATGAAAATCGGAGGATATTTGACCAAGTTATGGGTGTGGGAAGTTTTGACCTATGTCTATATAGGATATTTGAAGGTACCATTTTGACATGAATTTTGACCAAAAATAATGTTGCCAGATTTGGATGCAGAATTGATATTGAGGTCAAATCATGATCAAAAAGCCTAACCTTATGAAAATCGGAGGATATTTGACCGAGTTATGGGTGTGGGAAGTTTTGACCCATGTCCATATAGGATATTGAGGGTACCATTATGACATGAATTTTGACCAAAAATAATGTTGCCAGATTTGGATGCAGAATTGATATTGAGGCCAAATCATGATCAAAAAGCCTAACCTTATGAAAATCGGAGGATATTTGACCGAGTTATGGGTGTGGGAAGTTTTGACCTATGTCTATATAGGATATTTGAAGGTACCATTTTGACATGAATTTTGACCAAAAATAATGTTGCCAAATTTGGATGCAGAATTGATATTGAGGCCAAATCATGATCAAAAAGCCTAACCTTATGAAAATCGGAAGATATTTGACCGAGTTATGGGTGTGGGAAGTTTTGACCCATGTCCATATAGGATATTGAGGGTACCATTTTGACATGAATTTTGACCAAAAATAATGTTTCCAGATTTGAATGCAGAATTGATAATTAGGCCAAATCATGATCAAAAAGCCTAACCTTATGAAAATCGGAGGATATTTGGCCAAGTTATGGGTGTGGGAAGTTTTGACCCATGTCCATATAGGATATTTGAAGGTACCATTTTGACATGAATTTTGACCAAAAATAATGTTGCCAGATTTGGATGCAGAATTGATATTGAGGTCAAATCATGATCAAAAAGCCTAACCTTATGAAAATCGGAGGATATTTGACCGAGTTATGGGTGTGGGAAGTTTTGACCCATGTCCATATAGGATATTGAGGGTACCATTATGACATGAATTTTGACCAAAAATAATGTTGCCAGATTTGGATGCAGAATTGATATTGCGGCCAAAACATGATCAAAAAGCCTAACCTTATGAAAATCGGAGGATATTTGACCGAGTTATGGGTGTGGGAAGTTTTGACCTATGTCTATATAGGATATTTGAAGGTACCATTTTGACATGAATTTTGACCAAAAATAATGTTGCCAAATTTGGATGCAGAATTGATATTGAGGCCAAATCATGATCAAAAAGCCTAACCTTATGAAAATCGGAAGATATTTGACCGAGTTATGGGTGTGGGAAGTTTTGACCCATGTCCATATAGGATATTGAGGGTACCATTTTGACATGAATTTTGACCAAAAATAATGTTTCCAGATTTGAATGCAGAATTGATAATTAGGCCAAATCATGATCAAAAAGCCTAACCTTATGAAAATCGGAGGATATTTGACCAAGTTATGGGTGTGGGAAGTTTTGACCCATGTCCTAATAGGATATGGTACCAAATGAGGGTACCATTTTGACATGAATTTTGACCAAAAATAATGTTGCCAGATTTGGATGCAGAATTGATAATGAGGTCAAATCATTATCAAAAAGCCTAACCTTATGAAAATCTGAGGATATTTGACCAAGTTATGGGTGTGGAAAGTTTTGACCAATGTCTATATAGGATATTTGAAGGTACCATTTTGACATGAATTTTGGCCAAAAATAATGTTGCCAGATTTGGATGCAGAATTGATAATGAGGTCAAATCATGATCAAAAAGCCTAACCTTATGAAAATAGGAGGATATTTGACCGAGTTATGGGTGTGGGAAGTTTTGACCCATGTCCATATAGGATTGAGGGTACCATTTTGACATGAATTTTGACCAAAAATAATGTTGCCAGATTTGGATGCAGAATTGATAATGAGGTCAAATCATGATCAAAAAGCCTAACCTTTTGAAAATCAGAGGATATTTGACCAAGTTATGGGTGTGGGAAGTTTTGACCCATGTCCATATAGGATATTGAGCGTACCATTTTGACATGAATTTTGACCAAAAATAATGTTGCCAGATTTGGATGCAGAATTGATATTGAGGCCAAATCATGATCAAAAAGCCTAACCTTATGAAAATCGGAGGATATTTGAGCAAGTTATGGGTGTGGGAAGTTTTGACCCATGTCCATATAGGATATTGAGCGTACCATTTTGACATGAATTTTGACCAAAAATAATGTTTCCAGATTTGAATGCAGAATTGATAATTAGGCCAAATCATGATCAAAAAGCCTAACCTTATGAAAATAGGAAGATATTTGACCAAGTTATGGGTGTGGGAAGTTTTGACCTATGTCTATATAGGATATTTGAAGGTACCATTTTGACATGAATTTTGACCAAAAATAATGTTGCCAGATTTGGATGCAGAATTGATAATGAGGTCAAATCATGATCAAAAAGCCTAACCTTATGAAAATCGGAGGATATTTGACCAAGTTATGGGTGTGGGAAGTTTTGACCTATGTCTATATAGGATATTTGAAGGTACCATTTTGACATGAATTTTGACCAAAAATAATGTTGCCAGATTTGGATGCAGAATTGATATTGAGGTCAAATCATGATCAAAAAGCCTAACCTTATGAAAATCGGAGGATATTTGACCGAGTTATGGGTGTGGGAAGTTTTGACCCATGTCCATATAGGATATTGAGGGTACCATTATGACATGAATTTTGACCAAAAATAATGTTGCCAGATTTGGATGCAGAATTGATATTGAGGCCAAATCATGATCAAAAAGCCTAACCTTATGAAAATGGGAGGATATTTGACCGAGTTATGGGTGTGGGAAGTTTTGACCTATGTCTATATAGGATATTTCAAGGTACCATTTTGACATGAATTTTGACCAAAAATAATGTTGCCAGATTTGGATGCAGAATTGATAATGAGGTCAAATCATTATCAAAAAGCCTAACCTTATGAAAATCTGAGGATATTTGACCAAGTTATGGGTGTGGGAAGTTTTGACCTATGTCTATATAGGATATTTGAAGGTACCATTTTGACATGAATTTTGGCCAAAAATAATGTTGCCAGATTTGGATGCAGAATTGATAATGAGGTCAAATCATGATCAAAAAGCCTAACCTTATGAAAATCGGAGGATATTTGACCGAGTTATGGGTGTGGGAAGTTTTGACCCATGTCCATATAGGATATTGAGGGTACCATTATGACATGAATTTTGACCAAAAATAATGTTGCCAGATTTGGATGCAGAATTGATAATGAGGTCAAATCATTATCAAAAAGCCTAACCTTATGAAAATCTGAGGATATTTGACCAAGTTATGGGTGTGGGAAGTTTTGACCTATGTCTATATAGGATATTTGAAGGTACCATTTTGACATGAATTTTGACCAAAAATAATGTTGCCAGATTTGGATGCAGAATTGATATTGAGGTCAAATCATGATCAAAAAGCCTAACCTTATGAAAATCGGAGGATATTTGACCGAGTTATGGGTGTGGGAAGTGTTGACCCATGTCTATATAGGATATTTGGGGATAGAGATATGTGTTAATAATTATAATCATAAGCTTTATCTCCGTGTGATAGCAGGGAGCATGCAGACAAAGTGCATATTGTATAAATCATGTAATTTTTCATAATAACTATAAAAGTTGCATCTAACCTTTGATATGGATGTGATGGGATTATTTTCCTTATCTAGCCACTGAACTATCGGCACAGGATTTCCATGAGCAATACAGTGAGCTGTGTTTCCAACTGTATTCAAAAATTCAATTCTGCTTGGTGGCTCTAGTGAAAAACTCGGTCCTTGCATATCAAAGTAATTTGATGTCTCTGAAATTTGAAAGTAATACATTGGGAGATAAACAAATTTATGAGTCAATAAATATAACGTTTCTACCAAGTTTCTACCAAGTTTGTAATTAACTTTCAAAATATAATTGTTTAAATGATTTCTTGAAGCCTGAATATTTATGCTAGCATGCTAAACATTAGATATTACCACGCCCGTGGAAAATATGTAAATATTAAATATGAAAATATTAAAAATATGTTTTACAACAACAATCGAACAAACAGTGGCAGACGTTCATCATCAGTAAATTTTCGAGAATTTACGATTATAAATGTAATCTTCGCACTTCGTGAGAAAATCTTTATACTCGTTATACCCTTGATTACCCAGATAAGCCACTTATGATTTATGTTTGCAGATTAGCTGAAGAATTTTTAATAAAGAAATTAAATGACTGCTTTTAATCCAGATAAGAGTTCATAAATTGTTGTTATCGTGCTGCAATCTCTGCCCCTTGCTGAAAAGCCTTAATCAACCAGGCTGAGTTTTTTCATTCTGAAAGGGATGATCCCTGGCGTATGCAGCTGGCTTTAGAAATAACATTTATTTGCACGGCCAAGGCGACGGTTTGAGGTAATTGCCTGCAAATTAACAACAAGCCACGCCGGTCACCACAGACCTGTCCCTTGATTAAAGTGCCTATTAACGCAGCTTGTTTATAATCCTCGTTGAAACAGACAAGCATACGATGCTCTGACATGATTAGATCGACTCGGGTATTGATGTTGACCAAGAATAATGTCTCCTGATTGTTATTATATATCTGCACCATTTGATCAGAGTATAAAACATATTTGCCATATTTCTAAACAGAAACTAGTTTCTCATAGAAACGAACAGGCCTGGCAAATCAATCCAATTAACTAGCTTCCATCAATGCGTTTTAGATTTCAAGACAAAGTTATTTCAAAAATCGACAGAATACAATAAAACCGATATTTTTGCTGAAATTATTCGTATTACAAATATTCTGGGTTTCTGTATCATGTAAAATTCAAAAATTGACAAGAGTGTTTAGTCGTGATTACCTGACTAGAGAATACCCTAAGCCTTTTCTATCTGTCTACATGTCAAATTTGCTGACTACAGCGGGGTTTTCGATTTAGCTTATTATCGATTGCTAAAAAACGGGGAAAGTTATCGATTAACGAAAAGAAACTTATACTGCGCGGGCGTTAGAAGGACCTACGTGCAAGCTCTATAGGTTTAGATATTGACGTACATACGGACAAACGGATCTAGAGTATATAAAGCCTATATACAAATGAACAAACACACAACATTAAAAGCAATAAAAGCAAAACCCTAAAATGGCCCATGCAAGGCCGGATAATACCCGATAAATTAAAGATAATAAAGATAAAAGTTAATCAATTATCTTAATTGCTTCGCACTATTTTTGAGCTAACTTCTTACCTGTGGTATTTGCAGAAACATATAATGTCAATATAAAGATGAGCGAGTATAAAGATTTTCGCCCTGCTGCAGATATCCAAGTCATATTGTAATTCTCTTAGTTAAGCCAAAATATAAGTAACATTTATTTAAAAAATTGTTGAAGCTGATGTATTCTCCTGGAAAAAAGAAATATAAGTGGTATTTTAGGTAGTGTTAACAAATGTTTTTCAAGAGCTCGAACCAAGCAATTAACATAGTATCCAAAATAATAAGTTTCTGTGAGCACAGCTTAGTTACTCAGATTCAACACAGAGTATAAAGGGATGTCGGTTAAAGCCCGCTTGCGAAATGGACACCAGTAGAAGCAGTCGAGTGTTACGCGAGTTGTATCTGCATTTGGTTGCGGAAGTTTCAGGGTATCGCCTAGTCGAGTACATCCAACTAAAACCAACTTTCCATTAGGTGAAAACATGAATTCATGTATAATTTGAGAACATTCAAAATATCTTCAACTGTTTTTTGCTGATTGAGATTATTGATGTTGCCTGGAACGGAAAAAGCCAGAAGGTTCAAGAGTTACGGGCGTATGGAGAGACGGACGGACGGATAAACAGACAAACGGACATTACTGGATCGACTTGACTATTAATGCTGATCAAAAATATATAAAAAATTGTAAATTACAATAATAAATAAAAGAGCTTAAGGCTTTTATGTCAGCGCTCTTATAATCAATTTAAACTTTTGCTAAACGTATTTTTGTTATTTAGGTAAATAAATATATATAAAAGCCGTGTGTTGTTTTGCTTGTTAACAATTTTCATTTGGCTAATTTTCTCTTATGCGATTTACGAAAATTAAAGAGCTCTGCGTGGGATGCTTTACAAAATAGATATGTATTTTGATAAATAATAATTATGTTATCGTACATAGCTTTTGAACTCTTTCCTTCTCTTAAATGCTTTTAAGAGAGCGATTTTAGGCTAAAACCGTTATAATCATTAGTTATGCATCACATGTGGCAATTTGATAATCATAATAATAGTTCTTATCAAAATTGTACACAATGTGTATTTAGATGTCCGCGTAATACTCAATGCGTTTATTTATATTGTTTTTCACGTAGCTGATTATTAAATTAAGTTAATCTGAAATTAATGTAGCTGCCGGCATTTGTTTTGGATTTTTTTGTACACTTTCGTTTATAAGTTTTTGCCAAATTATCGCACAGCATAAGAAAAGAAACATGCACAAAAATCTCATGGTACATACGTATGTATGCATATGTTTGTATGCAGAAATGTAAATGTATATAGCTGATGGCAGCCTTTTCCATCTATAACCACACCATTTTTTTCCGACTCATTTTTTAGCCTTTTCGCGTTACGAATAGTATATGTGAACGACTGATTGCTCGGGCGCGCTAACGATGACTGGCACCTCCAGATGCAGCTTTCGACAGCGAATCCCCGGAGCGGATGGTACTGTCTTGCGCATCGTGTCCTCTGCGCAGATGCTGTAAGCTGATGTGCTTTGGTATAACAATAACAATTCGAAAGCTTTTATAACAAAGCGTGCATTTCCAGAAACGGACTTTGATAAGAAAACATCTGTTTAGCTGGTAAATAATAATAATAATATACATATGTATGTACAATATATAAATGGATGCTTGCATGTGTGAATACATGCCTGCTTTTGCATGTTTTTGCCGTACTTCGTTCAGCTCAATATATTTGTATAAGAAAACAAAGTCCCATGATTTTATGAGTAACAAGTAAATATTCCAATCCGTCATAAATACTACAAATAATAAGTAAGGACTTTGCATCAACAGCGGTATTCCAATTTGCCGCGCCTGCCGCAGCTGTAATTGTTATTTTGCCAAATACACCAAAATATACATTTATCCTATTTACAAAGTTAATCCTTTTTCAATTTCTCTCGCCAATTTGGCATTGATTGCACCAATGTTCGGACAACATTTGGTTCAATTTTTGACCACTCTTCCATTAGGGCTTCTTTAAATTCGGCCTTCGTTGAAAATTTACGGTTCCTTAGACTCTTGTCCAGTTCCCTCCATAGGTGCTCAATTGGATTGTCTGGTCTGCTTAACTTCCATATTTCCAAATAAACACGCTTGTCCCTTGATGAAAATTAATTTACCCACACCAGCTGCGGACATACAACCCCACACCTGCACCAGCTTTACTGTAATGTTGCATTAAGTTGTAACTTTTGAATGCCGTATTGGGTTTTCTCCACACCTTGATTCGGCCATCTGAGCGAAGAGTATTTAACTTGCTATCGTCGGAGAAAAGGACATCATTCCAGTAAATTGAAGGCTTTGGTCTTTGGCCAACTCCATTCGCTTCGATGGGTTCACACTCGAAATGAGTGGTTTGCATCTCGCAATTCTCGCACTGTGCCTTGTTGACTTTTCCCAGTCTCTTCTTTAACCTCTGATACTATTTGGAATGATGACATTATTGGGTTTTTCTTGATATTTTTGATTATTTGGATTCAACCAGGATCGGTTAACTTTCGTGGGCGGGTGCGGTCAATGTTTCCTGCCGAATAGTAAATTGACTTCTGTCCAATAACTCACCAATTTCTTTATAGGATTTGTATTGGTTTCTTTTAATAAAATTTAAAAAATAAACCATGCCGCCAACCTTTATAAAATTAATTGAATTGATTGCACAAATAGCTCATAACCGTTAAAACGGAAATACCAAAGGATATATCAATAAATATAAAGCCACATGAAACTCCCTTAAAATTTTAAAAAATAATTATCTACAAATTGCTGCGATATCATTCTGAATAGCAATCGTTACAGTTACACATATCGCAATCTTTATTTAACCACTTACCATACAACATATAGATGGGACAGATGGGATCCACAGCTAATGAATCTTTGAAATACATGTGGGCCAGTTTTGAAACGCATTTCATACATTACAAACTTGACACACAGCGAATGTCGACGTAATGCTCAATTTTTAAACGATCGTTTGATTAGTACTTGTGGGAAACAGACAGGATCTCCATGAGGTACAGAGATTATTGCTAGTCCACCACAAAAAGGCAATTCCAGATTCCTTGGACAATTCCCTCTCCTCCTGCGTTTCGGCTCTCTATAGATGATGTAGTGACCTGCTAGGCGTTATTTTCATTTGTAGCAAATTGATATGGAATCCTTTGGAAATTGTCATACTTATAGTCTAGTCCGATTAATTTATGCATGTTTTATTTTAGGTGATCACTGTTCACTTCATTCAATTCATTCAAAGTTACAAATTAAAGTATATCTACACAATTCGAAAGCAACCACTGTAACTATGAGCAAAAGATCTGATCACTGGTCTTCAATATTTTGAAGTGGATACTTATTTCTCACACGCATTGTGGTATCTTTCATGGAGAACTAAAATCTGTACACAAAATACATTTAATAAGTCAAGTTTTAACTAAAGAATCATGAATTTACCACAAGTAATGCAATCAACAGTGCTAAAAATAGAAAACCAATTATTATTATTGAGTTATTCTTAAAAATGCAATAATCCTTACCTAAATTCAGGATTTTTTAATTTATTTTAAAGTTTTGTTCGTTTACTGTTTAGATTTTCCCTTGGGGTTTCAGTTGATCTCTTTCTCACGAATGAGTGTGACTTTTCTCTAAAATAGAATTATGATTAAAAGGCAAAATGTAAAAAGTTCATTCGTATCGATTAAAAAGCAAAAAGTAAAGTTTATTCGTATCGACTCTTACCCCTGTAAGTTGCCATCTGTTCGCGTTGGCCCATCATTGGCGAGATATCCTTCGTCGTTAGAACTTAGTTTACTAGGATGAGTGCTTAATATATTTTGAGTAATGTTCGTTGGCTTCGCTTTAAGCGACGATTCGGGCAAAGTATTCTTATTCAGTATCTGTGACGACGTCAATGACGTAGAACTATTTGGTATTGTTTCAGCGCTATTCTTATTAGCTGATAAAAACTCAGAGCTTGTTAATTTATTAGAGCTTCCGGTCCTAGGTGAAGTTATTGAAACTTTTGATAAAGATGAAATATTGGGATGCAGGGAATTTTTTGATTTGAAAACATTTGTACTCTGCCTACTATCTGTACCTAAAATGGAAGTAGAACTTTTTTGCAAGGCCTGCCTTCTAGGTTTCGATTTTTCAGTTAATGTATTTACAGCAGTTAGGGAAATGCTGGGGGACATTTCATTAAGCTGCTTCGTAATGCTACTTGTACCCGGCGGACTAGTTGTTGGTATTATTTGCATTTCAGAATTATTTTTTAAGTAATCTTTTGAAACAGACGCGAAATTAACATTTCTTCCAATAGGATTTTTTGATGTTTTTTCGTCTTCCATTTGTAAGTTCATATTTACATGTCGCTGTAATTTCGAATTCTTTTTTGTAGCAGCAGACTCTGCACCTGGCGTCGGTTTCGTCTGATCCACTGAACGTGTGGGTTGCATTTGAAGTGTTTTCGAAGGCAGACCATTTTTTAAGAGCGTGGCACTAGCCGCTGGTTTAGCTGGCGTTACCGATGTCAAATCGATGGAGCTAACATTTTGAGCGACATTTTGATCAACGGATGATTTTAATTTCGTTGATGTATCCTTTAAATTCATACTGTCAGTTGCATCTGGCACTCTTTCTGAATAATGTGAACTGGGAAAGGCATTAAAGTTTCCTTTTAAAGTCGAATGTAAATTTTCCACTTGACCAGGCATAGGGTAACCCTGAGGCGAATAATTTAATAGACTTGACAACGGATTTTCAAGCAATTGTTTGTAAGGACCTAAGCTAGAAAGAACGTTGGTTGAGTTTGAATTACCCGATGCATTATCAAGCAATGATGGGTCTGATGCAAGTGTATGGTGAAGTTGTGAATGATTCATTGAGCTACTGCGGGCTTTTTGGGAATCAAATAAGCCAAAGTCTCTAGCCTGTAATTTTGTATTTGAAATGCTTGGCATGCTTGGCATAATCGATGAACTCGATTGTAAGCGATTTAGACTAGGCGTATTCATAACGTTAAAAGGAGATGAAGCAAAACTATTTTCATTCAAGCAAGAGTTAATATCAGGGTAACGCATAGATGTATACTTTTGATACAAATTTAAAGTATCTAGATAATTTGGATTTAATCCATAATTGTACTGTGGAATGAGTGACGCAGACTGAAGACTGTAGTTTAAAAGTGTTTGCATCTGAAAAGAATTAATTTAAGTTAAATTTAAATTTTCAGTTTGTATTACTTGCATTACTGGGCAGGTATTATAATTCTGTCTCGAAATGTGTAAGGCATAGAAGGACACATCTCCGACCCTATAAATTATATATATTCTTAATCAGAATCAACCAGAGGAGTCGATACAGTCATGTCTGTTTCTATACGAACTAGTGTCTCATTTTAGAGCTATCGTCATGAAACATTGCAAAAGTCCCTATTTCTGTTGCACGCAGTACATATGTCGGAATCGGCTGAATCAGACCACTATATCAAGGAGCTGCGATAAGAACGATCGGTCTAAAATAAAAATTAAGTAGATATCTTGACCAAACTCGGCACTCCTAAGTTTCATTATCTTCCCTTTATGTATGCAAATCTTGTTTACAGCGGATCACTATATAAATTTGCTCCCGTAAGAACGATCGGTCGAATATGAGGTTATTGTAAGAAAAACTTTTTGATTTTAAAGATATCTCAACCATATTAACGCCGATAACTATTTTTCCTATGTTTCTCAAATAAGGGCAAAGCATTATGAGTATGATGAACGATTGGGACAGCAAGGGCATAAAATATTCGGTGAGCCGAATATCTGTCTCTCGTTTATAAAATCAAACGCAGATATTTTATGTAATTTTGAATCATTAGCAGTACTTACATCAAGGCTTGGAACAGAACCCAAATATGAATTTAGTTTGGTTGGCAGACTAGAATTTTGAATCCTGAAACCAAATTTTGTATATTGCTTTTGAATTATAGCAAGAAATAGTAACTTACTTGTCGGTATTTAATCCTTCTTGTTGGGCTAGTTAATAAAACAAATGTAGAAAATTGTCATAAGTTCATAAGAAAGTAAAATAAATATTATACAAACATACCTAAATTCATTTGCAATTCTCTTTCGTATGTGTCCCAAGCATCTGCTTTTTCTTGCTCACTCAATTCCTGTTCCACTTTATTTTCTAATAGACTGTCATGCTCGTGATATTTATAAACCAACTCTGATTGACGTAAAAGGTGTGCTAATATGGTATCTTTTGGTAATAAGGGCATTGGCCTTTCACATTGTTGAGGAAGTGTTAATCTAAATATAGGAATACAAAGGGAAAATATCGGTATAAAGCAGCTAAAAGATAAATCCACTTTTTAAACAATTACGTGTAAAGCTCAGCTAATTCTGCCATATTATAATGTCTGTCAATTTGCTGTTCATCTACAACTCGAAAGCTCATTGCCTGCTTTGTGACGGATCGAGAGTAGACCTTTTCTTCCATTGTTCCCTGTAAAATGTTATTATCGTAGTTAATTAACAATATTTTTTATAAATTCTTTAAAACCTACCATAGCTATTAGACGGTATATATAACAATTTTTTTTCTGACCCAGACGAAAGATCCGAAATATATTCTGTTGATCATTAGAAGGATTCCACGAAGTATCTAATATTATTACTCTGTTAGCACCAATTAAATTTATTCCCTGGCCTCCAGCTTTAGCAGATATCAGAAAAACGCGAGCTCGTCGGTTGGCTTCACTGTTAAACCGTTTTATCATTTCGTGCCTGATATTTTTGGGTGTTTTGCCATCCAGTCTATAATAATCCTGGCCATTAATCCAAGTGTTTGAAACTTTATAGCTCGATGGTATATCTTCAAGTAATTGTAATAAAAATTATTGATGATAGCTACGTTTTATTCAAGTCGTAAGCGTAGGTTAATATTTATGTAGTAAATTAATTAAACGAGTAAAAGTAAAAGTAAATTAACTATTAATATTTGTTCACTTCATAAATACCCTATACCCTTATCTACGAACGTGGTCAATAATATCAATTTTATGCAGGCAGCTTCTTGTTATTATTTATTATTTCATTACTCAAATAAAATATATGTCAACTTACGAATGTGTTGTAATATTTCAGCATCAGATTCCGTTATCTTTTTGAAAAAGTATTCGACCACATTAAGTACTGCAACAAAAGCAGAGAAGATCAAACTGAAAAGACAATAAAGAAATTAATTAATATAACGGAGGGCCGAAGATAAGAAATGCTTGTCCTTAATCCTATCCCACTTACAAAGACTGCGAGCTCTTAAGCTTTTTTATTTGTGTATATCGCAGATTCATCAAACACTGAACGATTACTAATTACTTCTCGATTTACCTATCTTTATGGTATATAATATATTAAACCACTTACCACTTCTCGCCTTTTTCTTCACACATACGCAGAATAGCAAACATAGTGCGTAGTTTGTTACTTGGCATAATGGTCTCCAGGTCTTTTTTCGAAAGATATTTCCGCCACCAATCATTTGTCACCGAAATTAGACCTGTTTGACTATCGTAAATATCATCTGGTTGATCATCATCCGAATGCGGACATCCGATTTTTTTGTTATCCTTTTTGTTTTTTTGCTGTGAATTTCAACATTAGTTTAGTAATTGGACAGTAATTATTTACTTACCATGTTCGCATTCTTCCATGCATCTTCTAGAACTTTGGGATGTGTCCATATCTGTTATAAATAATAATAATAAATAAATTTATATTTCAAAAAAAGTTCCACAATAGTACAATTTACCTTTCTCAAAACGGTATAGTCGGTGATAAGGCTTTTCCCTCGGCTATCGCCACGGCTTGCAATAGCTTCCAAAATGTATTCATATAGAGTATTCTGTAAAGTATTGTACATAAAGTTTAGATTTGTAAGCAACATTCTATTTTTTGTATTAGCTTTTAAAAAAAATGTTTCAAATGTATTTAATTAGATACCTGTAAATATTGAATATTGAACCTGAACCTTCTCAAGATTTACCAAAAAAATACACAGAATATAGAAGGAATTAATAATTCCTAAAAACGTCTTCATAAACACGTTCCCATAAGCAGCGCAGTTTATGCAACGTTCTTTCTGCTTCCCTTTTTAAAATAATCGGTTACATACCTGAACTGCAGTCATAGGAATAAAGAGTACATATTCGAATTTTTGCGGCAAGAACGTCTTCAGTAACTCAGCTTCTTTTCTCTGTAATTAAAATGAACAACTACTTAATTAATCAGAATGTCACAGAAGATAATTTAATAACAAATAGAAATTATCTTGTATTAAAGGGAATTAATAAGCATGACTTAAATGTCTTTAAATTCATATATCTTATTTGTGCCTCCTGCGTAAAACTATCAAACTAATTCGAAATAAACTTTGGAATTATGTTTGTACCTGTACAAATTTGGACAGCTTTTTGTGTAAAACATACGACCTCTGCTTCATGACGGTAATATCCTTTTTACTTGAATCCTTATGTTGTCCATTCTTAATTGGATTTGCATATAAATTGGCGAATTCTTTTTCAGTTCCGAGGTATAAAGGTTTTATAAAGTTAACCATGCTGTAATCTGTAACAAGACAAATGTAAGTATTGCCTTAAATGCAAGTATTATCACAAGCTGTACCTACATTCTTTGAGATTATTTTGAATTGGAGTGCCAGTTAAAATAATTCGCTTTGGTGTGATTATTTTTGCAACAGCTAGACTTATGGCTGACTTGCTATTTTTTATGATATGGCCCTCATCACAAACGACAAGATCTGCACCTGAAATGATTGGTTTAAGTTTTTTCTAATGTTGCTTAACATGTTACTTACCTGGCTGCAGTAAATATTTATTAACTTTTTCTCGAATATTTTCTAATTTCGCAGAACTTAAATTGCCACGGTTTTTATAAGAGTGATAAAACACAAGAGTTCGGAAAGCCTCATAGCCAACCAACAAGCAGCCTGCTCTGTTGACGGACGACAGCGACCACTCTTCCAAGACTCGTAATTTATCTAAAATATCACTAAAGATATTAAGGTTATTAACAAATGTACCCTGATTGCATATATTTGTCAAGGCTTATAAAAATTTTTCTTCTTTTGTGCTTATACATTCACAAAAGTCATAGACTTATTATCATATATGTATTTATATACTGACTAATATATATTAAGCGTTTAACTTACGATGAATCGGGAAAAACGAATACTTTTATATGAGTGGTACTTCTTAAAGGTCCCAACCAGCGTTGCAGCTCATCAGCCCAATTCATGACAGTACTCTTGGGACAGAGTACCAAGACTTTCGTTGTATTTAGTTCTTTGTATGAAATAACGGTGTGCAATAGAGCTATTAACTAATATATGGAAAGATTAAAAATATGTTTGTTTTCAAAATAATTGACTGCTCACCTGTAGAGTTTTTCCGAGGCCCATGCAATGAGCCAAAATGCATCCCGAACCAGAGTTTTTCTTATTGTGATCAATTCCACCATAACATGAATCATACATAAACTTTACGCCATCAATTTGATGCGGCTTCAGTTGTTTAACTATTTCGTCATCAACCTTTACAAACGTTTTAGTACTTTCAATATAGTCGAGTATTAAGCCAGATTTTGTTGTATTTCCTGAATTACTTTTGATTGCCTTTGAAAGCAGCACATGTTTTTTTTCCAGCCTTCGTATTCGCTCAGTTTCTGATTTTTGGGCAGCTCTCGTCTCATTCGCCAACTGATCCATACGCAGCATTGGCTTAATTAATCTCGTTTTTTCTTCCACGGGTTCAGGCTCAACGTCAGAATAATCGCTTTCTGAACTAAGTACGATTTCTTCATTTTGATTACGCTTTTCTGCTTCAGCCATTAATTTCTCTAAAGATTTCTTAGATCTATTTTTGTTTGTAAAGTTATCATTCCATAGTTCATCGCTAACTTCAAAACTATCGGACTCTTTCTTTTCAGATTCAAGTTTGTTCTCTTTGGTCTCATTAATGCTATCATCCTTCACCATATCATCATGGTCGCATTTAAAAACTTGCAGAAACTTGTCTACGACATCTCCCTTATTATCATCTTCCGTAGAAGATTCCTTGGAAAGATTGTAGTCACTTTGATCTGAAAGTCCAGAATCACTGTTCGATTCATTTAGTAATTGCATTTTTATTTGCTCATTGAATCGTGAAAGATACTGATTCTCCGTTATAACCTCATCGTCACTCTAAAAAGAAATATAGTTAGTATTTGAAAATTATATGAATTAAACAATAATATTTGATTTATGTACTACTTCAACTACATACACACTCACTTCTTTGAAACTATTATCAGTGTCATACATTGCCAAATCATCATCAAAATCATTGGGCGTATTTGAACTCTTGATACTTAGCGATTTGAGATTGCTTTTATCAATGGATTTGACTCCTCGGGTGTGTCCATGACGTTTTTTGAGACCATTTAAATTGGTAAGCCTGTCGAATAAGACACATTTCAAGATTATTAACAAATAATATTAATTTTATATAAGGCTGTATTACTAGATAAGCCGAAGTCTATAAGGAATAGCCAAACAAATATAAAGTTTTAGCATGATAAACACAAAATAACCATCAGCAGTTGCTGATAATGAAATATTTAATTAAAACCTTACATACCTTTCTATTTCCTTATCCGTGTTACTTTCTGATGAGCCCGAAAACATCTTATCATTGTCAACTTCTTCGCTGGACATTTGTCGGAATTTACTATTGGTAAAATCTAAGTTGATATATTTACTAAGGTCAATGCCATCGCTATATTCAAATTCTCGAATTGAATTGCGAGCTTTTGAGCCTTGCAACCGATCCGATGCCAATAAATTACTTTCACTTAGATCTTTCTTTAGACCATCACAACTGCCGCACTCACTATCCATACTGGAGGAAGCAGATGTGTCTAAGAGATATCTTTTAGCATTATGATTAATTCTACGCCTTTTTCTTATGGAGCCTTTGGAAAATGTTGTTTGGACGCACTGATCAGTTGTCTTTATTATATTGGCAACTGTCTTAAGTTTTTGAATTTTTCCACATATAAAGTCTTTGAACTCTTCTTCTGTTTTTGATGTTAGTAATTGGCATTCATCATAGAAATCTTTTGCAAAATCAGTTGTATTGCTAAGAATAGTACTGAAAGCGATTTTATTTTCGCTCATATTCTCATAAAGGCTTTCGAAATATTCATCATTGGCCTCAACCTCCAGTGGCTCCGAGCAATTCTCTGACAAAGTTGTATTATTACTTCGAGTTGGACATTCAGTAGGAATCAATTCGTCAGTTTTTTTGCTTACATTTTCCAACTGAAACATCTTCATTTTCTTAATTGTACTATCAATAAAACTTGTTACTTGAGTAGAAACTGTTTCAGGCGGCGTTCCATTCGAAATAATGTAACTCAAAAGAATATCTTTAACACTATCTGGCTTGGGTTGGCCCACCACGACTTCTTGAGACGTATAGTTATGGTCATTCAATGCATCGGAAAATTTAGAATCATGATCAGCACATTGTTCAGCTTCTTTCTGAAGCTCAGACATTTCGCCTACATTGCTGAGGTTTGATAAATTCTCCTCGTTGGTTTCCAGAGCTGTGCCCACTTCCACTTGACAAATGTGTTCTATTGGCAAGTCTAGGAAAGTTGTCTCAGTTATTTGTTCCTCTTCAAACGTTATTTCACTTTTAATATAGTTTTCTGGAGAGGTGCACGTTATTTCTCGGTTCTCAAGCGGAACGTCTGTTCCAAAGAGGTCCATACCCAAATTGAAATCCATTTTTAGATCTAAAATTAATGACAATTATTAATATAATCCATGTATTATTATTTTTGGGGGCAATAATTAATAGGAATTGACTAAAACCTTTCAGACTCTTGGGCAAATAATACGCACGTATAAAAGCATAGGTAACTATACAAATTTTCTCAAAACTTTACTAATACAGGTATTTAATAATTAGGTAAACAACAATTGCCTTTGATATGCCGATAAATATTGACAATAGTTATGTGCCTTATATATTTATATCGATAGTCCAGCATTTAAGTAACTGTATTGGTGGGCTGCCAATCATCGATTACCATTAAATTTAATAGCTAACAGCACGCTTGCATTGAGAGTGCAATGGTCCAGATGCTACATATTACGGGATACATATCTTACTAGAGTTAGTCGTAAGAAATCGTACATTTTTTATATATTGAATTATCAATTTTGTTAAAATGTACTACAAAAAAAAAACAGTGCCCGCAGGAACCATACAAACAGTTATTCATTTAATGGCTGCCTCGATGTCTGGGGCTTAATTTATTAAAATCTAAAGTGAAAAGAATTATATAAATTTAAATTTAGATTTTTTATGGCACATGACCACGACCAACTGTAAATGCTTAATATGAATTGCATTCAGAATACAGTTTGCATTTATTTAAATTAATTATATTGGTAATAAGATACTGCCGATCAACAAGAAATAATCGTAGGCATTTTGTCGATAGTTTTGGACACCACCGTCCAATGCTGTATAGTGGAAACGGGCTATAAGAGTAGCCTGTGGTTATCGAAATGTCGGCAAGTCGAAAAGTTATCGTCAAATCTACAACATATGTACAATAAATAACAAACATTTTACTGTTGTTTCTAATATAGCAATGAAGACGTCTCGCGTGGGAAAATTATACGAAGATAAAGTTGAAAAGAAATTTAGTTCGTTGCGGTTTCCGCCAAAAGCGATACCAAAACACGTTCTTACCCGTACCCTAAAAATAGTTAATGATTCAAATGATGAGTTTTGGCTAAACAAAAACTCATCATGTGCGGCGCCAGTTACATACGAACAAAGCAATGCTAAAAAGCATTCGGACGCTTATAAAAAGTTGAATTTGGCACGCAAATGTATGTTGACACGAGACTGGCAAAACCTGGCTAAATTACTAACGTCCAACCTAGTCGGTGACAGTATTATTCAAAAAAGTTCATATCCAATTTTTTCAGAAGTAAGTACAATTTTCTATACCCTAAGACCTATTGCAAATGGGTAAAAATTTAACTTTTAATATATTTTCAGTACGTCTCAATCTTTTTAACCATGGAGGACCCCGAACTTTTGAAAAAACTTCAGCAGACAATATCACCAACTGGGTCGCAGCCTAACAATAAAAATACAAAACCCTAAATTCCATAACAATTGCTAATAACTTATGCCGTAAACACGGAATATTTTAAATTAAATATATATTGCATAGTATTTTGTCTAGAATTTATACAAAAAATTGTTTTACTAATTGGTTCATGGTCTGCTTCTGGATTATTTCATTATAAAGGCAATGTTATATTTCTTATATATATCTAATTTATGTCTAGTCTGAAGTTCCCGACAATGGGATACCCTGCACCCTCTTTTACTAACCATAACTCGGTGAAACCTATTCATGATTTGGCCATAAGTTCAATTTGGCATCTAAATCTGGCAATATTATTCGTCAAATTTGGGTTAAAATAGTACCATCCTATATTGACATATGTAAAAATTTCCCACCCCCTAACATGGTAAAATCTAATTCGATTTTCACGAGATTTGGGTCTTTTTTATGGTTTGGTCAATTAGACCATGCGGTCAAGTGGGGATTACTCATCGAAAAGCTACATCAATGTCTACACAATTGTAAAGTTAGGACAAGTAAGAGGTTCTAGTCGGAAGCTCCCGACTAGGGTATACCCTGAACCCTCTTCTTCCAACATCAAATGCATATATATATTCTACTTTAGAAGCTATATGTCAAGTTTGGTGACTCTAGCTCTTATTATTTACAAAAATTGCCCAAAAAACAGGATATCGATATCGATTTTTATCGATTGCTTGGAAACGGAGTAAGTTATCGATTATCGGAAACAAACTCGATCTGCGCGGGAACTAGGAGCATCTAAATCTATAATTTTAAGTCTCTAGCTCTTATAGGTTCTGAGATCCTTGCGTTCATACATACAGACGGACGGACGGACGGACAGACAGACGGACATGGCTAGATTGTCTCGGCTATTGATGCTGATCAAGAATATATATACTTTATGGGGTCGGAGATGCTTCCTTCTGCCGGTTACATACATTTGGATTTCGCACAAATACAATATACCCTTATACCCATTTTTAATGGGTTCAGGGTATAATAAGTCGACTTACAGATTTAAGATCGTTGAGGTTATAAGAATCATACTTACGGAAAACGTGGTTGAAGTTCCCTGGTTATGGTGCATTCATTAATTGAAGAAGGTTGTCTTTAAATGGATATGAAAGCAACTTCGAAAATATGGGTAACCTTGCAGATAATTGAATGGCGCAAAAGCTTTCCGTCACATAAGAAATGCTTCCGCTTTTTTTGTCCGTGCTCCATCTTGTATCGTGTGGATCGTGTGGGATATTTAGCTGTTCAGCAAGCGTGGCTAATGTCTCGTTAATCCTGCGGTTATTTGGTTGATATCCCTCTTTTTTAGGAAGTGGAGGTTAGTTCTTCTATTGTTGGCCATTAAACTTCACTTAGTATATATATAATGTTAAAACTAAATAGATAATTAGAATGTTTACATTTATTTCATTTTGTTGAAGCCTTCCGTTGTTGTATCCAACTCGAGCTGATAAATATATATAACAAGTCTTTTAAGAATTTGATACTTTAACGTTATCTTGGAGGTTGTTCATATTTAATAATTAAGTTCTATTAACTCACTACAGAGCTATCTCCGTATTACATTGTGCACAGAGTATTTCGTAGTTGCTTCAACCTCTTCTGTCTATCGTTAGAGAGAGAATACGAGTTAATAAACTAGATAATTATATAGAAACTTAGATTTATTTTTTAAGAACGCATATTAATATTGTTTTGAATAAAATACTTGATTAAATATTATGTTTCTCTTGTTTTAGTTAGTAAACATGTACGTGATGATTTTAAAGATTATTTATGTATAGAATTTGTATTCATACAATGAAGAGCACAGTACCTCGCGTTTCTTATCTGTTTTTGTGCCGATTGCTCGAAACAAAAAAAAAGTATAAGTATAAGAAATATAGTGAAAATAAAATCGAAGAACTATAACTCATTAATATATATCTTCTTCCATTGAAAAATCAGATGTTTCTCCAGCATAGAGGGAGCTAAAAATAAACAAAGACTGTAGTAAACATTTATGAAGTTCGGTTTTTATCATACTTAACAGCGCGACTGGTAAAGAAAACAATGCGTTTTAACTTTTTGTTGTAGAAAAAATAGTTGAATGACCATAAGCAACCAGGTTCTCCAAAAGGATCAGAGCTTAAGTCCGGATTATAGCTGTATATATCGCATTCCGATAATGTTACCTCGTCGTCCACGGCTGACCACAATGGCTGACGCAAAACTTGGTATTGATCCCCAGCTAAGGCTGACAGGTTAGAATGAACGGAGTTCATAACCCAAGGCAAAGAGGGCTCTTTGCTAAACTCATGCGACTATAAAAACAAAGGCTGTTAAGTCAAATGCTTTTTTTTTTATTCGTTTAAACCTACCTTGGCATCTGAAAAATCATAATCTGGTTCAAACGAGGCATTTAAAGTTGCGATCAAGTAAAATAAAGTTTTGCGAGAGATCGTGTCACATAAGATTACACCTTCATCGCCGGATTGACTGTTATTGCGATGAAAGTTTGGTGAAAGATCCGACAGAGTTTGAGGAGGTGATAACGCTTGCAAGTCATGACCGTGGGTCTCAGCTGTAAATCGTTTGTATAACACCTTCTCGGCTGCAACCATTTTGCTAAATAGAAAAAATATAGAAAGGTTTAGTTAAAAATATTATTAACAAGTACAACTTGCGTTATTTGATCATAGCCTTTACTTAAAATTACTAAACGGCTCAATTTTTCTTTTGCCAATGTCAACAAGCCCGATGAGTACCGGGATGACAAGGCAAAAATAATGTTATATTATCATGACGGACCCAGCTAAGTTTGGAGAAAGCGGAACACAGCTCTGGAACAGAAAAATATAAGACCCACACTTAAGTTTGGCAAGCTCTCTGTAATGGTGTGGAGCTACTTAGACATTCTAAAAAGAAAATTGTCAAGGAACTACAAGCTTAACCAGGACGACTACTTCAGGACTTGCTTGCAAGTTCTGCCAAGTGCTTGTGTATTTTAAATTTTGGGACTTTGCCTTTAAGGCATTTCATATTATTACTGTGATCCTGATATAATAAATCTTAATATCGGACTACTTTGTCGACTACGCAACAAATGCTGTTCTTCAATTGATCTTAGCCAACCTCAGCAATTGCCAACTTCCGGGTATTACATTTTCGAAGAGCAATGGATTAAGGTTATAAATTGCTAAGTTATAATTGGTAAATAAATAGAAAATTTCATACCAGGAGTAGCTTTCGATACGACCAAAAATCGTGATCCCGCCAGTTTGTATGGAGAGCGCGTTGTTGATCGCCTCGAAGCGAGAGCTCTCCAGCAGCTTCATGTTGAGTTTCCAGCCGTGAGCAAAACGTTCACCGTCAAAAAAATCTCAAGGGGTGATATCAGGCGAGGGGACTGCCGATTAGCGAACTTTAAAAACGCTAAACGTTTTAGAAAAACGATCAGTAAGTAATCCTAGTCAGCCAAATATAGGATGAATGTTCAGGTGAACTCTCTTTAGGCGCTGTGCGGTCTTATTGAGGCTTTCGGCGTCGTGATGTTTATCGTTTGATTTGCTCTTGATGCATGCATTGCCCAGAAAATAATCGTATGAAGTTTACAATTTCTGAACATGGTATCCGGATGGACTGCAATTCTTTTCTTTACGGCCACTTTTTTCTCGACTTTGTAAATATGGTGGAGTCTGCACTGTTTCATTAACATTACACAATTCAATTTCAGTTCAATAATATTTTATCTCTGGCACTATTCTGTGCCGTAGATTACGTTACGATGTATATATATATATATATAAATATATCCTTTGTTTTGTATTTTGAATTTTATTTAAACAAATTTTATTGTTGTGTAACCTTGTATCTTGATTTATTTACTCACACATACATATAAAGTATGTTTAATTGTGTTGGTTTATACGCTTTGTTTTTCATAAGAATATGTACATCTGCATGTACTGAAGCGTCTGTGTATACTACAAAGGTATTATATGTTTTTATATGTATGTTAAACGACCTTCGTATTGAGGATTACGCAGATATAAATATGGCGTCAATATTTTTTTCTGGTTTCTCAATTTCTATGTAACTTTAACACTTTAACTCATAAATGTTCAGAATCCATTAAGCGCAACATATTTGAATATTCCATTTGTGGTTTAAGGGTGGAGATCATTAATTCGCACACGATTATTTCTTAAAACTTTTTGTGAATTTCCGTATTAGCATCGCAACATGGACACAACATATTCATATATATGTGAATGGATTTGATACTTGGTATAAGTACTTAGAGATGACACTATAGAAACTATCGGATACTACATTTTCTTTAAATGTATATTATATTTAAGCCCGTTCACACTATTTACACACTCGGGGAACGAATGGAATTTATTGTAGATGTGAAACTTCTGTTCCAATTCGCAACTCTTAAAACCTTTAAGAGTGGCAGTCATGCCAGAAAAACTGTGAATTTTAAAGAGAAATCTGCAACTGTATTGTGTGCTTGAAAAGAAACAATAAAAAAAATAAAAATCCCACGGGCCATTCTGTTGACAACATAACTAAAAGCCTTTGCGTTTGCTGATGGTCCAGTAGAAATTTTTCCTGTGCAATTTCACGGGCTACGCTGACAACCTCAGCTTGATGGTCAACTCTAAGGCGTTTTGATTGAGAAAGATCGACAATGCTCGCTGCTGTCTGATATTTCTTGTCTGGCATTTATATAATGTTTGTTTTTTGCCCTTGCAGCCAGTCTGACTCGTCAATCTTGGAGAAGTTAACGATTGCATATTCAGCGCATAAAAGATTAAGACCGATTATTCCGTTAAATGTCGAAAGGCCGTCCGATCGGCTTCAAAATCATTGTAAGAGATATTTGAGAAAATTTACCCGATACGTTTAAGTTGAATCTATTAATTTTAGATGGTAAATGGGTATTGAATGAAAGTTTTTCAACAGGTGGAAATCATTTATTCCCACTTTCGGTTTATCAGTAAAGGGACTTTGTTGAGTTGAAGCTTGTTCGACAATATTTATATGTGAAGCAAACACTTATACCGAGCAAGACCGGGAAATACCTGCAGGTATTTAATTATTTTTGTTTCTTATTTTGGTAACTACATATTTTGGTATCTGTAAAATTTTTTGTATCTGTAAAATTGAAATAGTGAAACGACCGATAATGGAACTCAAAGAAGTAAGAACTAACTACAAAAGATTTGGAACTTTGTTCGTTCGTTCTTTTGAGTGAATTGTTCAATTGAACTTGTTCAGATTAATTCGATATTACTCCTAAAAATTTATTTGCTCATTAAATGTATCGCAATCGGATAGATGAATGAATAAAATAATTTAGTGACAAATTATAATCATATAACATTAAAAGTTGTTTGTGTGAATATTTGTTTAATATCGTGTAAATTTTATTTACGTGTCGAAATATAAGCTGGCATTTGTCGAAGTAGACAGTAAAAGCTTTGGGTGTTGCCCCAAATAATAGATACATTTTGCATTATATTAAGTTAATGTAAATTCAAGTAATTGTCATAATACATTTTAAATCAAGTATATGACGTTATAATACAATTTCACATGAAGTCTGATATATGTTTATGAATGCATTTGAATTTCAGATCAAAAAAATTTGTATATAAGATGGCGGAGGGAAATACTGGAACTAGTGCTGAGGGTGCTGCCGCCTTGGCTGCCCCACATCCTAACGCCGAAGTTATAAGGGGGCAAATATTTGAAGTCGGCCCAAGATATAGGAAATTGACATATATCGGTGAAGGCGCATATGGCATGGTGGTGTAAGTATATCAAATAGCCCTATACATCACTCGCACTATCTACACATATATATGTATGTAAATGCATACATACCGCATATTCACCCCGTTAAGAAGTTTAAGTTCTATATTGGGAGGCTTACATCAAATATAACTAAACACTTCGACTTAAATAATTATAACAGTATATATACATATTTATTTGAAATTTTCACCTTATGTGATGGATGCGCATGCTAAAACTTAGTTTTGGTAAATTTCCTACCGCAACTGTGGAAAAATCGTTGGTGTGAAACTTTTTGGTTACCAGCCGATCGACCTCAAACTCGGTTTAGAAGATCTCTAGTCAAATCAATCTGAGGGGTCCATTCTTCCCTGGTGGAAATGGAGGTCAAATTAATTGCTAAGAATATTTGAAAAAATTCACCATTTTTGCAAAATCCAATTCAACTCAAAGATTTTTGCGCGAAGCTTCAAATATTTTTCAAAATTAAGTGAGGTGCAAGATAGTACGGGTAATAAGAAAATTTGAACCACAAGTGGGTATAGCAATTGTATGCCTTAACATTAACAGCAAAAACAATTAGTTGCCTCTGTCCTACCTCGTAGTCATAACGCGAATTGAGCTTTGACGAGAAAAGAAAACGGAAGAACCGCAGAAAATATAATCAGTATTAAAATTGTGGCTAGTAAAACAGATTTTTTTTGATACGAGGAGCCGGGTGTGGCGGAAGCTGTGAAATTGTTCCATGAATTCATCTAAGTATATAGATATTCTTGAAGCTAAATGTATTATTTGGTGACTCCAGCTCTTAAAACACAAGAGATTTACACAAATACAGTAATTCAATAACGATGGTAATCGATTGCTTGGAAACGTGGAATGTTATCCATTATTGAAAACAACCTCGAGCAACAGGAGGACGACCCACGTTCAAGTCTCTAGACCTTATCGGCAAAGAGACACAGAAGCTTTTTAAGAAAACGTTTGTTATATGTTGTGCTCAGCCGTAACAAACTCTCTTTGCTTCGTTTTGCCCCTGATAACGGCGATAAGATACTTACAGTATCTTAATGAAAAGTTCGATCAGATAGATTCGCAGTGTATTGTATTAATATCTCCAACATTCGCTACGTCCTGTACTGTTTGTTAAAGTAGGTTGTGCTCTGAGACACGTTAAAAGGAGGAAATTTCGTACAGAGGGGAAACCAGCGTCTTTTATTTAAATCTGGTTTTTGAATCAATAAACTGGCTTGTTTACTCTCGGATTTAATACCCAATGTCCAACATTTTTGTTGAAATTAAAGGTATTGAGTACTTGTCGCTCACGGGTTTTTGGCTGAGTTTCCTAGAGTCTATAACAATTAAATTCTTATGGCAGAGCTCATTGACATGCTTTACTCATTAGTTGCAGACTCTTATAATGTCCGACTGCAGGCTTTAAGAAATAAATATATATTGTCATAAATTATGAAAGACTTAAATATACATAATTTGTGTAAATAAATATTACAAATATTATTAAGTGTTAATATTGGAACCGTTAAAAAATATGTATTAATTTGTTCATGAGTGTTTCTAGAAACGTTTATTTATTAAAACATTATGTTTTGTCCATTTTAGATCTGCTGATGACACGTTGACGAACCAAAGAGTTGCTATTAAAAAAATTTCTCCGTTTGAGCACCAGACGTATTGTCAACGAACTCTAAGGGAGATAACCATTTTAACCAGATTTAAACACGAAAATGTAATTAAACTGCAATGTTACTATACTTGAAACAGTGTTATATCCTTAACAAGACTGTTTTCATTTAGATTATTGATATACGCGACATCTTGCGAGTAGATAGCATAGAACAAATGAGGGATGTATATATTGTACAATGCTTAATGGAGACTGATCTGTATAAACTACTTAAAACGCAGGTAAATAATTATTAATTGAACTCTTTTCTAAATACTTTCTACCGACTAATTAATGACTAAAATGATTTTTTGCTAAAATTGTTGTGTGGCGACAGCTATAAACTGAAAAATATTTAATATATATATCAAGAAGCTTCAATTGCTTAAATAACTGGACTTTTTTTCTTAGTTGGACGGCCTCGGCAAGATTACTCGTGTTTCTAATCAGTTGTTGCTATTATACCTGTAAACTCTTTTATTTACAGAGGCTGAGTAACGATCACATCTGTTACTTTCTGTATCAAATATTGCGTGGTTTAAAGTATATCCATTCGGCAAACGTTTTACATCGAGACCTAAAGCCGAGCAATCTTTTGCTAAATAAGACATGCGATTTAAAAGTGCGTATCTTTATAATTATCTGCCGTGTTCAATATAGTAATTCGATGAATAATACTTTTTGATTTAGATTTGTGACTTTGGTTTAGCCCGTATTGCTGACCCAGAGCACGACCACACTGGTTTCCTTACAGAATATGTAGCAACTAGGTGGTACCGGGCACCGGAAATAATGCTTAATTCAAAAGGGTATACAAAATCAATTGATATCTGGTCAGTTGGGTGCATTTTGGCTGAAATGCTAAGCAACCGACCCATCTTTCCTGGAAAACATTATTTAGATCAACTCAACCATATTCTTGGCGTGCTAGGATCCCCATCACAGGAAGACTTAGAATGTATTATTAATGAAAAGGCAAGTCTTAAAAGCATATTATGTTTTCTTGCTAATGATTATTTTTTTTCCAGGCACGGAATTATTTAGAATCTTTGCCTTTTAAGCCAAATGTGCCATGGTCGAGGTTATTCCCCAATGCAGACGCTTTGGCGTTGGATTTACTTGGTAAGATGCTGACGTTCAACCCGCACAAACGAATTCCAGTAGAGGAAGCTCTTGCACATCCATATTTAGAGCAGTATTATGATCCTGGCGATGAGGTAACTTTCATATTTTTTTTTATAAATAAAATTGATTTTAATTGCAACTATAATTTATAACTTTTGTTTATAGCCTGTTGCAGAAGTACCATTTCGCATTAATATGGAAAATGATGATATATCTAGAGACGCTTTGAAATCGTTAATTTTTGAAGAAACGTTAAAATTTAAAGAACGACAACCAGAACAGGCTCTATAAAACAATTATCAAAAAATAAAAATTTACATTTTCAACTATTTGTTTTATTTTGATTTATTTTTATTGATGTGGTAATTTAATTAATACTCTTTCATACGTTAATTTTCCATTAATAAGTAGCTCATATCGCTGTAAATTTATATTAACTACATTTAAAAAACAACTTTACTAACATATTTGCATTTAATCTGTCTGTAAGCACCACCATTTATAATACACCACTACGGAGTGGGTAAATCACATTATATGTTGGTATTTACCTAAATATTTGCCTCATCGAAATAAGTATACGATCCTATAAAGTTATTTCCTTATTAATTATATCAACGAGTAAATAAGATGTTACTAACAAAATTTAGATAGATGAATATTTTAGCCGTACATCAAAACCAATTAACTTTTCAAGTTCACCCCAATTACAAGACAATGGTCTCAATACTGTTGATATTTTAATATCCTGAACCCATTAAAAATGGGTAAAAAGGGTATAATGTATTTGTGCAATGTATGCAACAGGCAGAAGAAAGAATCCCCGACCCGCAGTACGAGTTCGTTTCCGATAATCGATCACTTTCCACAGTTCGAAGCAATCGATAAGAATCGATATGGAAATTCTATTCTGAACAAATCTCAGGCTAAAGCCACAAAATTCGACATGTAGCTTATGGATTAGTATATGCAGATCACGTATCTTTCATTTGAAAGCTATCGCCAACCTCCGCCACCACCAAAGTAAAAGTAAATCAAATTAATGAACCAATTTGAACTTCCCACCTTTTAAGCGACAATTTTAATGCAATTGTCTTTTTGAGAAAATACGAATATTCTACCAGCACAAGAAGATCTACTGTTAACATTTTCATCAGGATATGTTAATTCGGTTTTTTATCTCATCGAGAATAAATTGTTGAAATGGCTCTCGAGTGAAGTTCTATTGGAGGAAGTATTTTTATAAATCTATTTTTATTACTGCTGAGGCAAACGAGTTCGTAGGTAAAGGGTGTAGGGTAACTCCTACGAAAAATTCATTTCGGAAAATCCAAAGTTTAATAAGTCAGTCTAAGATTTCCAAGCCAAATGACTAAAAATACTTTTTTCGACCATTCATAAGCTGAAGAACGGTGATTTGCGCGTAAACTTATTTCAATGAGGTATTTTTTTTTCTTTTTATGTGGTTTTCCTGATAACACATATATCAACATCACACACATATTTTCGAGCTAATATTATAAATTAGCATAATTGAGCTAAACCTATATTTTTGATCATTTACAATATTTGAACTCTAATGTATGTAACAGACTAACATGCCCGACAACAATTAATGTTTACATCTCTTATTAAATGTCGTGTGATTTGAAAACTTACAAATGAATGGTATATATATAATTATTTAATCTCAAAATATTTACGCATTCTTAATCGACATCGGCTTATATGTGTATGAGAGCAAAAACGATCAGTGTGTAGGTATTTACATACGGGCATATCTACTGTGAAGAAAGACATTTCAAAGCTTTTCTTTTAATTTAATCAAAATTGACAAAGTTGTTAAAAAATAAATATCCTCTGTGAAATGCTAAATTCTATTCAGTTTTTGGCAAAGCCCTAAATTCTTTTGTCTCTGATAATGAAGTAAAAGACAACTTCCGATACAAATTTAGGTTATATATAAAAATATATATGTGGGTATGCTCATATGTACATCTGAACTTTATAGGAAAAACCTCTTAGCACATGATGAGAGTTTAGGCAATTTAATTTGATTAAATGTGTGTTGCAAAATATTTTCGAAAAAAACAATAGAATGTTGCGAGAAATTATTAAAAAAAAAAAAAATAATAATAATAATAATAGTATAATAAAATTGTTTCACTTATAATCAAGTGGGATTTTATTCGGTATACATGTTTAAATAAGTATAAACAATTTCTTCCCATTTAACATTCTTATCTGAAAAAGATACCTTGCTCGCTCATAAAATAATTTAATATATTTACTTTCTTGAAAACTTATGTATCTTCAATTAGTAGGTGTATATTTATGTATTAACTAACTACATTGCATGTACGGAAGGAAGTACGAAACGCTTCTATATATGAATTTTAAATAAAAAATTTATCTCTATGGAAACGCACTATGAATACACATAATATGAATACATAAGTATTATTTTTTGTAAGTCTGCATTGTTAATAAACCTTCAAACTTTGTATGTTGAAATTTTGAATAATTAAAAATGTAATCATAATTTCTGATTTTAAAATTAAAATATTCAAAAATTTATGGATACTAGCGGGCATTATCACTAAGCATATATGGAGGCTGTAAGCCGAGAAATATGTGAATGGAGGACTTTTATTTTGTAAAAAAAGGTGGGCAACAAAAATGATTGTTGGCTTGCGGAAGTGGTTAAAAAATGTTTAAAAAGGCTACTTACAGTTCTTGGTGTCACAAATCTATAAATTGGGTATGGTTGGTGCAGTATTAAATAGACAACCTTCTTCCTAGCTCCAAAATGTGAGTTTCGCACCTCATAACTGGAGCGTTTCAGGGTTAGATTTAAACAGTAGCCAAACTTGGAATCTGGCCGACGAGAATATTTACCGGATAATATTGTTCACATAACACTTAACCAGAATTATGGCCTTTGAATCTGGCCGGCAAGTCCATAGACCACAATTTGTACAGGACAACAATGCTTCCTCCTGAAGGATGGGAAATTCTGTCCTTTCTTTCATTCGGCCAACGACTGGATCCGACACTGTTGGCTTTAACGGGCACAATATCGGTAGTTGTATTTTCCATAGATATCCTTATCCGTGTTCCAGACGTATTATATCCCATTTATATTTTATATGTTGATGGTTTTGATATTTGTACATTTAATAATATAACATTTGTAATTTTAAAACGACCAAATTATTGTATAATTTCTGCCGAAAACTTTTATTTATCCAATTTAACTACAATCGTGTTAAATGCATCAACTTTAAATTGTTTAAAATATATTTTCTCGTTTGATTCCACATTAAGCATTTCATTGCCACTATAAAACATTGATGTCAAATCTAAAACAACTTTAGTACTACCGAAATTTGTTATTGACACAAATGAATTTTTTCGTGGGTAATATCGGACTATTATTAGAACGTCAGCGTTGCTATGTGCTAGTATTTGGGTGTTTGATTTATTCTCCGTGAACTTGCACACAACATTTTTGTAGATTGATGGAGATTGCTCGCGTAAGGATATCATTCTCTGTACTAATATTAGTTTGTCCAATGATCTTATGTTGATCTCCTGATCAGTTATATTATATAAGCGTTCAGCCCAAAGTTCTATTGGTTGTACCGAATTGTTCTTAATTTTTATTTTTGTTATGGCTACTGCATTTTCATGCATAATATTTGGCGTCCCTGGCAAAATAAGCTGCATTATTGTTGCAGCGAAAATCTTTGAAACAATTGGTTGACTACTGTCGGGTGTATCCATGTAATTTCTTCCAATAGACCAATGAATCCAAGTTCTGTCGTCAGCAATTGGCATATCATTTAAAATAAGTTCAATTCGTTCTTTCATTTTTTGTGAATTGTTTTCAATACTTAAAATAAAGTCAACCAAATCGATATGCTCCAACAATACAGAAAGTTCCGATTTGGACTTGTCTTTTAAAAACGATTCCCCTACTATAAGCACTTTATCTTTGCCGATTACACCTTTCCAAGATGATAAACACATTAAAAGTGTTTCATTATTTTTAAGTGATTCCAGTCCCTTTAAATAAAATCCGTTCACCCCGAGGTCAATCCAATGATGTAAAGATTTTGAAATAACATCAAGAACTTCATTATCCTTTCTCCCAGCAATCACGTGCTGCAATGGCAAATCTAATAAAAGACTCATATTGTGTGCATGTAAGACATTGGCCAATTTATGCAGAGTACTCAGGTTTCCTAGTTCAGGTCTAATTGTATTTATCGATAAAACGTTAACATCTCCATCGTAATGAGGACCGGAGGGAAAAATAGTGTTGAGTCGTACTCCAGATATACCTAAATTTGCTAAATAATCTATTCCATATATTATTCCACTAATATCGCCAATACCATCATTATTAGAGTCGTTGAAAGATGCCGGATCAATTTCATAAAAAACGCTTCCTCGATACCAAGCAGTTCTGCAGAAAAGGGACATGATAGTTAATTTCCAAATAGCTTACATAGGTGTTACTTACTTGGGATTGCAAAATTTTGGCATGCTGACAATTTGAGCAACAACAATTGAGCATATTGCTAAGATTCCCGATAGGAAAACGAAAAATGTACATTTTCGAATAAGCGGCCAATTCCAAGATACAAAAGATGGCGTTTCTTTAGATTTTCTTCTAGTTCCTTTTAAACAGTGACTACTGGCATCCTAATGAAAGCAGCATAATTAGTAAAATGCAAATCGAATAAGAGTTTAGTCGAGTGCGTCCAACCAGAAATACCTCTTCAACACCTACAGAATGGCTTCTACGAGCCTCTTGCTAAACTTTTATTTTACATATTTGGTAGTTACACTGTTCCAGTCGAAGGTAACCGGCTGAGCTGAGTCGAAAGTATTCTTAATTATGTGCATGGCAGAAAGCTTGGAACTGCAGAATTAAAAGCCAACCCGAAATATTTTAAGTGTCGTTCACATTAGTGGTATATCTGTCAAATATGGGACTAGCTTCGAAATGTGGGAATGTCACGACAAATATATCGGGGTTTTCATTAGAGCTTTACGAACTAGTCAAAAATTGAAACTTATTTTGAATTTTCTCAAATTTCAATCGCATTTGTCTCTTTTTAAAGGGACACATTTGCATTTAGCTCGGCTATTTTTTTGTTTTTTATAAAAGCACCAGATATTACTAGCGTTAGTTGATACTATTATTATTATAATAATTATTTTTATTTACTTGACTCGTCACGTTGTTGTTTTGTAAATGATGATAGTTCACTTTGTTGAAAAGGCTGCTTGACGCAGTTTCCATGGCATCCATTGCGATGCCGGTGCTACTTCCAGAAGAACTCGTGTCCGCCTTGCAGTCTGTATTACTTATATTAGATGAGGTAATATCGCTTGCAACAATTGTCGGGCTTAATGGGTGTGATAATAAGACAGGCTCCAATCCACCGTTACTTGATAGCAACGGAAATATAGAGGCCTCTTCGTCTGGCAAAAATGTAGAAACTGATGGAGATTCAAGCAGGGTCTGTGGAAGTTCGACTTCAAGAAATGCTGGTTCCGTTGATATTTCCATGTTATCAATTTTAAAAAGATATCCTTTAAATAAATTATTGTTGAGTTAATTAAAACAGTTTGACCAATTATTGCCTTTCATCTGTACACATATACATATATATAAGCTCTGAATGCGCACTCAGTAATTTAATTCATAAAGTGCGACCTGTTGCATGATATATCCCATTTATATTATATATTGATGGTTAACAGAACTACAGCCTGTAATAAGCAGCAAGAGTGAGCACGCTGTCCGTACTTCTACTTAAAGAACCTCCCGGTATGCCACATAAGTAAGCACATGAGATAAGACTTTGGTTTTGTCTTTGCCTTTTCGTTGATTATAATTCTCAAGTGCTTAAAGCTTCGTTCTGAGGACAAGGGCTCGTTCGTTATGCTGCTTTAGAGGTTCTAAAAGTTGGTATACGAGCTACCTTCTCCGCCTACGCCTTGTTGTTGGTCGTTGTGACTAAAATTGACCACGCGTGCCCAATTTAAATTCATCTTAATCTTCATTTTTGGGCTTTTGCTCTGGTACTTTCTTCAACCTAATCAAACTTTCTTCATTTCACAAAATTGCTGTGGTATTTACACATGTGGATGGCATATTTCTGATATAAAAATTTCACAGAGATCGGATATAAAACCAATTAAGTTAATTAACGAATATATTTCCGGCATTGTGATGCTGAGAATAACGGCACGTGCGCTGCGCAGCATGCTGCGCGAGTCCATGTTTGTATCTTCTTGTATATATTTGGTCTAAATACCTGGTCGAGCACGTCCGACTAAGGTAATCTTATTGTTGATAATGTCAGAGCCTAACGAAGCATTTACCGTAAGAATATTTGTTGCAAAAAATTATTTTTACTGCTGATATATAATCAAGTTTGATAGCTTTCCACTGCTAATATACATGTCTATATATACGCATATATATGTTATATGTTCAACAATTTATATATTTAAAAATATAAATATACATTTACATATGCATATGTATTGTGCACCAGTTGTATGTTCCTAGGTTTGTGAATTTCACTTTTTCATATTTATATGTATATGTGTATTAATATTGTACATTGAAGACCTATTCTAATAGTTGACAACAAATGCATGCATACTTATATATATAATAAAAACTTTAATTATTCTACTAGCGTGTTATGAAAAACTTTTGTCAATGGTTTGATCCACTCGAATTAAGAAGCGTAACTGTAAAATGGCGCATGCGCGTTTTTCATATCGAGTAATTATGTTATCTTAATAAGTATGAAAAGTATCGATGAAAAACGCTTTTATCCAAGATCTATGCTTTTCAAATTCAATTTTCTTATAGATACATAAGTGCCTCAAAATAACAGACTGACTGATTTTCTGAAAAATTATATTGAATTTTGAATTAAGGCAGCCTTGGTAATTCTTAATATATGCATTGGATAAGGTCTTCACGGAGTGATGAAGAAACTATGCAGCGAATTATATAAAAATAAAAAATAATAATAGTATGCAAAGTATATATAATATTATCACTTAGCTTCAATCATATGAAAGTGTGTAAGTCTGCCTGTTTATCCGCTTGTCTAACGATTCGTATGTATGAATGCGGGTGATTTGAAATTTTGTATGTAGTCGATGCCCCAGCCCGTTCGAGTAACTCTGATTATCGATAACTTTCCATGTAATCGATAGGCATCGATACTAAAACGTTTTTATACCCTGAATCAAAGTATAAGGATTTTGTGCAGCTGCGTTGACATCTCATTTATAGAATAGAATATACGGAAAAGTATGTTTTAATGTGTAGCTATCACATTAAATTAAATAAATAAATCATTTAAATATGATTTATTAGTGATCAGTGCCTTCTGATCTCCACCAAGCGAATATACATATCCATAAGGGAAGAATGTATATGTATTTACAAGTTAGTGATATTTGCAATGATTATATGATTATATACAAAAATAAAAAAGAGAAGAGAACGTTTAATAAGATTTACCGCTGAAACACTGAAATTACTATTTGCTTGGGGCAGCTAGCGCAAATTGCAAGAACTTTTGTATACGTATGTTGTATACACGCACACACACACACACCCACTTTCATGCGCGCCCTTTTTTAATTTTATAAACAACATAGACTGATCGACTGATTGGTGATCAACGGAAAACCCAAACTTTAAGAGCTAGGAAGCTGAAATTTTCAATGTAGTTACCTTATGTGATGATGGTGCAAGACGGGGTTTCGGGAAATTCCACCCGCATGTGTGGAAAAACCGCGAAAAATATTTGAATGAAACTTTTCTGTGTACCATTCGATCAACCTCAAACTCACTTTCAAAGAACATTGTTGAAATCTTAGAATGCATCCGCAATAATCCGCCTCGATAATCAAATACATCCATTAATCAATTTCCGCGTTTTTTCCAGCGCATATCTATAATTTGATTATAATTCGGAATTAAAACGGAGATTAGTCAGCCAGAATTTTGCTCAATTTTTAAAGTAAGTTTATTCTTTTAAGAAATGAATAATTTTTGCAAAGAACGATTTTTTTTCAGGATAGTCACGCGATAAGGTCTGAACTATTTCCATCAGAGTGTCATTCATTTCAGTTTGGCCCTCAAATTGTGTTTGAATGCTACTCTCGGAGCGTACAATTTTATGTTGTCCCTTCAAGTTACTTAGCCTGCGGAATGCCTTAGCACGATTCTGTTTGCGAATAATTTGTTCCAAATTGGCATGTTTAGAGAGCAGAGCTTCCTCTATCTGGGCTCGAATGCCGGCATCTTTATTCGTAACTTCTTGCAGATCATTTTGAGTTTTTCTTAGAATGTAGACCATGCGCTCGATATTGTTTATGTCAGACATGAGCCGGTTTTCTGAAAGATATGTTATTTCATTTTGAATAACCTTTGTCTTGTTTCGCACTTCCTCAAGTTTCATTTGGGCCTGTGATGCGTTCTTGTATTTTTTCTTTTTCGCATCAACATGTTCTTTGACAGTTGCATTAACGAAAATTTGCTCGCGATGCATTACACAATGCTCCAAGTCCTGCACCAATTTCTCTTGTGCGCGTTTTAATTGATTGAAGCGAATTGTCATTCTATGAATTTCCACCTTCATTGCTCCAATTTCGCCATTCAACGAGCGCTCTGTCTTAGTCCAATCTATAGTTTCTTCAATCAGCTTATGCTTGGTTTCCCAAGATAAAGCTTCTCTATGGTAATCGAGCACCAGATCCTTGCTCAGTTCAATTTCATTAAGCAACTCATTTATATCTTTCTCTAACTTTAATGTGCTCATCTCGGTGTCCTGAAAATAAAGCGAGTTTTAAATAATAGCAAAAGAGACTTACATACTTACTTTAAGTTTTTGGCTCAGTTCAGCCTGTTCGTGCTCATATTCGCTCTCCTCGATATTATGATGTTTTCGCTTAGTGTATATTTTTTCGTTAAGCAATTCCAATTTCGATGTAAATTTCTGTATGTCAAGCTTTAGATCTCGTGTCTTATTTTCAGATATTTCCAGTTCTTGTTCCACCTTAAGCGATTTTTGCTTTATGATTGATAATTCTAAAAAGATATGTTGAAACAATTGTTAATAAACACTAGCATATTTCTCTAAAGGATCACATCAAATACTCTAGTCTGAGATAGGATTTCTAGTAAGATTCAATCCAATCTAAAGTACACTTACGTTTTCGAGTCACCTGAATTTCATGTAACTGTTCACTTCTTTTGTGAGTCAAATTTACAAAGTGATTTTGAAGCATTATCCAAAATTGTTGATGTTCTCTGATTTGGTGCTCACCGACTTGAATGGATTTTTCGATTTGTTTTATCTGTGGGTATATGTTTGAATTCATTAAATTAAACTTTTACACTATGAACATGTACAAAAGCAAAACAAATATGGAGTCTTACCTTGAGTTCTGTAGGACTTCCAGTATCTTCGCCAAAGACTGTTTGGACTTCTTCAATTTGGTTGTTTAACTTCTCAAATCGCTTCATTTTAATTTCAATTTTAGTTTGCATTTTCTTTAAGTCCTCATCCAGGCTATTTGATTTTTCTTCTGCCTTAGTCAGATTTTCTTGAATCTGATCATTTTCTTTTCTTGTATTAAATAGAACGCTTCGTAGTTTTTCTACATCGAGCATGGCTAATGCCAATTGATTTTGTACTTTCGACAATGACAAGTCCACGTTTCGACGGTGTTCTTGTGCCTTATTCAATAATTTTAACCGATACGCACTGGCTTTATCCGTTATCAGTTGGTCCTGAGCTAATTTTAGTATTGCTTCCTCAGTTCGAAATTTTTTTTGGTGATTTTTGTCCAATACATAATCAAGCCGCCGGATTTCGGATATTAATTTATTTCCTTCACGCGTGGCTTCTTGCAAATCAGCTTCAGTTCGAGCCAAAAAGTCGGGAAATTCATCAAGCCTTGTCTGCAGCACGACTAGTGTATCCACTTCCCGTTGACCTAGGTGAAAATTGATAATTAATAATTAAAGAAGGCTTGGTGGAATTCATTTACTTACAGTCTCGACTAAGGGTACTCATATCATCGGCCATTCGTTGCTTAAATGATTCCAGTTTTTTATTGAGCACCATCTCTCTTGCTATTTGTTTTTTCACTGCATCAATTCCATTTGAGTTCAATTTTATTGACTCTTTTTGTTTGCTAAATACATAGATTAATAAATTTGTATATAGGTATATCAATATGTTCTCAAATACATACCGAATATTGTCCTGAACTTGAAATAAGATTTTGTCTCTTAGCTGAATTGCTATGATGACTTCACTCCAGGCCTGTGTTAATCGCTTGTGTTCATTTTGTAGAGCCTCCAAGTCAGTGTTGGCGTCAGCTATGCTCATATTGAGTACATTGACCACCTCCTGTATTGCGGTTTCGTCTTCGGTAATAGATTGCAGCTCGGCTTCTTTTTTTTTTACCTCCATATCCAGTCGATAAAATAGTATGTCCGATTTCCTTTTCTCCTCAGACAGTTGCTTTTGCAATTGTGCATCTCGGCTTACAATTCGTTTGGCATTTTTAACTTCATCTTCTACTTCATATGCCCATTTCCTTATATTACTACCCAAGCTTTGCAGATCTTCTAGCTCCATCATTCGGTTATGATACAGCGATTTTTGGGCTCTTGTTAATTTGATTTTTTCCTCATATTCCTTCTTAATGATTTCCACAGCAGCTTCTTCCTGTTGGCGCTTTTCAATATGCTCATCAATTTGGGCAGATATTTCTTTAATTTGTTGTTCTTGGAAGGTAATTTTATTTTGCATATCATACAAGGCCAGTCCCTGTTCTTCACGTCGATCCTCCTTGGCCTTAACTTCATATTTGATGTCCACAATCTCGTTTTCTAACTTGTTTTTTGTACGCATCAGATGCTCTTTCAAAGATTGTTGGAATTTCCGCAATAGCGGATGGTTTGGCGGAAGAATGCCCATTTCTTCCGGCTCCAGTACTGGCTGCTGGACTTTTTCCGTAATATTTGCAAAGTCGCATGACTCTGAGTCCTCGTTTTCCGACATTGTATTAGCAATCGTTTTTCCAAACAGAATGTCTTACAAAATATGCTTTGTTTATCATCAATATTTATTATGTATGACAAAAATACCTAACGTACATTAGGTTTCTACGCGTTACAAACATCCCAACCCTGTTTATAAATATTCACTTAGTTTTGGTGGTTGACGTGTTTCTATGCCAACAGAATTATTTGTAGTGGGCTTAATTTAGTTTGAATTGCACACAGTAAGCTTATAAGAATAATACACTTAAGAATGCCTGACTGTGGATACCCTGTACCCAACACGCGTAGCTTGCAAACCTGGTCTATGTATACATTCATAAGAATACACTTTCTCATAGCGAGATTTCAAAATTAAGGGAATCATTGTCGGAATAATGCGAGAGTTCCCTAGAATCCGGTCTGTTAGCATTAAACGCAAGACATTTGCAATGTATGGGCTATGCTAAGGAGCCTCAGGAAGACTTACCCATCGATCGATGCCTTTAGTATGCAGATCCTCAGCTTAATGCTAGATTTAAATTGACTAAAAGCTCATGGTCAAGTTCATCCGTCTGGCTTAAACCAAAAGACCTTTGTTACTTACAGACTATGAGATTGGTTTACGCGAAAACGGGGAGGCAGCGAGAAGAGCACTGATATAGAGACTGGACTATTGATACTGATTAACAATCTTTAACTCGTAATGCTTAATGACAAAATAAATATGCCTTCTGTCAGATGACACAAATAGAACGCATCTGCGAAGTGCATGTAACGAGTGAGAACTACCCTTCCGGGTAGAACCATATAACATTGGGTAATTTATTTGCTTTTCGCATTATTTACTTAATGTTTGCTTTAAAAGGTAAAGTTCCGATTATTACTAAATAAAATATACTTTATTCATTTTTGATTTCTAAATAAAAAAAGTTAAACAAAGTTAAATAGCAATACATACACATGTACAATCTAGATGTAAAATATCTAATCACCATATTGATCTTAAAATGTAAATAAGCTAAGATAACACCTTCGGATATCCGAAGTTCATATAATTTTGAGTCGCTTGTAAATTTGAAAAACACTCAACTTATGCTCAATTATAATGCAATAACATATATATATAAATCATATTTTGAGCGCTCTATATTATTCTATACAATTTTAGATTCATCTAAGTGTCTTTTTAAAACAAAACAAAAACATCTTTTTCAATAATCAGTTGATTTTTGTTACCAAAACGTAATAAAGCCCAATAAAGTTAAATCCATACATAGTATGTATATTAAACTCGTTAGTTTTTCTATGTCAATATTATGTAGCACATAAGCCATTAGCCTTTTTAAGTGCATTTGATTTTATTTAAGCGATTTACTTAGGGTATATACATGTGGGGCGGTGAGGGTTTGTTTCAAGTCGTCGCAAATATCAGTCAACTCATATATCCAATCCGCATTTACAGGGAAAAAACAGAGTACGGCTAGTGTCATTTGTTGTTATGGCATTGTGTGAACAATGTATGGACTTTGACTTGAGAACTCAATCGACTGATGAAAGCTACCCCCCTGGGCTATGAGTTGATCTTTTAGCAGGTGCATTTCGTAGGGCGATAGGACCCCAATTTACCAATTTTCAATTCCCTTCGTTAGCACTTAGCTACTCTTAGGCTTATGAGCTTGTTATGACAAATTCGAAGAGTTTATCGAAAGAAGTGGATAATTTGACCTTCCATTCTCGTGTACCAAGCGAGCACACTAAAATGCATTCAAATTGGTTATAAGAAGTGGAGAAACATAAAGTAGCTGAACGCGGAAAAAGGATAAATTACAAGTTAACAAGAACTAAAATCGACAAAGTGCCACATTTATAGATTGTAGCATGCGATCGAAAACTTAATAAATGTATTAGAGCAGCTTACCAGCTAAAATTGAAACTGTAGTAAAATTGTTTAATAATTATTCCCGACAGGGCCAAAATAAAAATTGTTTTTTATCATACAAATTAGTGGCTCATAGCCAAACAAAAAATAAGTATGTATGTTCGCTTCAACAAACGCATACATAAAAGAAATTTAATTGCTGATTGTCGAAAATTAGTTGGGAAAAAATGCTTTTAGCTTAGATGAGGATGAGAGCATGTGATTTTTATCCAGACAAAAACCTTTTTGTTGCAGACAACATAAAAATGTTGATTGATATTTGGAACCTCTCATTGCGAGATATCCAGCTGATAAAATGAAAGAACAACAGTTGTTTGCAAAGGGATGACTGGTAAAATAATAATTAATTAATAATTTCAATTGTTTTCGCAAGCGACTTAGGCTATGTCTTTTTAATTCCTTTTTAGATAATACGTTTTTTTTTCGTTCCGGTTATCAGCGATCTAAAAGATCAAATATGTATGATTTTAAGAGCTTACTGAAAGCAGTATAAAATGTTAAAACCACTGCCATATTCTTTAAATATTGTACAAACTGGTGATGATAGACAAATAAAGCTGTATATACTTATTACATTATTTAACTATATATTAAGGAAGGTCTGGAAAAGGAAGCATGTAATTTGCTCCAAAGCGAATGGGGCTCTTTGGAAGGAATATATACTAAAGATTTTACAAAAAAAAAAATTATATATATATATATATATATGTATAAAAATGTACATTCTGCACAATATAATCATCGATTAAGAGATAATTTGCACAACTCGAAATCATGTGATTTATGTATTTTATATTTTTAAGTACGAAGCATTACGTGAGCCATATTACGAGTTTTAAATGTCCTTCGTTGGAAAACAACCAGTGTATCTAATCGTATTGGTATAACAGTTCAAGTTCTGTGTAATATTATAATAATTAGCCTATTCTATATACATTTCGAAGATTTTTAAGCCCGCTATTCAGCAGGTACCATATTTTGTTCCAAATCAGGCTTTGTATCATCGGGATCCAAGCTTAGGCACTCGGCAAAGTAGTGCTCCATAGAGGAATACACATGCTCTAACACTCCATTTAGATCGTGGCCTTCATCAGCATAAGTCTGCAAGTAAATTTAGTTGATTCTTACAACAGTTTGGTATAGCAATTGACAGAAGATGCCAAGCTCGTGCTGCGTATGGTACAGACAAATGTAGTTGGACAAGAACAGATGAGGTCGGAGATGGCTCGTTCTGCCAGTGCACATTATACGCTTTTTAAATATCTTCACAAGATCACATCACTAAACTTAAAATACCCAAGTGATTGTGAACCCGGCAAGGGTGAGGAGCAGTTAATCCGGAAGGAATTAACCGTAAACGAAACAAGATGCGTCCATTAAAACGGACTCCCAATGTGAGCTCCAGCTGCTGCCAGATCACCAGTTTTACAGATTATCGAACAATCCTTAATCTACCTCTCTTTCACACTCTTGCCCCAACTGAGCGGGAGTACATTAACCAGAAAAGTCTTAAATTATTCTTGGTCAATATTCATGTGAAAATACATACATATATACACACAAATATATAAATACACACATACGTGCATACATATATGTGCATACAAACAAACATACATACATACATACATACATACATACATACATACATACCTACATACCTACATACCTACATACCTACATGCATACCTACATGCATACCTACATACATACATACCTGCATACGTACATACCTACTTACATACATACCTACATACTTACAAACATACGCCTTCTGCTACGCCCCCTTGGTGCTCCTCCTTCTCCGCCTCCTCAGCTTCTAGCGATGAGGGCGCTTGCGCCTAATTCATACGCGAAGCCTGCAAGCCTTATTTGCACTTTTGAGAATCGAGGAGGAGGGCAGCTTTAATAAATACGTTTTCTTATTAAAATTTTCCGCGCAACAAGACTTATTGGCCTGATATTTGTATGGAAGACAATTTATATGCATACATACAGACATATATACACACACGCATACGCATACATACATGCAGACATACATAAATAGATATAGGTCAAAATTTCCCAAACCCACAACTTGGTCAAATATCAACAGATTTTCACGAGGCTTGGCTCTTTGTCCATGGATCGGCCTCTTGATCAAGATGGCAACATTATTCTTGCAATATACTTATATATATTGCTTTGAGTGAAAATCTTATTCAATTACCGTGCCTAAGCACGTGATTTACCTGATAACGATATAAGATATTTGCTTCAGTTAATGATTTAGCTAGTTGTACACCATGCACATACGGTGCAGTAGAGTCCGCTAAGCCGTGAATCAAAAAGAAAGAGTTCGATTTAATTAGTCGAGCACGTTGCGTTGCATCAGCTTCTACATATCCTTTATAGTTTTCAGCAGGTAGACCTAATATGCGTTCAGTAAAGGCAGAATCTAAAAGAAATGAAAATTCTTTATATTATAAAAAAACAATTGAATGAAACCATATATCTTACTATAATAAAGCCAATCTGCGATAGGGGAGATCGATATGCCACACTTGAAGACGTCTTGTTGCGTTCCTAAAACCATTGAAGTAACATATCCCCCATATCCCCAGCCCCAAATACCAACTCTCGTTTCATCTAAAAAACTGATGGTATCCAATAGATATCTAACGATTAAGGCAACAAAATATTTAATTGTTATATAATACCTTATATTACTTGATAGTTTTAACTTACCTCAAAACAGATATTTGATCCTGAACTTCCACTCCCCCCAAATGGCGATATAAAGATTTTTTGCTTTGACCTTTTGCTCCTCTAACATCCAAACGCACATAAATAACATCATTTCTGGAGGACATGTATGTACCCCAATCTATTCTAAACTTCTCGGAAACAGACTCAGAGCCCGGACGGCCGTTTCTGTAAATATAATAAAAACGGATTAAATAAAAATAAAGGAAAATAACAAGTCGAACAATAGTCAATTTTCTTTGGCTTGGAGTGGAAAAAGTAGTTGATAAATACATACACTTCAACAACAACAGGAAATGCTGCGTCCCGGAGTTCTTCTCTCCAGCTGGGTGGCAAAAGTAACTGCACTTGTGCCCGGCTACCGTGCGGCAATGGAATCTCAAATGATCTCTGAATTGGTAAGGCGAGTTTTTGTAACCTTTCCGTGTAGAATGGTCGTGTATCATACAAAATTTTCACAAGGCTGTGAGTCTTTTGTGTGTGCACCCCTGAGACCGGTAATCCTGGACCTTGACACTCGAGGATGTAGAAATCAATTCCATAGTTCGTTGCTAAACCAGTTGCTGGTGTAATAAAGGCGTCAAAATGAGAACAATTTGTATAATAATATCTACTACTCCATAGAGCTTCGCCCAAGTCGCAAGTAATACATTGAGGTTCGCTTCTGTTAAAAGACAAAATACTATTTTATATAATCTAAATCTGAAAATACTCCACTTACTTTCTGGTATCATCATGAACAGGATCTTTTACGGAATACAAATGTCTTTGACCAGGCTTTTTATCTTGAGTAGCCAGATAATACACCACATGATTCGTTGTATCCCAGCACAAGATTTTTAGAACCTTAATTTACAATAAATCATTACGGTAATTCTATTCATTATCGAAAGGCATTAAGGGCATTACCTCATATCGGCCATGGGATATAACCGAAATTCTCTGCTGTGATATAGTGATGTGTTTAATGTGGGTGAAATGGTCATTTCCTGATTCCTGAACACCAGCGAGCAGTAAGAAACTGTTTCCGTCGGGAGCAAAAACGGGATGTGGAAAAATATCTAGCCACTCATCTTCAGGCGCGCGCTCGGAATGAATCTGAATAACATTTTTTTTTAAGAATTATTCTTTTATTTTAGTTTTATAAGTAAATCTATACTTACTTCTGCACATATCCAATTTAAATCTTTTGCGCATGTCGCGATTATAGTATAATTTTGAGAACGTATCATAAAAACGACAGATACTTGATTATTGCTACCGGCTACCCAACCAGCTGATGTTATGTAATAATCTCTTTATAAAAAAAATGTGATTATTATATTTTTACTATTAATTTATTATTATATATATATATATGCTTACTGTTCATTTAAGGAAGGTGGAGGTCTTAATTTCATTTTCACTATTGACATAAAATTTGTTATGTCGACTATCCATAGCTGAACTTCAGGATTGGCAGTGCCGGGCGTAGGGTACCGAACATTTTTAGTCTCAGGAAATGAGCTCCCCGATGACATACCGCTACCAGCAATAATGGCACCAGATGATAACCATGGATATGTCATCATCCCGACGTGAGTATCATTAAATGAGGCGAAAATAAAGTGACTTCCATCAGTTGACGACCAAATTGCTTCCGGAATATCAAAAATTTCCTCTATTCACAAAAAAAAGAAGAGTTTATGTTAATTTTGTATTCCCTGACCCCATTTGAGAACTCAAATTATGTACGGAAATATCATTACCCTGGTAAAGCCAATCAGGAACTCCATTATAAATATTGTTATCTTGCCCTGTCATTGTTATCCTTATATCCTCTTCCATCGAAGGAGATTGTCTTACAAATATATCATTGTCAGCAACAATAATGATTGAAGTTGTATTTCCCAGCCAGGCAGCATATTGAAGTCGGGTTCTTTGCACCTTTGATGAGTCTTTTAACTTCACTGGCATATGGTGGTCATTATCTACATCATAGATTGTGTAAAACGCAGTGAAAGATTTCTGAAATATCTTTAATAAAACCATCATTAATGCCTGCTTACAAGCACTGTTCACTTAAGTTGGCTTACTTTTTTTACATTATGCCTGAACAGGACATATTTAAGATCGTGCGAGCATTGATATCCCCGCACATTTAGTTGACGAATGGTATGGTTTGTAACTAAAATGTTTATTGAATTAACTGTTGTATCCAATAGGGAAAGCCCTCCGTCGTCGGATTGAAATACATATTTTTTCGTTGTCACCCAAGATGGGGGCAATCTTGTTGGCGTCAGCTCTCCTTGTAGATATTCATCAAGAATCATTCTTCGACCCGACCAATATAAAAGCTCGTCCACATATCTTTTAAAAAATACGGTAACAGGATTAAATCATATGCATGTGGAAGTATGAAAAAGATGAGCAACTAACTAATGCATATGGGTATAAGAATCTCGTAATTTTATAAATTTTGGTAAAAACAAGAAGGGTTTTCAAACAAAGTAGCCATTTTCGAACAACAAAGTTATGACAACTAATCACAAATATATAATGTTAACGAGGTCGATAGAGTGTTCATCTAAGATGAAGACTTCATCTAAAGCTAAGCAACGTGAAGGATATTTAAGCATACATACCCCAGTAAATATATAGCAGTTATTATACCAGCTATTACGAAACTAATAACTAATAGAGAGAAGATAATACTGCGCCAGTTGTGTCCTTCATCCAAATCAAAGTCTTGATCTTTCTGCTTTGAATCTTGAACCTGTAATGTCTCATCCGGTGGAAGTCTCCATGATCCTCCTGCTCCTCCACGGTCAGAAGCAGCATTGGCGTGCATTTTCGTAAAATCTCAGCAGGAGGTTTTATGATAACTAAATTGTTGGAGAATTAAAGTTGTGGCAGGTCGAATTGTGATTCGGACGGTGTCGGAAGTAAAAAGCTAAAAGAAAATAAGGGACAACTTAATAAATTTATGCAACAGAGTAAACTATATTCTATTAGATATGATATATATTGGAGCAATTTTTAGTCGTTTGCTATTGGTGCTGATTAAGTAAACCATATTCAGCTAAGTAAATAGTGATGCAAGGGAAAGATCACCAACACCAACATTTACTTACTTTGTGAGAATCATCATGCAGCAATTTTAATTGTCATCGCTTTATCTTGATTAGTGTAAAAGAAGCGAACCGATTTCCTGAAAAAATAGAGCCACTTTAATTTGTTTTATATTATTTAGTCTTAGCTTTTCCACTTAACTTAGCCCACTTAGCTCAAATTAAAAGCAAGTACGCAATGCATGCTGCTTTTGACCAGGTCAAAGTGCGAGCATGTTTAGGGCAAATCACATAGAATAAGAGTAGAATACGCATTTGGCAGAATCAGGGGAGTTCATATCAGTGTAGAGAAGACATTTTATTTCCGAGATTTTCATGAGCTAAAGACTAATAAAGTGCTATCTTTAGGAGTGAACGAAAAGATTTTCTGAACCCTGCGTTAGTCGAGAACTACGGCTGATGTCAAGCGAAAATTTGAAAAACAGCAGCCAATAAACCGTAAAGAGGAACTTCTTATACAACTCAACTACTCGGGAGTTGGTGGACGAGATCACGACTAGGGAGGAAATATCCGAAGACGCCCGCAACGGAGCTCGCCTCGGAAAAGCGGAAAACTTTAATGTCTGAGCCGTTGAATGGGGAAGTAAGGAAACCAACACGACTAGGATGCGATCGATAAATATTTCTTTAGCCGCACATTGTTGTAACGAAAATAAATAATGATAATTTTTTCTTACCAACACACATTGATGATCTGACAATAGGAAATACTTCTGGGGCCATTCACAAGATTCGTACTAAGAATAAAACGTCGATATATGTGGTAAATTATTCATTTTGTGTCCTCCATAAAACTATAAATACGATCACAGAACCAAGGAATGTGACATTTTCGACCTGAAAATAGAAAAAGTTTATATTGTTAACAAAAAAACGGATTTACACAAATATTGAAATTAAGGAACACGTATTTGTAAGATGCCCAATAATAAGATCTTAAGCGTAACACCACATATTCAAGGATTACACTGATTCGGAAGGAAGTAAGGTCATTGAACTTAAATGTCTATTTAAATCGGTTAGCCTATTGATTAACTCTCTCGATTCAACCTCATTCTTTATGGAGTTGGAGATGCAACCTTCTGCGTATTACTGTCCATGTCTGGCTGTCCGCCCGTCTGATGCAATTTTAAAGCGTTTCAGTTTCATGCGAAATAAGTCAAATATTAATACGAATTAGTGCGAAATATTGTAATTCTGCACAAGCCAATTATCAATTTGCCATTCGATGAGTGTACAATGGCCCTTTGGGGTGCGACACCGGCCTCAAACTGCTTTATAAGCAGTAAAAATCAATGGGACTTAAGAAATGACTACATTGCATTTCTCTTTTGTTTCTCAAGATGATTTATCTCGTGCGCTCTTCTTTTATCTATATCTACATAAGTATATCCATATTAAGGTCACAACCTTGAATAGTGAAGGTTGTCGATGTGCAACATGAACAAAATGTGCGTTTTTATGCCCTAAACCAAAAAAGTGTAAAAACAATTTGTGCAAATGTATGCCACCAGCAGAAAGAAGCTTCCCCGACCTCTTCTTGATCAGCATCAATAGCCGAGTCGATCTAGCCTCATTCGTCTGTCTGTCAGTCCGTCTGTATGAACGCAAAGATCTCAGAATTTATTGGAGCTAGAGCCTTGCAATTTGCATGTACATGTAGATCCTCCTAGGTCCCGCGCAGTACGAGTTTGTTTCCGATTATCGATAACTTGTCCCATGTCCAAGTAATCGATAAATATCGATATCGAAATACTGTTTAAGTGAGCTTGCAGCACGAGGAGAAGAAGTTTCAGGGTATCCCCTAGTCGGAAGCATCCGACAAGAGCCTCTTTCTTGATTTCAGCAGTTTCCTAGCGAACCAGAAAGGGACTTCGCCTTCTATTTTTTTTAAAGCCGGTAGTCCTGTAGAAACTATCACAACAGCGGATGACTCGGATAGTACGATTCATTTCCTTGTACCGACGTCACACTATTGGGGAACCGAACTTGTGTCCTTAGCAGACCACACAGCTACCCGAGTATCAAATCAGATGAATGTGATCGGAGCCTGTCATGAGGAATCGCCTTTTTGGGTCTTCGATACTCACAATTGATTTGTAATCAACGCACAGCTCAAATGTAAGAGGTCAGATTATACACTCGTTTTCAAAGGTCTACTTAAAATATAATGTTCACGAGGAATTTAAGATTGAACGGACACTCTTTAATTTACAACGCAAACGAAATGGGTGAAAGGTAATGCAAAAACATTGGACCGGTTAACGCCGGGTAATATTAGCTTGTTCATTATATAGGATCTTAGTATGCTGATCAGAAAAGCATAAAAATCAAAATCAACGCGGTCAAAATAGCAGTCGGACTTGAGAAAACGCCGCAGCCACAAGAAAGTCCTATGAGGTAACAACCATTTGTGGTCAACAGACAAATTAATAAACAGGCGAAAAGTTACATACATATGTATATTGAGACATGTGTATGTATGTGTACATATGCCTTTTGGCTTGTAAATGTATATGTTTAACATTCTGTTATTTTCTAAAAGTCATTGTATTTGCAAACGCAAGCATATCTATATATGTATGTAATTACAATTTGCCACTAAACGCACATTGTATTTGTATAGTGTTAATAATAACATGTTTGATATATGTACATACATATGCGTGTCCTTAGGTATGTCCTTATTTATTCACCTTGTTTTTGCGCTTCTTATTTATTCGTGTTCGTTGTTAGTCTAATTATATAAAACGTTCCATCATTATGCTACCTTCACATACATATGTACCTACATACATATGCACGCATATTCGCATGTATGTGTGTATGTATGTGAGCGTAGCTATACAAGGACGTAAATTCGCATTTAAATTTCCCCGGTTATTGTATTTTATAAATAAATAATGACTTTGATATAACGTTTAAATATATACATTAAATATTATATTTTTAAAATATTAATATATATTTATTTAGATTTTTTTTCTGCATATGTATATGTATAGGTATTTGCAAAAATTGTCATTTTAATTATATCAACATTAATATATGTATGTATATACATATGTATGTACATATTTATATTTCCTTATATATTGTCAACATTATAATTTTACGCGTTTACACTGTATATGTTGCATATACATAAATGTGTATGTATTTATGTTTATTGGAGAGCTGAATTGATATTATTGCACTTCTTTTATTTTTTGCACATATGTATATTCACAACCTTCAGAATGTTACATGCATTTACATATGTATGTATATAAATATGTCTTTATATAAACATACATACTTTGGTGATAGCCAAATCACAAACACTTGTTTTCAGTTATATTTAGTGGAAGACCATAACCCAGCGACAGACAACCCGGGACTAAAACCTATTTTCGTTTGTTGTTTTAGGAATTGTAACAAATTTTGTGCCCATGAAATATACTGAGAGGATTTTCAGGCAGCGACATTCAAATAATGTTCTAAATACACAGAAAAAAATAATAGATATATACTATATATATCTATATATATATATATATATATATATAGGTTTATACACATATATTTTTTTTTTAAATTAACTTTAAGATATTAATTTTTTAATATAAGTGTATAAGCGATTATTTAGAAATATGAAGCTGTGAAATAAAAGCTTGAATATTCTCGATTTTTCGTTTAGTGTAGGAATGTATACTAATAAACCGTTGGGGTGGCTTAAACAAGTAATTGTCCCTTTGTAAAAATTTGTATTGATAGCTTATGGTTTTTTTTTTTTGAATATATTGGCAGTTATATTAGTCAATATAAAGATGCCTATATGTATTTATTTAATATAAAAATGTTACAAAAGTGGAATTCAAATAAAAGGTAACTCTTTGGGATATTTTCTCTTAAGGGAGAGAGCGGCCCGCTCTTAAACTTAAGGGGTTGTTTCAACCTACGATTGTACTAGTACATTCTGCTTTGTACTGACGTATTGATTGTGTTTGACTTTTTGACGCTTGGAAAGCATATTTAATCTTAACGTCAAGAATGAAAAAAAGTAAAATGTATTTGAAAACTAAATCATTAAATGAAAGACTTGGCCAGGAATTTTTAATGCTATTTATGTAATGTTTGTTTCTGGGGTGTCCTGAAAGATTTTTTATCGGATATCGGAGCCGTCAGGATCTATTAAGTGAAACCATCTGACTACTTTTCCTAAATATTTTTAAGCTTATGTCGATTTTTTTTTTAATTTTAAAATTGCATACTGTTTGTTTTGTGCCCTAAGAATTGTGTTATGAAATGTATAACGAGATAGATTATATACTATATCAAATGATTGACAATATATGATTGATATCAAAAAATTAAAGTTGTACTGTAACCTGCTCTGTCCCTGGGGTCGAGTGCACTCACTGAACACCCTGGAGCTACCTTGTTGTACAATGCGGAACGAACTCTGATGGCCTCCGTTAAAGTGCGCTATCATGTTTTTTTATTTTGTTCTCTCGCGGTACGCCTCGGTACGAATCAGCACCGAGTAGTGTCATATCCTCAGCCACCTATTTCGGCAACATACGACTGGTCAGCTTTAGTCGTTCTTGAACGTGTGGCAGAGCTCGCAGCACTTCGCGTACTTTCCTCATAACTAGTTTCATGACATTCCCGTAGAACCCTCTGACATTGACCACTGAGTACGCAAAGTTTCCAGGGAATATGGTCTTTGGCAAATTCTCCGACGATCCAGACACGTATGCTCGAGGATGATAGTGGAGCAGCAACGACATTGACTTGCCTGTTGGTGGGCATCAAACTGGATTTGCTGGAGTTCTAGTGCAGTATACGGCAACTCTTTTTGTAGCAACGCAACTTCCTGATCATGCATACGTACCCAAAGTAGGCGTACCTTTGCTGAAAAATCTGCTCCTCTATCCGTTCAACCTAAGGTTGGCTGCGGTCAACCGGCGGAACACCTTCCTAATGTTCTCGACAATTTGCTCTTGCATCACCCCTATCACCACAATGTTATCATAATAAGCAAACAAATAATCGGGTCCAGCTCCAGATCTATTACTGTGTCTAACGTCCGCTGGAAGGTAGCATGTGCCAAGTGCATGACAAAGGCATAACCCGCTATTGGAACAAGCCTCGGTGCAGTACTGTAAGCGCGATATATTGCTGCGATAAACGTCCGTATCCGCATTTCAAATCAAGTGTAGAACTAAATCTTGCATGACGCAATCGCTCCAGTATGTAGTTAATCCTAAGGACAGCCTCCTGTACGGGAAATTTATCCTCCGTTTAATCTCCGGCGAACACCACTCTATCGTAGACTGAGTTCTATAACTTTGCTTTGAGTGCTTTACTCTAGCAGTTTCTTCCGATCTATTGTCCGTTTTTCGCATCCGAGTATTGGCTACTTGTCGCGATTTCCGCATACCCAACATAACACAACGCGTGTGACATTCCCTGACTGGGTGTCCCTCCTGCGCACACTTGAATGTCCTGCCTGTAACGGAATCCAGCCCCAGTATCTTGGCTCATCACTCGATAAGTAACCTCCGCGGGAGCAGTCGCTGGTGGAGCTGAAACGCTTCCGCAGGGATCTGTCGTTTGGGTCACACTGGGCGGTCCCCGGAACGTGATGGGTAACAGGGTAGCATCATGGCTGTACAAAACTCATAACTTTTACACTGGACGGATTTTCAGCGGCCTGACTGTATAATTTTTCTGTTTTTTTTTTTAGCAATGGTTTATGGGTCTAAAATACTTCCGAATACCAAACATCTCATATAAGCAGTTTTATAATTGTGATTGTATTATATTATATACAGTGCCAACTGCTCGTAGCTGCATTTGGTGTTGGTAGAAGAAAATTCAAAGAGCAATCTTATTTGTCATATATAATTTTCCTTAAACAATTTAATAATTCATGAACATTTGTTCACTTGTTCGTCGTTTACGTTTTAATTGTCACTTAATAGCGGCTTTTTGGTGCTGCAGATATATCGATAAATTGCTGCTTATGATGATGCCAGTAACGGTGACAACACGTTATAAGTCTTACATTTGTTTTGTACGCATAAACGTTGGTGTTGAACAAATCCAAACCGTGACTTAAATAGTTATCGATAACTTTACGTATATCTACTTTATTCAACTTTGATTAAACTTATTTGTTATTAGTAATCTTTATTTTGAATTTAGATTATTTATATATGCTAGTAGATTTTGATGGAAACTAAACCAAAATATTCCAAATATGCGCTCGTAAATCGTCAGATTGAGCTTACCAAATCTGGATGTATTTCTTCTTCAGACGTTGACTGCAATGTTAACGTTAACAATACCAATACACGCACTGACAAGCTAATGGTGTTGCCTGGGTCATCAATAAAGATTATTGGGACACCAGACGGTAAAGAAAGTGAGAAATGTATTGTTCAGATCTTAGATTTCAATACTTATACAAATACGCAATTTTACGAAATCAAGTCAAGCTATTTGGTAAGAGTAGCAGACGACATTTGGCCATTTGTCATCAGCATTGCAAATCTGGAAAGTCGATTGCGTCTGGTGTGCAATAAGGAGCAATGCCTCTGGTTGACTACTTTGAAGCTGAACGATCTGGTCAGTGTGCAAGGCGAATTGTTTAAAAAGGGCAATTTGTGTTTTGATTGTATTGTGCGTTACATTGGTCCAGTGGAGGAACTGAATCCCGTAGGATACTTTTTTGGATTGGAAATTTTGGTGCGTATAAGTCGTTTGTCATAAGTAAACCGTTATTTATATATATATATATATATATATATATTTTAGCATCTGAATAGTGGACACTCGCCGCAGGCCAAGGACATTCCATTCGCAACAAAATATTTGAATTGCGAACCCCATTTATCAATATTTGCCACTGCGGATTGGATAGCTCCCGTCTCAAGTGAACTTAAACATAAATTATCTGCAAAAAAGTTCATGAATGATACTATTGAACGAGTGTACACTGCCATATTGCCGGCAAACTTGAATCTTCATGCTCAGCGAAGCGATAACAAGTACAAGAAACGACAGCCCACGGCTCAGTTTTATGATAGTTTGCCAGGCAATAGCACAGATAAACCGGAAGGCGAAATTATGACCGAGTCTATCAAAACTGATGAAAGGATGCCCATAAACGAAGTAAATAAATGTAATAATAAGGAACTTAAAACATATTTAAGCAATTTTCCGGCATCTTCGGAGCGAAAGAGCACAAATCAAGCAAAAAGTGCGACAAGCCTTCGTAAAAATATTGCTAGCGAAAAAGATCTATTTGGTATAAAAAATAGAACGGAATCAAGCATTAATGAAAGGGATATTATAATCATAAATAAAAGTGACATTGAAGAGTCCACTAAGAATGAGCATAATGTATTCATTGTTAATAATCCTCAGGAAAAAGAAAACGTGGACCTAGCCGATTTGCTAGGCACGAATTGGCCAACAAATGCTGGAGGAGCTGGTATGATGTTAAACCGAACACAATCAGTAGCGAAAACTTCTGACAATAAATTGGAAGCATGTCCATCATCTAGCTTGACGTGTGAAAGTTTTTCCAAAAATAATGAAAAATGTACGGACCTATCTACTTCACCTTTAGATGTCAAATCAAATCTTGGTAAGAACTAGAATAGTCTGCGCCCTAAGCCCAATTAAGTTAATCACTCTACGCAATAAGTATGTATCTAATTTTAATTGTCTCCAAGACTTGCTCAAGGAAAAGTTTCGGATACAAGGGAAGTGGATTTTGCAAAAAGTGTTAAACACGAATCAAATGAATTTTTTTTTAGAACACATCAAAAAGTTAATGCCTAACGGAGCGGAAATAAGAAAGTTGTGACTAGGTGATA